CAGGGAGGCCCAGCCTGTGTCCTGCACTCTTCTGGGGGAGGGCACTGGGACAGCACTTAAGGGGTGCAGACCTCTGGCCTGAGGGGAAGAGAGGAGAGCCGCCCCTCCCCCCAGGGCAGAGGCAGGAAGTGGTGTCTGCAAAAAGCAGGGGCCTGTCAGGGGGTCTGGATTCAGGGGTCTCTTGGTGCTTGCGGGGTCTGAGAGCACCGCACAGGAAGAGATTGGGGTACGGATATCAGAGAGCGGGTACTCCGGGGGGAAGGAGGGACGGGTGGCTGGCGGTGCCCCATCCGGGAGGTTCTGCCCGGGAGTGCTCCCATATCTCATGCCTGGGGCTGGCAGGCGGCATGTCCAGGGGGTAACCCTCCCCCAGCCTATATGCCCCCAGGCTCACCTCTGTGGAACAGGCTCATGACCACTGCTCTCTCCACCGACTCTGCCCTTCAAAACTGTGAGCTCTCACTTTTCCGGGCTGCTACTCCCCGGCTTGACTGGCCAATCAGTGCTTCACTTTAGAAGCTGCTGCTAAATTGGGCTCCTACCCTCCCGCTGCCCAGGACCACGCCCTATCTGTGGCCCCTGGGATGCCCTTGAGAACTTCCCTCCTGCAGGCAGCGTTTTCAGAGGTTACCTGCGTGGGTGCCACGACTCCAGGGCAGGATCCCTGAGCGCGGGTCAGTTTGCTGCTGTAGCAGAAAAGGACGGCAACCCGGCCCCGGTGATGCCGTCTGAAAACATTTGTCCTGCCACATGGAAAAAGATGGAAGCTGTGCAGACTTTGTCCTTTTCTGTCATCCTGCAGGAAAGAGGAGAGCCACGATGGGGGGAGAGTGTCTAGCAGAGTGTGGAGACCCCGCTAGCCCCCTCATCCCCGACGTAAAGGGACCCAGGTCAGGCTGAAATGAAAAGCAAGGGGTCACCGTGCAGACAGGGGACATCTAGGGGAGAGAGGAAAATGACCTCCCAAGGAGGGTTTCAGGATCCCAGGGGAGGGGACGGCCTGGAGTACGGACTCCTGAGTTGAGTGAGGGGACCCTGGACCCTGGGTGTGAAGGAGCAAGGCTTGTGGGTGTGGATCGCAGGAGAGGAGGGGGTTGGGGGCTGAAGCTGGGCCTCCTGGTTTATAGAGATGACCAGTGACTGGATTCCTGGGTCCTGGGGCCGCACCTCTGCAGCTCCTTGTCATTGTCCACCTGTTGTGGGATGCGCTTGAGAACTTCCAGCAGTGGCTTTGTTAGGGGGAAAGGATGTCCTGAGCTAATCCCATACAGGCTTTGTGGACTCCACCCCCACTCCAGACTAAAGCCATCAAGACATTGGGAAAGACAAATCCCATCACCACCAAGGGAGGGTGGCTGGGACCTGAGGGTGGAGTTGGGCAGCCAGGTTGGATATAAAAACCAAACACGTGGGCCTTGGGCTCTCTGGCTCGCGATCGCTCGCCTCCTGGCTTCACCGCTCCTGGCTGGCGGCCAACTCTGAGAGCGCCATTTTGGGGTTCCTGATCGGCGGATCGGGTAGGACTCATTTAAAACTTTGTCTCCCACTTTTCTCCCAGAGCTGTACATTTCCTCATTTCCCCTTCCCTTGTAAATAAACCTTTTATTAACCTTTCACGTGTGCCTGCAGTAGAGCATTGATAAGTCCTTTTAAGCGCGCGGGTGAGGACCAACAGTCAGGCACCCCGTTTTGTATCGGGGTTGCTCTACAACAGCTTGATGTATGAGGCCTGGGACTCCCGCTCTAGGGCCAGCTGAGCTACATCCTTTGCGGCTGCTCCTATTTGATCGCAGATGAAACTGAAAAGTACATGGAGTGGAGGATGCAGAGTCAGGAAGGGGCCACTCCTCAAATCCGCTCCCCAATAACGAAACCTCTCAAACTCACCCCTGAAGCAAAAGGGCCGCTGTCTCCATGATCTGCTCAGAGCTGGTGGGCCCTGCAGGAGACAGGAGGGGCGGGGTGTCTGGACTCTGGAGTCCTGGAGGGTCATGGGGGTGGGGAGCCACTCATGGTCCCCGAGGAAGGACAATGCTGGGGGGTGGGGGACTGGACTTTCCGGGCCCTGGGAGATAAAGTGACCAGGGACAGGACAACCGAGTCCTGATGGAGAAAGAGGCGGGGAGGCCCAGCCTGTGTCCTACCCAATTCCAGGGGAAGGGACTGGGCAACACTTAAGGGGCGCAGCCCTCTGGCCTGAGGGGCAGAGAGGAGAGCCCCCCCAACCCCCACCCCCAGAGCAGAGGCAGGAAGTGGGCCTGTCCGGGGGTCTGGATTCAGGGTCTCCAGGTTCTCGGGGTCCGAGAGCCCCCCGCAGGAAGAGATCAGGGTGCGGAAGTCAGAGAGCCGGGGCCCCCCGGGGAGGGAGGGGCTGGAGGCTGGCAGCGCCAGACCCCGGAGGTTCTGCCCGGGAGAGCCTGGAGATCTCGCTCCCGGGGTTGGCAGGGGTATCTTGGGGTCGGCCGGCCGGGGGCTCCCCTCCTCCCGCCCATCTGCCTCCAGCCTCACCTCCGCCTCTGCGCTGCTCCCCCGACCCGTCCATGACGGCCGCTCTCTCTGCTGACCCTGGCGAGGTCGACCCCAGCAGCAGATCCCCTCGGGCCTGTGAGCTCTCGCTTTCCAGGCCGCAGGGCTCCTGGCCTGACCGGCCAATCAGCGTCGCCCCCGAGCTGGGCGTGGCGCCACCTGCCCTGCTCTCCCGCCTGCACCTGAGACTCCCGCGCCTCAGGCGGAGTTTCCAGAGGTCACAGGTGGGGCGCCCTCTCCAGGGCGAAAATAGTCTGGGGGATGCCACAGAAACCTGTCATTCAGCCAGTGTGGTTAAAATATCTGCTTTTAATTCTTTTTAAAGATTTATTTATTTTCATACAGAGTAGGAAACAACAGGCAGAGGGACGGAAATGCACTGCTGGATGGAGCAGCGGGTGAGACAGGAGAGGTCTGCTGCACCATGTGGGTCAGCTCCCTGGCAGGGGATCAAACTTATGCTGCAGTGGCTTCATAGTGCGAGACTTCACCCCTTGTGTCACCAGTTAAGACCCCAAATATGGGGAATTTAAAGTGTTAATTAAGTTAAAACAAGGTGGACCCTCATCAAGTAAGATTATAGTGTCCTTAGAAGAGGAAATTAGGATCCATCCTGGTAGCACAAGGGGCTAAGTGTCAGCACTGTGAAGCTGTCTGCTGCCACTGCAGAACGATTTCAATCCCCGGCCAGGAAGGTGACCACATGGCACAGCAGACCTCTCCTGTCTCCCCACTGCTCTGCTCAGCAGTGTATTTCAGCAGATCTGCCTGTTCTGCTCCCCACTCTGCCTCTGCTGAATCCTCTCACACCCTACACTTGTGACTTGCACCCCAGTTCTTGTATGCATAAATAAATAAATCTTAAAAATAAAACCTTTTCAGGGCCTCCTCTGGTGGTACAGGCGGTTGAGCACAGTGCTGTGAAGCTGTCCGCAGCCTCTGCAGCACCAGTTCTATCCCGGCTGAACAGCGAGGGTCCCACATGGCACAGCAGACCTCTCCTGTGGTGCCTGCTGCTCCTCTCAGCAGTGTATTTCATCAGTCTGCCTGTTCTGTTCCCCGTTCTGTCTCTGGTGAGTCCTCTCACCCTCCCGCGAGTCTGGCTTGTGTCCCGGTTCTTGTGTAAATAAATAAATCATTTTTAAAAAACAATAAAAAATAAACCTTTTCAGGGCTTCCCTGGTGGCTAAAGGGATTAAGACGCAACCTATGAAGCCCTCCTATTGCAACAGGGTGGTCCCCAGGAAAGGGGGAGGTTCCCTGCCACCCAAGGACTGGACAACCCGGCCAACGAAAATGCCCTGGTACCCTCGAGAAGAGGAAAGCCCAGGTGGAGTCTGATGAGACCAACTTTATACCTGAAGCATACATCGACTGGATGCCACCGGTTCGCTCTTATCCTGTGTGGAGTATTTCAACAAAGCCAGCTAAAAATTGCTGTTAGTTATTTTCTGCCCTGTGATTTTATGCAAAAATAGGAAAAATGGTTTAAAAGTAGATTTAGTTTGCAAACTTTTGCTATGCTGTTAAAAGTTTGGGATCAAGGTTGAAAAAATTTGTGTTTTACATCAGTTGAACCATTTTAACATTTTTTTCCCTGTAATTTTGATATATTTGCTATCTTGTTTTAGCCAATTCTCCATATTTTTTTTTTCTTTTGGCTTGGATAATGGACTATTTTTAAGTAATGAAACTGTCATACTGGACATTCATGGACAATGCTGCTGACTAATTGTTGCTTCTCTTACACACATTGTAACCCTGAAAAAAATACTGTCTCCTAAGACTACACCCTGAGATTGTGCCACTATAAATATGGTGGAATAAAAATTAAAAGGGGGGATTGCAACAGGGTGGTCCCCAGGAAAGGGGGAGGTTCCCTGCCCCACCCAAGGGAGGGTGGAGCTGAGCAGGAAGAGGAGAAGCTGCAGAAGAGACTGAGGAAGGAAGGAAGCAGGATGGAGCCAGGAGACCTGGAGGAGGCGCATGGAGCCTAGAGACACGTGAAGAAACTGCGCTTGTCTTTTGGTCGTGGACTGGGTGACACAGATGTGGGTGAGACCCGTGGGGAGGGGACAATGGCAGCTTTTATCTTGATGTTGATTTTGCTCTTTTCCTTCCGGGCTTGTCTGGTTGTTTGTGACCCTTTGCTGTGGGTCCCCACTGGAAGATGCTTTAGACTTGTAGCAGGCTTTGGGGCCTTGTTCTGGGCCGATCCCATATGGATGGACTTTTACCCACGAGGGGATGGGTAACTTTGGGTGCTTCATTTAGAAACTAGACTCTTTGCCTTACCTGTATTGTTTCCTAGTTTTATTAAAGTTCCTTCCCATTAAAGTCTCCTATGTTTTGTGTTGATGCGGCGGATGGCAGAACCCATTTAGAATAGGCAGGTTTGCGGGGTTTGGGCTGCCCCTCTCCCTGTCCTATAACACTTGGAGGGCACAGAGCTGGCCAGCGCTGCCTCCAGCCCCACAGTCTAGGGTGCCATGGAGGTGCTGTTGGGACTGTGGGCACCTGGAGGGCAGCCTGGACCCAGCTCATCACTGACCCTCAGGGCGCACGGGGCACCCCCAGTAAAGAGATGGAACCAACCAGGGAGTGAGCTGAATGACACAGACAGGAAGTGTGGCCTGAAGTTTTATTACCCCAGATCACCCCAATCCCCCAATCATTCCAAAAGTAAGAAAAATGAGAGTTGGGGGTTCTCCCTGCGAAGCTTGAATGATTTGGAACAGAGGTCCCGCCGCAGTGATCTTTAGGAATGGCTTTCGCCACGGTCCTTAGATCTGGCTGGGCAACCAGCGCGGCGGGAGAACAGCCTGAAGCGAAGAACAGCCTGAAGCAGAGGAAGTTCAGCGAAGTTCCCTGAAAAGGCAGAAGCTTATCAAAAGATAACGACCACGAAGAACCACTACAAGAATGCTAAAAATCTTATCCCTCTTCCTAGAACTACAAACTTTAATCCCTTATTTGTCTTTCTAAACTTCCTTCTTTCTTCTATAATGGTCATTGCTTGTTATGTAGATCACCTCCCTGATGGTGACAGACTGAGCCCATGAGCAAGCTAATTTCCTTGATATTCATTCCTGTGCTTTTGGAAAACATATATATACTGGTCACAAATTTAGAGAAAATTACACTCAGATTTTCACTCTTGAAGTGTGTCTGTGTGTCATTTCTTTCGCCGACGCCCTGACCACCCTGCACGCTACTCTCAACCCTGAGGTGGCCTCATCGTCTACTGCTGTGCTGGTCCCCAGCACAGAGGGAAGCAACAGGCAGAAGGGGTGGCAATACAAGAGGAAGGATGGTCCTCTAGCCTCAGCCTTCAAGGAAACATGCCATATTCATGCTGAAAAGACAGAGATGAAGGCAGCTGGGGCCTCAGCCTAAGTTCGCCGGAGTCCGGCTAAGGCAAGCAGTCCGGTCCCGATGGCCGATGCCACTGTCATCCACTTGAGTGTCTCTCCATGTTTCGAGAGGAGGCCATCCTGGGGACACAGACAGCTCTCATCAGCACTCAGCTAGGGCAGCCCCCAGGCCGGCTCATGGGGACAGGGGTGGGGGAGGCTTCATGGACAAGGGCACAGCAGGGATCAGGGCCTAAGATAATGGGGAGGAGAGAGTGAGGGCCAAGGAGTATCAGATGTGAGGGGTTCCAAAGGAACTGGAGGTCCAAGGGAGGGTAGAAAGTATCAGTCAGGTCAGAGGTTCCTGGGAGGTCACAGGTCACCAGGAGATGAGGGGTCGAGACCAGATCAATGGAGTTGATGAGACATGTGAGGAAATGCTTTTAGAACACATTTGATGACCAGAGAATGCAGAGGGGAGCAGCACTGTGGTGGGTTCAGGAAGACCCCCAGGTCCCAGCGGAGTAGGGGAGGGGTGGTGAAGGGCCTCACCCAGCCACCCTGTTCCTGGATCCAGGGCAGCAGTCGCACTTGAAGGAGTGCAGTGTCCAGTCCATGATGAGCTCGATCGGCTCTGGCTTGTCGTAGTTCAGGGCCTACAATGACGAGGTGGGAGCAGGGGGTGAGCTCCTACTGCCAGGGGACTGTGCCCCCAAGCCTCCTTTCTCAAGGCTCTGCTTCCCCCCTGACCTCCTGGGATTCTTTTCCACTCATAACTTGGATCTCATCCCTGTCAACTGCCCTCTCGGGAACCTCCCATCCTCCCCTGGGATCCAAACTAAAGGCATGGGTTGGCCAAGGCCCTGCATCGAAGTTCTGAGTTGATCAATCCAAGTTTCCTTTTTGCAGTCCCCATTCCCACTGAACTTTTCTGCCTCAGGACCTTTGCACACATTGGTGCAACCCCCGTTGCCATGACCTGCTCTCCAATTTCCCGAACCTCTCCCTTCTCATCCTCTATGTGGCTGCTTCTCCCCAGATCCACATAGAGCCCCCGATCACTCAATCTGACCCCATTTCCAACATTCAGGCCCCATCAGCTCAACCTTACAAACATATCAAGAAAGTTACTTCCAGGCCTCCCAGGTGGCGCAAGGGGTTAAGACGCAACCTATGAAGCTCTCCGCAGTCACTGAAGCACTCAGTTTGATCCCAGGCCAGGGAGCTACCTACATGGTGCGGCAGACCTCTCCTGTCTCCCCTCTGCTCCCCTCAGCAGTCGATTTCAGTGGATCTGCCTGTTCTGTTCCCTGCTCTGTCTCTGGTGAGTCATCTCACCCCCACACACCTCTGGCCTGTACCCAGGTTCTTGCATGAAGAATGGAAAGAAAGAAAGAAAGGAATAAAGGAAGACAGAGAGAGAGAGAGTGAGAGAGAAAGAGATAAAGCAAGCAAGCAAGCAAGCAAGCTACTTCCCCTTAGCCCTGTTCCCACCTGAGTCCTGGCTCCTCATTGTTCGCTGGGTCCATTCTGGGTGCCCCGTCACCAGCCTCCCAGCTTTTGCCCCTGAGCCCCACAGTCCCTTTCCCACCTATAGTTGCCAAACAATGTGCTGGGCGTCCCTTCTTCCACTGTGAGCGTCTCCAGAGAAAAGCTACCAGGATTCCAGAGTGAACAGTCTCACAGCCACAACAGTGGGCTGCACAACGAGCACTTGGCTGCCTATGTCAGAATAATCTTCAAATGAAAAATCAGTCACCTCATTCTCATTTTTAGAGGCAGAGACAGGAGACAATCCTCCTGTGTCCCTGTGAGGAAAGCTAAGGTCCTTCAGGGGTCCCACACTCTGCCCTCAGCCCTCACCCGTCTCACTGCCTTCAGCACAGACCTGGCGCTGCCTCAGGACATTGGCACTTGCTGTGTCCTCTGCCAGACGCCTCTGCCCACCCGACCCTTCTATATCACTGCGTCTTTATTGTCCTCCCGGCTTTGGCTTAATGTCACCTCCTCTTAGAAGTCTTTCCTGACCACGTGACAACACGTCTCTTGGCTCACGAGTCTCAGCACTCGACACTTCACATGGGCTGAAGGAGAGCAGGGACCTCGCAGCTTTGTCGGGGCTGAGTGCCGCGCAGGCGCAGGGCAGGCCCAGGGCACACATGCTGAATGAGCAGGCGAAGGAAGGAGCAGACCAGCTGCCACAGCTGCCTCTGTCCAGACACCTCTCACCTCCTCTCTCCTCTCAGCTTTCACCTCTGAGCAGACCCCTGAACTGTGGACACGGGGCTGCCCCAGGGTTAAGATCAGGACTCCCAGGTCTCAGGGTTCTGTGGGCGCCTCCCTGGGCTCCCCACCCTGCAGCTGCCCACCTGGAGCACCAGTTTGCTGGCCAAGCGGAAAAGGACAGCCACCAGGCCCCAGGCGATGCCGTTTGAATAGATCTGTCCTGCCACAGGGAAAAAGGCGGCAGCTGTGCAGACTCCGTCCAATGCTGTGATTAACCTGCAGGAAAGAAGAGCGTCCTGAGGAGGAGCGAGTGTCTCTCAGCCACCTCCTCCCCGAGGTGAAGGGACCCAGGCCAGGCTGAAATGAAAAGCAAGAGGCCAACGTGCAGCCAGTCAAGAGGGAAACATCTAGGGGAGACAGGAAAATGGCTTCCTGAGGGGGGTTTCAGGATCCCAGGGGAGGGGACCTCCTGGAGTTCAGACTCCCAAGTTGAGTGATGGGACCCTGGACCCTGGGGTGTGAAGGAGCAAGGCTTGTGGGTGTGGATCACAGGAGAGGAGGGGGTTGGGGGCTGAGGCTGGGCCTCCTGGTGTATGAAGGTGACCAGTGACTGGATTCCTGGGTCCTGGGGCCGCACCTCTGCAGCTCCTCGTCCTTGCACATTTCTTGTGCCTTGCGCTTGAGAACTTCCAGCAGTAGTTTGATGTATGGGCCCTGGGACTCCTGCTCTCGGGCCAGCTCAGCTACACTCTCTGCTTTTGATCCTATTTCATCGCAGATGAAACTGAAAAGTAAAGGGAGTGGAGGATGCAGAGTCAGGAAGGGGCCACTCCTCAAATCCGCTCCCCAATAATCAGACCTCAAACTCACGCTCGTAGCAAAAGGGCCGCTGTCCTCATGATGGGCTCAGAGATGGCGAGCCCTAGAGGAGAGAGGAGGGGAGAGTTGTCTGGACTCTGGAGTCCTAGGGGTTCATGGGAGGGAGGGAGCGGAGCCGGCTCATGGTCCCCCGGGGAGGGCAACGCTGGCCTTGGACACTGGGGGCCTGGGAGATAAAGTGACCCGGGACAGGACAACTGAGTCCCTGATGGAGAAGGAGGCAGGGAGGCCCAGCCTGGGTCCTGCACTCTTCCGGGGAGGGGACTGGGCAACACTTAAGGGGTGCAGACCTCTGGCCTGAGGGGCAGAGAGGAGAGCCGCCCCTCCTAACAGAGCCAGAGGCAGGAAGTGGCCTGTGTGTGGGGGGGGTCTGGATTCAGGGGCCTCCAGGTGCTGGCGGGGGGTCTCCCCGCAGGAAGTGATCAGTGCGGAAGTCAGGGGGGGAGCCCCGGGGAAGGAGGGGCTGGAGACTGGCGGCGCCAGATCCGGGAGGTTCTGCCAGGAGTGCTCGGAGATGTTGTGCCCTGAGTCTGGCAGGGGTGAGGGTGGGGGGTGGGGGATTGGGGGTGGGGAGTGGGGGGTGGGGCTGGGGTGGGGGATGGGGGTAGGGGATGAGGGGTTGGGGCGTCGGGGAGCGGGGTCCCCACAATCGCCCTCCTCCCGCCCGTCTGCCTCCCGCCTCACCTCCGCCTCTGCGCTGCAGCCGGGACCGGTCCATGACGGCTGCTCTCTCCGCTGACCCCGGCGAGGCCCCCCCGGGCGGCAGGTCCCCTCCGGGACTCCGAGCTCTCGCTTTTCCGGCCGCTGCTCCCCTCGCCTGACCGGCCGATCAGCTTCGCTTTAGAAGCTGCTCCAGGCGCCCCCTGGCAGCCGCCCCGCACCCCGCCCCGCCTGCGGCCTGCGCGGACCTTGAGAACTTCGTGCCTGCGGGCGGGCGGCGTTTCCAGAGTCACAGGTGGGGGCGCCGTCTCCAGGGCAGGATCCCGAGCGCCCGTCAGAGCCCCCCGCGGCCCAGCAAGGGCTTCCCTGAGGCCGCGCGTGTCAGACGCCGGAATCCCGGGTCTGTGTGAACAAAACAGGGTGTGAAGTTCAAAAAGCCGCACAATCCCCGGGGCTCGATGGGCAGCGCGGGGAACTGTGGACCCCAAGAAGGGCTGCCGGGGTGTCCCCACTGTGCTGGAGCTTGTGGTGATGATCTGGGGGCGCACAGAGTAAATCCATGGCCCTGTGCACAGAAGACACGCACTTTCCTGGGTGGGGTTCACTGTGGCTCCTTGTAAGCAGGAAAAGATAAGAAACAAGTCATGAGAAAACAGTCTGGGGGATGCTGCAGAAACCTGTCATTCAGCCAGTATGTTAAAATATCTGCTTTTAGTTTTAGGGAGTGAGTGAATGCGTGTTTTAGCAAAGTGCTCTAGAAAATGACTAGATATATGGATGTATGTATATAAATAAATATATGTATATATATAGAGAGAGAGCATCAGTTGCATACAGTACTGCAAATACTGTTTTATGTTGAATTCCTTTATAAGATAAAGTTGAATCTGCTGCACCTCCCCCTGCAGTGACCCTCAGGGCTAATGGCTGTTGCCATGGTCCCTGAGGTCCGGCGTGGGCAAGGAACCATGCCCGCAGGGGGAGAACAGCAAACTCCCTAAGATGCAGAGAAGCCGAATGCCTGCCAAGAGATAACGACCACCAGAAGCCGCCACAAAGATGATTAAAAGAAATGCTGACCACCTGGAACCTTATCTCGCTTTCTCAAGGCCCACAAACTTTATTCTGCTACAACTGTCTCTCTAAAATCTTTCTTTTTTCTGGTTATTGATTGCTAATTAAAAAAAAACATGTAATTTAATAATTAGGCTAACGCAAATGAAACATTACTAAACACTGTGTTATAATAAAATTGTTGGTTTAATAATCTTTCTGTTATGTGCTTGACTTTAGTACCTTTGATATTAACTGCATTATAATGTAAATTCACCCATGACAATTAATTATGAGTAAACATGAGTAGGTAGTAGTAGTAGTAGTAGTAAGTACAACAAGAATATAATTATATAGAACAAGAATATAAAGAGTTAATAGCCTGTCTACTTAGGAATACGGCTAGGTCCAGATGTATTTTGGACATAAATCACTGCCCTGTCAATGATAAGCTAAACCTATGAGCAAGCTGATTGCGTTGATGTTCACTGTTTCTATGCTTTTAGAAAACATATATATACTGACCACTGACTCAAATAAAGTTGCACTCAGATTTACACTCTCCCTTGAAGTGTGTCTGTTTGTCATTTCTTTAGCCGAATCCCTGACCACCCTGCAGAGTCTCTCAACCCTGAGACGGCCTCAGCGTCTACTGCTGTGCTGGTCTGCGGCATGAATCTTTTCTGAGGGGAAAAAAAAAATAGATACCAATTACCAAGCTGGAAGAGAAAGAACCTTTGTAAACAGAGAAGGGGCCGTGAATGTGGGAATTAAGTGACGTTGAGGACATCAGCTAAGACCTTCCAAGGGACAGAGGGCCCTGAACGCTGACCTAGGAAGGTTTCTTGGGTGAAGGACAATAGGAAGAATTGGGGGTTTCCCATTCTGCCTGGGGGTGTGAAAAATGAATCCATCTCTCATGTTGGTAGTTATGAGACCAGCTGTTCAGCTTAGCTGTTGTGTGACACGTCAGTTGAAAATAACAACAACCATTGTGTTACTGTGCATGGACCTGTGGCGCAGCCAGGTAGCCCAGCCTGGGGCCACTCAGTGATTCCCATCAGCTCATAAGTGGGGTTGGAGCACCGGAGAGGCTGAAGCAGTTGCCCCCTGACCAGGAGCCTCTCCACTTTCATGGGACCTCCGGGCTTTCCATGCGGTTTCTTTGTGTGGATTAGTAGAGTGACTTCATTGCATCTGAAGTTCTTGCGTGGTGACTGAAGGGTCTAGAGTGTATCTGGCCTTCCTGGTGGTGCAAGACGTTAAGTCTCAGCACTATGAAGCTGTCCGCAGCCACTGCAGCACCCGTTCGATTCCCAGCCAGAGAGCTGAACCACATGGCGCAGCAGACCTCTTGTCTCCCTGCTGCTCCCCTCAGCAGTGTATCTCAAGAGATCTGTCTGTTCTGCTCCCCACTCTGTCTCTGATGAATCCTCTCACCCCCTCCCAACACTCTGGTCTATACCCCAGTTCTTGTATGCATACATAAATAAATCTTATTAAAAAAAAAAAAAAAAAAGAGTGCATCAGGCAGCAGGAAGAAACTGCATTGCCCTTCCTGACCAGATGTGTGCGGTGTTTTTCTGCTGTGTTGCAAGCACTACAAAACAGTTATGAGATGACGCAATTTCAAGGAAAATGAAACTCAACTCTGCCTCTTCATCGGAGAGGAAATTATGTCAGGCCAGTGGAGCTGTTCTGGCAAAGGCTAATAGAACAGTGGCTTAAAGAAGACAGAGGTTTCCTTCTGTCCTGCAGCAGCCCAAGACTACTGACACTAAACACCACAGTGCCAGGGAGGCTGACAGTTCATTCATGTGTCAAAGGGCCAGGGCTGCGTGATAGTGAGATATCGGGGCTAACATTATTAAGGGGGTTTCGTGAGGGCATATTTGGATGAGATTATTTTAACATTTAAATTGGTAAATGTGGCCTTATCCAAATCAGTTAAATGGAACAAAAAGGCTGACCCTCTTTCAAGTAAGAAGTCTTCTTTCAAAAAAAGATTTATTTTTATTTATTTATGCATACAAGAGCTGGGGTGTAGGTGAGAGGTGAGCGGGATAGAGGATTCACCGGAGACAGAGTAGGAGCAGAACAGGCGGACTGACTGGAATACACTGCTGAGGGGGGCAGCGGGGACACAGGGGAGGTCTGCTGCGCCATGTGGGTAGCTCCCTGGCAGGGGATTGAACTGATACTGCAGTGGCTGCCAATAGCTTCAGAGCACTGAGACTTAACACCTTGTGTCACCAGGGAGGACCCTGACATGGGGATTTTATGGAGGTAATTAAGTTAAAAAAGGGGGACCCAGATCAAGTAAGATTATAGTGTCCTTAGAAGCGGAAATTAGGATCCTCCCTGGTGGAGGGGGTCTCCCTGTAAAGTTTGAGTGACTTGGTGCAGGGGAAAGCAACAGGGGGAAGGGGTGGCAATAAAAAAGAAATATGGAACTCCCTGGTGGCGCAGCGATTGAGTGCTGGGCTGCAAAGCTACCCACAGCCTCTGCAGCTCAGGTTTGATCCCCAGTCACCGGCAAGGGTCCCACATGGTGCGCAGACCTCTCCTGCCGCCTGCTGCTCCCCTCAGCAGTGTACCTTGTCAGTCTGCCTATTCTATTCCCTGCTCTGGATCTGGTGAATCCTCTCACCCTCCCGCGCTTCTGACTGTACCCAGTGCTTGTATATATAAGTTAAAAAAAAAAATCTTTTAAAAAAAAAGAAAAGAAAAATGGTCCCCCATCATCACCTTGGTGGAAAAATGTCACATTGATGCTGAAAAGACAGAGATCAAGGCAGCTGGGGCCTCAGCCTGAGATGGTCCGGACTCTGAATAAGGCAAACACTCAGTCCCGATGATGGCCACAGCCACTGCCACTGCGAGCCACTTGATTTTATTACTGTGTTGTGAGAGGAGGCCGCCCTGGGGACACAGACATCTCCTGTGAGCACCCAGCCAGGGCAGCCCCAAGGCCCGCTCACAGGGAGAGGGCGGGGAGAGAAGACAGGGGAGTCAGGACTAGGCAGTGAGGGTTAAGGATTATCACAGATTTGAGTAATTCTAGAGGACCTGGAGACCCCAAGGAGGGTAAAAAGTACTAGTTAGGTCAAGGGTAACTGGGAGGTCAGAGGTCACCAGCAGGAAGGGTCAGTGACCAGATCCACTCAGTTGAAGGGACACGTGAGGAAACACATTATAGACCACATGTGATTATCAGAAAATGAGAAAGGGAGCAGCTCTGTGGTGGGTTCAGGAAGATCCCCAGGTCCCAGCGGAGTGCGGGGGGCGGTTAAGGGCCTCACCCAGCCACCATGATCCTGGATCCAGGGCAGCAGTGGCTTTCGAATGAAGTCCAGCGTCCAGCCAACGATGCTGGTGATCAGCTCCCGCATGTCCGTGCACAGGGCCTACGGCGATGAGGTGGGAGTAAGGACTGAGCTCCTACTGCCAGGTGACTCCCCAGGCCCCTTTCTCAAACCTCTGCCTCCCCCCGACCCCCTGTGGTTCTTCCCACTCATAACTTGGATCTCATCACTGGCAACTGCCCTGCTTGGAACCCTCCTATCTTCCCAGGTACCCCTGGGATCCAAACCAAGGCATGGGCTGCACAGGCCATATGGAAGTTCTCCTTGTTCACACTGAATTTTTCTTTTACTTTTTGGTGTCTCATCTTTTTTCCAATCTTCATTCACACGAAACTCCTTTCTGCCTCAGGACCTTTGCGCATGTTGGTTATTCTGCCTCAATAGGACTTGTCTGACTTTCCTGCCAGCTAAGACTCAACACCCCCAGTTGCCGTGACCTGCTCTCCAACTCCCTGGACGCCCCCTCCCACCTTCTATGGGGCTGCTTCTCCCCAGATCCACACGAGCCCCCAGCACTGAATGCTGCCCCCACCTCCAGCATTCAGGCCCCATCAGCTCCATATTACAAACACATCCAGAAAGCCACTTCCTCCCACTCCTGCTCCCACCTCTGTCCCGGCCCCTCATCGTTCCTGGGTCCGTTCTGGGTGTCCCCCATGAGCGTCCCAGCTTTTGCCCCTGCGCCCCACAATCCCTTTCCCACCTATGGTTGCCAAACAATGTTCTGTGATAATCCTTCTTCCACTGTGAGTGTCTCCAGAGAAAAGCTACCAGGATTCCAGAGTGAACAGTCTCACAGCCACAACAGTGGGCTGGACAACGAGCACTTGGCTACATATGTGAGAATAATCTTCAAATGAAAAATCAGTCACCTCATTCTCATTTTTAGAGGCAGAGACAGGAGACAATCCTCCTGTGTCCCTGTGAGGAAAGCTAAGGTCCTTCAGGGGTCCCACACTCTGCCCTCAGCCCTCACCCGTCTCACTGCCTTCAGCACAGACCTGGCGCTGCCTCAGGACATTGGCACTTGCTGTGTCCTCTGCCAGACGCCTCTGCCCACCCGGCCCTTCTATATCGCTGTGTCTTTATTGTCCTCCCGGCTTTGGCCTAATGTCACCTCCTCTTAGAAGTCTTTCCTGACCTGGTGTAACACGTGGGCTGCTGGAGAGCAGGACCCAGCCTGCTTTGCAGTGATAGTGGGCCCATGTGTGTTGAACGAATAGGCGAAGGAAGGAGCAGACCAGCAGCCACAGCTGTCTCTGTCAATTCCCTCTGTGGATGCAGGGCTGCCACAGGGGTACGGTCAGCACTCCTAGGCCTCAGGGTTTTGTGGACACCTCCCTGGACTCCCTACCCTGCAGCTGCCCACCTTGAGTACCAGTTTGCTGGCAAAGCAGAAAAGGGTGACAATTTTGCCCCAGGTGATGCCGTCTAAAAATATTTGGCGTGCCACTTGAGAAAATTCGCCAGAACTGAAGCCTCTGAGAGTTTCTAAAAACCTGCAGGAAAGAGGAAAGCTGTGATGGGGGGAGAGTGTCTAGCAGAGTGTGGAGACCCCGCTAGCCCCCTCATCCCCGACGTAAAGCGACCCAGGTCAGGCTGAAACTAAAAGCAAGGGGTCAACGAGCAGACAGGAGACATCTAGGGGAGAGAGGAAAATGACCTCCCAAGGAGGGTCTCAGGATCCCAGGAGAGGGGACGGCCTGGAGTTCGGACTTCTGAGTTGAGTGATGGGACCCTGGACCCTGGGGTGTGAAGGAGCAAGGCTTGTGGGTGTGGATCGCAGGAGAGGAGGGGTTGGGGCTGAAGCTGGGCCTCCTGGTGTATGGAGGTGACCAGTGACTGGATTCCTGGGTCTTGGGGCCGCACCTCTGCAGCTCCTTGTCATTGTCCACCTGTTGTGCGATGCGCTTGACAACTTCCAGCAGTTCTTTGATGTATGGGCCCTGGGTCACCTGCTCTAGGGCCAGCTGAGCTACATCCTTTGCGGCTGCTCCTATTGCGGCTGCTCCTATTTGATCGCAGATGAACCTGAAAGAAAAGGAGTGGAGGATGCAGAGTCAGAAAGGGGCCACTCCTCAAATCTGCTCCCCAATAACAAAACCTCTCCAACTCACCGTGGAAGCAAAATGGCCGCTGTCACCATGATCTGCTCATAGCTGGTGGGCCCTGCAGGAGGAAAGAGGGGAGAGGTGTCTGGACTCTGGAGTCCGGGGGGTGGGGTCATGGGGGTGTGGAGCTGCTCATGGTCCCCAAGGAAGGCCAACCCTGCGGGGGGCACTGGACTTCTGGGGCCCTGGGAGATAAAGTGACCCGGGACAGGACAACTGAGTCCTGATGGAGAAGAGGCGGGGGGGCCCGGCCTGTGTCCCACACTCTTGGGAGGGGGGCATGTTGGGAGAAGACTGGGCAACACATAAGGGGTGCAGACCTCTGGCCTGAGGGGCAGAGAGGAGAGCCGCCCCTCCCCCCAGGGCCAGAGGCAGGCAGTGGGCCTGTCTGGGGGTCTGGATTCAGGGGCCTCCAGGTGCTTGCGGGGGTCTGAGCGCCCCCCGCAGGAAGTCATCGGGGTGCAGAAGTAAGCGAGCCGGGAGCCCCAGGGATGGAGGGGCTGGAGGCTGGTGGCACCGGATCCGGAGGTTCTGCCCGGAGCATTTGGAGATCTCGTGGCCGGTGCTCTAGGTGGGACGTCCCGGGGCTCCCCTCCTCCCGCCCGTCTCCCTCCAGCCTCACCTCCGCCTCTGCACTGCAGCCCGGACCCGTCCATGACCGCCGCTCTCTCAGCTGACCCTGGCGAGGCCCCCCCCCCCCCCCCCCAGCAGCAGATCCCCTCCGGGACTTTGAGCTCTAGCTTTTCTGGCCACTGCTCCCCTCGCCTGACCGACCAATCAGCTTCGACAGCCGCCCAGCAACCCCCCTGTCTGTGGCCTGTGGGATGCTCTAGAGAACTTCAGCGCCTGCAGCAGCATTTCCAGAGGTCACAGGTGGGGCGCACCGTCTCCAGGGCAGGAGCCCTGAGACGGACCGAAGTACACTGCTGGGTGGAGCAGCAGGTGAGACAGGAGAGGTCTGCGCGCCATGTGGGACCCTCCTCCCGTGGCCGGGGAGCAGCCGGGGATCGAACCGGCGCCGCAGCCGCGGGCAGATTCGCAACCCAGCGCTCAACCGCTGCGCCACCGGGGAGGCCCAAAAGATTTATTTATTTTTATACAGAGTAGGAAACAGAACAGGCAGACGGACCGAAGTGGAGCAGCGGGTGAGAAGGGAGAGGTCTGCTGCACCATGTGGGTAGCTCCCTGGCAGGGGATCAAACTTATGCTGCAGTGGCTGCCAATAGCTTCATAGTGCTGAGACTTCACCCCTTGTGTCACCAGGGAGGACCCCAAATATGGGGATTGTAAAGTGGTAATTAAGTTAAAACAAGGTGGACCCTCATCAAGTAAGATTATAGTGTCCTTAGAAGAGGAAATGAGGATCCTCCCTGGTAGCACAAGGGGCTCAGTGTCAGCACTGTGAAGCTATCTGCTGCCACTGCAGAACCATTTCAATCCCCGGCCAGGAAGGTGACCACATGGCACAGCAGACCTCTCCTGTCTCCCCACTGCTCTGCTCAGCAGTGTGTTTCAGCAGATCTGCCTGTTCCGCTCCCCACTCTGTCTCTGGTGAATCCTCTCACACCCTACACTTGTGACTTGCACCCCAGTTCTTGTATGCATAAATGAATAAATCTTAAAAATAAAACCTTTTCAGGGCCTCCTCTGGTGGTGCAGGCGGTTGAGCACAGTGCTGTGAAGCTGTCCGCAGCCTCTGCAGCACCAGTTCTCTCCCGGCTGAAGGGCGAGGGTCCCACATGGCGCAGCAGACCTCTCCTGTGGCGCCTGCTGCTCCTCTCAGCAGTGTATTTCATCAGTCTGCCTGTTCTGCTCCCCGCTCTGTCTCTGGTGAGTCCTCTCACCCTCCCGCGAGTCTGGCTTGTGTCCCGGTTCTTGTGTAAATAAATAAATCTTTTTAAAAAACCAATAAAAAATAAAAAATAAAAAATAAACCTTTTCAGGGCTTCCCTGGTGGCTAAAGGGGTTAAGACGCAACCTATGAAGCCCTCCTTGGAGGGCACAGAGCTGGCCAGCGCTGCCTCCAGCCCCACAGCCTAGGGTGCCACGGAGGTGCTGTCGGGACTGTGGGCCCCTGGAGGGCAGCCTGGACCCAGCTCATCACTGACCCTCAGGGAGCCCCGGGCGCCCCCAGTAAAGAGATGGAACCAACCAGGGAGTGAGCCGAATGACACAGACAGGAAGTGTGGCCTGAAAGTTTTATTACCCCAGATCACCCCAACCCCCCCAATCATTCCAAAAGTAAGAAAATGAGAGTTGGGGTTCTCCCTGCGAAGCTTGAATGATTTGGAGTAGAGGGAAGCAACAGGCAGAAGGGGTGGCAATACAAAAGGAAGGATGGGCCTCTAGCCTCAGCCTTCATGGAAACATGCCATATTCATGCTGAGAAGACAGAGATGAAGGCAGCTGGGGCCTCAGCCTAAGTTCGCCCGAGTCCGGCTAAGGCAAGCAGTCCGGTCCCGATGGCCATTGCCACTGCTGTCCACTTGAGTGTCTCTCCATGTTTCTAGAGGATGTCATCCTGGGACACAGACATCTCTCATCAGCACTCAGCTAGGGCAGCCCCCAGGCCAGCTATGGGGACAGGGTGGGGGAGGTGTCAGGGAGAAGTCAAGGCCACAGCAGGGATCAGGGCCTAAGATAATGGGGACTAGAGAGTGAGGGCCAAGGAGTATCAGATGTGAGGGGTTCCAAAGGAACTGGAGGCCCAAGGGAGGGTAGAAAGTATCAGTCAGGTCAGAGGTTCCTGGGAGGTCACAGGTCACCAGGAGATGAGGGGTCGAGACCAGATGAATTGAGTTGATCAGACATGTGAGGCAATGCTTTTAGAACACATTTGATGACCAGAGAATGTGGAGGGGAGCAGCACTGTGGCGGGTACAGGAAGACCCCCAGGTCCCAGCGGAGTGGGGGAGGGGTGGTGAAGGGCCTCACCCAGCCACCCTGTGCCTGGATCCAGGCCAGCAGTCGCACTTGAATGAAGTGCAGTGTCCAGTCCATGATGAGCTCGATCTGCTCTGGCTTGTCGTCATTCAGGGCCTACAATGATGCCGTGGGAGCAGGGGGTGAGCTCCTACTGCCAGGGGACTGTGCCCCCAAGCCTCCTTTCTCAAGGCTCTGCTCCCCCCTGACCTCCTGTGATTCTTTTCCACTCATAACTTGGATCTCATCCCTGTCAACTGCCCTCTCGGGAACCTCCCATCCTCCCCTGGGATCCAAACTAAAGGCATGGTTGGCCAAGGCCCTGCATCGAAGTTCTGATATGATCAATCCAAGTTTCCTTTTTCCAGTCTTCATTCCCACTAAACTTTTCTGCCTCAGGACCTTTGCACACATTGGTGCAACCCCCGTTGCCATGACCTGCTCTCCAATTTCCCGAACCTCTCCTTTCTCATCCTCTATGTGGCTGCTTCTCCCCAGATCCACATGGAGCCCCCGATCACTCAATCTGACCCCACCTCCAACATTCAAGCCCCATCAGCTCAATCTTACAAACACATCAGGAAAGTTATTTCCAGGCTTCCCAGGTGGCACAAGGGGTTAAGATGCAACCTATGAAGCTCTCCGCAGTCACTGAAGCACGAGTTCGATCCCCGGCCAGAGAGCTACCAACATGGTGCAGCAGACCTCTCCTGTCTCCCCGCTGCTCCCCTCAGCAGTGGATTTCAGTGGATCTGCCTGTTCTGTTCCCTGCTCTGTCTCTGGTGACTCATCTCACACCCCCCACACCTCTGGCCTGTACCTAGGTTCTTGTATGAAGAATGGAAAGAAAGGAAGAAAGGGAGGGGGGGGGGAGAAAGCAAGCAAGCAACAAGCAAGCTACTTCCCCTTAGCCCTGCTCCCACCTGAGTCCCGGCCCCTCATTGTTCGCTGGGTCCATTCTGGGTGCCCCGTCACCAGCCTCCCAGCTTTTGCCCCTGCGCCCCGCAGTCCCTTTCCCACCTATAGTTGCCAAACAATGTTCTGTGATAATCCTTCTTCCACTGTGAGCGTCTCCAGAGAAAAGCTACCAGGATTCCAGAGTGAACAGTCTCACAGCCACAACAGTGGGCTGCACAACGAGCACTTGGCTGCATATGTGAGAATAATCTTCAAATGAAAAACCAGTCACCTCATTCTCATTTTTAGAGGCAGAGGCAGGAGACAATCCTCCTGTGTCCCTGTGAGGAAAGCTAAGGTCCCTCAGGGGTCCCACACTCTGCCCTCAGCCCTCACCCGTCTCACTGCCTTCAGCACAGACCTGGCGCTGCCTCAGGACATTGGCACCTGCTGTGTCCTCTGCCAGACGCCTCTGCCCACCCGACCCTTCTATATCACTGCGTCTTTATTGTCCTCCCGGCTTTGGCTTAATGTCACCTCCTCTTAAAAGTCTTTCCTGGGCCTCCCCGGTGGCGCAGCGGTTGAGCGCTGGGTTGCGAAGCTGCCCGCAGCCTCTGCAGCACCGGTTCGATCCCCGGCTGCTCCCCGGCCACCGGAGGAGGGTCCCACATGGCGCGCAGACCTCTCCTGCCGCCCGCTGCTCCCCTCAGCGGTGTCCTTCGGTCCTTCTGCCTGCTCTGCTCCCCGCTCTGGCTCTGGTGAATTCTCTCACCCTCCCGCGCTTCTGACTGTGCCCAGTGCTTGTATAAAACAAGCAAACAAACAAACAAACAAACAAATAAATAAAAACATGCCTCTATTAAAAATAAATAAATAAATAAATAAAGTAACTTGCTTTAAAAAAAAAAAAAAGGCTGTCCTGACCACGTGACAACACGTCTCTTGGCTCACGAGTCTCAGCACTCGACACTTCACATGGGCTGAAGGAGAGCAGGGACCTCGCAGCTTTGTCGGGGCTGAGTGCCGCGCAGGCGCAGGGCAGGCCCAGGGCACACATGCTGAATGAGCAGGCGAAGGAAGGAGCAGACCAGCTGCCACAGCTGCCTCTGTCCAGACACCTCTCGCCTCCTCTCTCCTCTCGGGCTCTCACCTCTGAGCAGACCCCTGAACTGTGGACACGGGGCTGCCCCAGGGTTAAGATCAGGACTCCCAGGTCTCGGGGTTCTGTGGGCGCCTCCCTGGGCTCCCCACCCTGCAGCTGCCCACCTGGAGCACCAGTTTGCTGGCCAAGCGGAAAAGGACAGCCACCAGGCCCCAGGCGATGCCGTTTGAAAAGATCTGTCCTGCCACCTGGAAAAAGTTGGCAGCTGTGTGGACTCCGTCCAATGCTGTGACTGACCTGCAGGAAAAAAGCGCGTCCTGAGGAGGAGCGAGTGTCTCGCAGAGTGTGGAGCCCCTGCAGCCACCTCCTCCCCGAGGTGAAGGGACCCAGGCCAGGGCGAAATGAAAAGCAAGAGGCCAACGTGCAGCCAGGGCACAAGAGGGAAACATCTAGGGGAGACAGGAAAATGGCTTCCTGAGGGGGGTTTCAGGATCCCAGGGGAGGGGACCTCCTGGAGTTCAGACTCCCAAGTTGAGTGATGGGACCCTGGACCCTGGGGTGTGAAGGAGCAAGGCTTGTGGGTGTGGATCGCAGGAGAGGGGGGTGTTGGGGGCTGAGGCTGGGCCTCCTGGTGTATGAAGGTGGCCAGTGACTGGATTCCTGGGTCCTGGGGCCGCACCTCTGCAGCTCCTCGTCCTTGCCCATTTTTTGTGCGATGAGCCTGAGAACTACCACCAGTAGTTGGATGTGTGGGTCCTGGGACACCTGCTCTCGGGCCAGCTCAGCTACACTCTCTGCTTTTGATCCTATTTCATCGCAGATGAAACTGAAAAGTAAAGGGAGTGGAGGATGCAGAGTCAGGAAGGGGCCACTCCTCAAATCCGCTCCCCAATAATCAGACCTCAAACTCACCCTCGTAGCAAAAGGGCCGCTGTCTTCATGATGGGCTCAGAGATGGCGAGCCCTAGAGGAGAGAGGAGGGGAGAGTTGTCTGGACTCTGGAGTCCTAGGGGTTCATGGGAGGGAGGGAGCGGAGCCGGCTCATGGTCCCCCGGGGAGGGCAACGCTGGCCTTGGACACTGGGGGCCTGGGAGATAAAGTCGCCGGGGACAGGACACTAAGTCCCTGATGGAGAAGGAGGCAGGGAGGCCCAGCCTGGGTCCCGCACTCTTCCGGGGGAGGGGACTGGGCAACATTTAAGGGGTGCAGACCTCTGGCCTGAGGGGCAGAGAGGAGAGCCGCCCCTCCTAACAGAGCCAGAGGCAGGAAGTGGGCCTGTCAGGGGGTCTGGATTCAGGGTCTCCAGGTGCGGGTGGGGTCTCCCCACAGGAAGAGATCAGGTGCGGAAGTCAGAGTGGGGGGACCCCCGGGGAAGGAGGGGCTGGAGGCTGGTGGTGCCAGATCTGGGAGGTTCTGACAGGAGTGCTCGGAGATCTTGCGCCCCGAGTCTGGCAGGCGTGAGGGTGGGCGGTGAGGGGATTGGGGGTGGGGTGGGGGATGGGGTACGGATGAGGGGTTGGGGCGTCGGGGAGCGGGGTCCCCACAATCGCCCTCCTCCCGCCCGTCTGCCTCCCGCCTCACCTCCGCCTCTGCGCTGCAGCCGGGACCGGTCCATGACGGCCGCTCTCTCCGCTGACCCCGGCGAGGCCGCCCCTGAGCAGCAGATCCCCTCCGGGACTCTGAGCTCTGGCTTTTCCGGCCGCTGCTCCCCTGGCTTGACCGGCCAGTCAGCTTCGCTTTAGAAGCTGCTCCAGGCGCCCCCTGGCAGCCGCCCAGCACCCCGCCCTGCCTGAGGCCTGCGCTGACCTTGAGAACTTTGCTCCTGTAGGCAGCTTTTCCAGAGGTCACAGTTGGGGGCGCCGTCTCCAGGGCAGGAGCCCCGAGCCCCTCAGAGCCCCCCGCGGCCCAGCAAGGGCTTCCCTGAGGCCGCGCGTGTCAGACGCCGGAATCCCGGGTCTGTGTGAACAAAACAGGGTGTGAAGTTCAAAAAGCCGCACAATCCCCGGGGCTGGATGGGCAGCGTGGGGAACTGTGGACCCCAAGAAGGGCTGCCGGGGTGTCCCCACTGTGCTGGAGCCTGTGGTGATGATCTGGGGGCGCACAGAGTAAATCCACGGCCCTGTGCACAGAAGACACGCACTTTCCTGGGTGGGGTTCACTGTGGCTCCTTGTAAGCAGGAAAAGATAAGAAACAAGTCATGAGAAAATAGTCTGGGGGAAGCTACAGAAACCTGCCATTCAGCCAGTGTGGTTAAAATATCTGCTTTTGGTTTTAGGGAGTGAGTGAATGTGTGTTTTGGCAAAGTGCTCTAAGGTCTCCCCTGGTGGCACAGAGGTTGAGCCCAGGGCTGCCAGGCTGCCCGCAGCCTCTGCAGTGCCTTTGGATCCCGGCAGCCAGCGAGGGTCCCACATGGAGCGCAGACCTCACCTGCCGCCCGCTGCTCCCCTCAGCAGCGTATTTCATCAGTCTGCCTGTTCTGTTCCCCGCTCTGGTGAATCCTCTCACCCCTCCCAACACTCTGGCCTATACCCCAGTTCTTGTATGCAAACAAAAATAAATCTTATTTTAAAAAAAAAAGTGCATCAGGCCGCAGGAAGAAACGGCATTGTCTTCCTGACCAGATGTGTGCGGTGTTTTTCTGCTGTGTTGCAAGCACTACAAAACAGTTATGAGATGACGCAATTTCAAGGAAAATGAAACTCAACTCTGCCTCTTCATCGGAGAGGAAATTATGTCAGGCCAGTGGAGCTGTTCTGGCAAAGGCTAATAGAACAGTGGCTTAAAGAAGACAGAGGTTTCCTTCTGTCCTGCAGCAGCCCAAGACTACTGACACTAAACACCACAGTGCCAGGGAGGCTGACAGTTCATTCATGTGTCAAAGGGCCAGGGCTGCGTGGTAGTGAGATATCGGGGCTAACATTATTAAGGGGGTTTCGTGAGGGCATATTTGGATGAGATTATTTTAACATTTAAATTGGTAAATGTGGCCTTATCCAAATCAGTTAAATGGAACAAAAAGGCTGACCCTCTTTCAAGTAAGAAGTCTTCTTTCAAAAAAAGATTTATTTTTATTTATTTATGCATACAAGAGCTGGGGTGTAGGTGAGAGGTGAGCGGGATAGAGGATTCACCGGAGACAGAGTAGGAGCAGAACAGGCAGATTGACTGGAATACACTGCTGCGGGGAGCAGCGGGGACACAGGGGAGGTCTGCTGCGCCATGTGGGTAGCTCCCTGGCTGGGGATCGAACTGATACTGCAGTGGCTGCCAATAGCTTCATAGCGCTGAGACTTAACACCTTGTGTCACCAGGAAGGACCCTGATAAGGGGATTTTAAGGAGGAAATTAAGTTTAAAAAGGTGAACCCTAATCAAGTAAGATTATAGTGTCCTTAGAAGCGGAAATTAGGATCCTCCCTGGTGGAGGGGGTCTCCCTGTAAAGTTTGAGTGACTTGGTGCAGGGGAAAGCAACAGGAAGAAGGGGTGGCAATAAAAAAGAAATATGGAACTCCCTGGTGGCGCAGTGGTTGAGCGCTGGGCTGCGAAGCTACCCACAGCCTCTGCAGCTCAGGTTTGATCCCCAGTCACCGGCAAGATTCCCACATGGTACGCAGACCTTTCCTGCCGCCTCCTGCTCCCCTCAGCAGTGTACTTCATCAGTCTGCCTGTTCTGTTCCCCTTTCTGGCTCTGGTGAATTCTCTCACCCTCCCGCGCTTCTGACTGTACCCAGTGCATGTATAAATAAGTTAAAAAAAAATCTTTTACTCCTTTTTCCAATCTTCATTCACACGAAACTCCTTTCTGCCTCAGGACCTTTGTGCATGTTGGTTATTCTGCCTCAATAGGCCTTGTCTGACTTACCTGCCAGCTAAGACTCAACACGCCCAGTTGCCGTGACCTGCTCTCCAACTCCCTGGACGCCCCCTTCCACCCTCTATGGGGCTGCTTCTCCCCAGATCCACATGAGCCCCCAGCACTGAATGCTGCCCCCACCTCCAACATTCAGGCCCCATCGCCTCCATATTACAAACACATCCTGAAAGCCACTTCCTCCCACCCCCGCTCCCACCTCTGTCCCGGCCCCTCATCGTTCCTGGGTCCGTTCTGGGTGCCCCCCACTAGGGTCCCAGCTTTTGCCCCTGTGCCCCACAGTCCCTTTCCCACCTATAGCTGCCAAACAATGTGCTGGGCATCCCTTCTTCCACTGTGAGCGTCTCCAGAGAAAAGCTACCAGGATTCCAGAGTGAACAGTCTCACAGCCACAACAGTGGGCTGGACAACGAGCACTTGGCTGCATATGTGAGAATAATCTTCAAATGAAAAACCTGTCACCTCATTCTCATTTTTAGAGGCAGAGACAGGAGACAATCCTCCTGTGTCCCTGTGAGGAAAGCTAAGGTCCTTCAGGGGTCCCACACTCTGCCCCCAGCCCTCACCCATCTTACTGCCTTCAGCACAGACCTGGCGCTGCCTCAGGACATTGGCACTTGCTATGTCCTCTGCCAGACGCCTCTGCCCACCTGACCCTTCTATATCACTGCATCTTTATTGTCCTCCCGGCTTTGGCCTAATGTCACCTCCTCTTAGAAGTCTTTCCTGACCACACGTACAACACGTGGGCTGCAGGAGAGCAGGACCCAGCCTGCTTTGCAGTGTTGGTGGGCCCATGCGTGTTGAATGAATAAGCGAAGGAAGGAGCAGACCAGGAGCCACAGCTGTCTCTGTCAATTCCCTCTGTGGATACAGGGCTGCCCCAGGGGTACGGTCAGGACTCCCAGGTCTCAATGTTCTGTGGGTGCCTCCCTGGGCCCCCACCCTGCATCTGCCCACCTTGAGCACCAGTTTGCTGATGAACCAGATAAAGGCAACAATCCCGCCCCAGGTGTAGCCGTCTGAAAATATTTCGCATGCCACTTCGAAAACTTCCCCAGCAGTGAAGACTCTGTCCGTATGTATCATCCTGCAGGAAAGAGGAGAGCCGTGATGGGGAGAGAGCATCTAGCAGAGTGTGGAGACCCCGTTAGCCCCCCCACCCCTAAGATAAGGTAAACCAGGCCCAGGTCAGGCTGACATGAAAAGCAAGGGGTCAACGTGCAGACAGGGGACATCTAGGGGAGAGGGGAAATTGGCTCCCTGAGGAGGGTTTCAGGATCCCAAGGGAGGGGACGGCCTGAGTTGAGTGAGGGGACCCTGGACCCTGGGGTGTGAAGGAGCAAGGATTGTGGGTGTGGATCGTAGGAGAGGAGGGGTTGGGGCTGAAGCTGGGCCTCCTGGTGTATGAAGGTGGCCAGTGACTGGAGTCCTGGGTCCTGGGGCCGCACCTCTGCAGCTCCTCGTCCTTGTCCATTTCTTGTGCCTTGCGCTTGAGAACTTTCCCCAGTTCTTTGATGTATGGGGCCTGGGACACCGGCTCTGGACCCAGCTCATCTATATCCTTTGCGGCTGGTCCTATTTGATCACAGATGAAACTGAAAAGTACATGGAGTGGAGGATCAGAGTCAAAAGGGGCCACTCCTCAAATCCACTCCCCAATAATGAAACCTCAAACTCACCCCCGAAGCAAATGGGCCCCTGTCTCCATGATCTGCTCAGAGCTGTGGACCCTGCAGGAGAAAGGAGGGGAGGGGTGTCTGGACTCTGGATCCTGGGGGGTCATGGGGGTGGGGAGCCGCTCATGGTCCCCAAGGTAGGCCAATGCTGGGGGGGGGGGGGCGCACTGGACTTCGGGGACCTCAGAGATAAAGTGACCGGGGACCGGACAACTGCGTCCCTGACGGAGAAAGAGGCAGGGAGGCCCAGCCAGTGTCCTGCACTCTTCCGGGTGAGGGGGCTGGGACAACACTGAAGGGGTGCAGACCTCTGGCCTGAGGGGCAGAGAGGAGAGCCGCCCCTCACCGCAGAGCCGAGGCAGGAAGTGGTGCCCGCAACAAGCCTGGGCCTGCCCGGGGGTCTGGATTTAGGGGTCTCCAGGTTCTTGAGGGGTCCGAGAGCACCCCACAGGAAGAGATCGGGTGTGGATGTCAGAGACCGGGTGTGGATGTCAGAGACCTGGGTACCCCCTGGGGAAGGAGGGGCTCGAGGCTGGCGGTGCCCCAGCCTGGGGTTCTGCGGGGGCGGGGGGGGAAGTTGGGTGTGTGTGTGGGGGGGGGTGCTGGCAGGGGTTATGTCCCGGGGGGTCGCCCTCCTCACTCCCATGTGCCTCCAGGCTCACCTCTGGGGAACCGGCTCATGACTGCTGCTCTCTCCAGTGACTCTGCCCTTCAAAACTGTGAGCCCTTGCTTTTCCAGGCAGCTGCTCCCTGGCTTGACTGGCCAATCAGCACTTCCGCTTTAGAAGCTGCTGCTAAATAAGGCCTCCAACCCTCCCACCGCCCAGGACCACGCCCTATCAGTGGCCCCTGTGATGCCCTTGTGAACTTTGCTCCTGCAGTTAGGGATTTCAGAGGTTACCTGTGTGGGTGCGCGGCTCCAGGGCAGGATCCCTGAGCGTGGGTCATTTGCTGGTGTAGCAGAAAAGGACGGCAACCCGGCCCCAGGTGATGCCGTCTGAAAACATTTGTCCTGCCACATGGAAAAAGAAGGAAGCTGTGCAGACTTTGTCCATTTCTGTCATCCTGCAGGAAAGAGGAGAGCCGCGATGGGGGGAGAGTGTCTAGCAGAGTGTGGAGACCCCGCTAGCCCCCTCATCCCCGACGTAAAGGGACCCAGGCCAGGCTGACATGAAAAGCAAGGGGTCAACGAGTAGACAGGGGGCATCTAGGGGAGAGAGGAAAATGGCTCCCTGAGGAGGGTTTCAGGATCCCAGGAGAGGGGACGGCCTGGAGTTCGGAATCCTGAGTTGAGTGAGGGGACCCTGGACCCTGGGTGTGAAGGAGCAAGGATTGTGGGTGCGGATCCCAGGAGAGGAGGGGGTTGGGGGCTGAAGCTGGGCCTCCTGGTGTATGAAGGTGGCCAGTGACTGGATTCCTGGGTCCTGGGGCCGCACCTCTGCAGCTCCTTGTCACTGTGCACTTCTTGTGCGATGCACTTGAGAACTTCCACCAGTGATTAGATGTATGGGTCCTGGTGTAACAGGGTGGTCCCCAGGAAATGGGGAGGTTCCAGGTTCCTGCCCCACCCAAGGGAGGGTGGAGCTGAGCAGGGAGAGAAGAAGCTGCAGAGGAGACTGAGGAAGGAAGAAAGTAGGATGGAGAGAAGAAGGAGACCTGGAGGAGGCGCATGGAGCCGAGAGACACGTGAAGAAACTGCGCTTGTCTTTTGGTCATGGACGGGGTGACACAGATGTGGGTGAGACCCGTGGGGAGGGGACCATGGCAGCTTTTACCTTGATGTTGATTTTGCTCCTTTCCTTCCAGGCTTGTCTGGTGGTTTCTGGCCCTTTTCTGTGGGTCCCCACTGGAAGATGCTTTAGACTTGGGGCAGGCTTTGGGGCCTTGCTCTGGGCCGATCCCATTTGGATGGACTTTTACCCACGAGGGGACGGGTCACTTTGGGTGCTTCATTTGGAAACTAGATTCTTTGTCTTTCCTGTATTGTTTCCTAGTAGTATTTAAAGTTCCTTCCCATTAAAGTCTCACATGTTTTGTGTTGATGCGGCGGGCGGCAGAACCCATTTAGAATAGGCAGGTTTGCAGGGATTTGGGCTGCCCCTCGCCCTGCCCTGTAACACTGGGACACCTGCTCTAGGGCCAGCTGAGCTACATCCTTTGGGGCTGTTCCTATTTGATCGCAGATGAAACTGAAAATAAAGGAGTGGAGGATGCAGAGTCAGGAAGGGGCCACTCCTCAAATCTGCTCCCCAATAAGGAAACCTCTCAAACTCACCCCTGAAGCAAAAGGGCCGCTGTCTCCATGATCTCCTCAGAGCTGGTGGGCCCTGCAGGAGAAAGGAGGGGAGAGTTGTCTGGACTCTGGAGTCCTGGAGGGTCATGGGGGTGGGGAGCCGCTCATGGTCCCCAAGGAAGGCCAACCCTGTGGGGGACACTGGACTTCTGGGGCCCTGGGAGATAAAGTGACCCAAGACAGGACAACTGAGTCCCTGATGGAGAAGGAGGGAGAGAGGCCCAGCCTGGGTCCTGCACTCTTCGGGGGAGGGGACTGGGAGAAAACTTAAGGGGTGCAGACCTCTGGCCTGAGGGGCAGAGAGGAGAGCCGCCCCTCCCACCAGGGCCAGAGGCAGGAAGTGGGCCTGTCCAGATATATGTATGTATGTATATAAATATATATATATATAGAGAGAAAGAGAGTCAGTTGCATAATACAGTACTGCAAATACTGTTTTTTTTTTTTTTAAGATTTATTGATTTATTTATACAAGCTCTGGGTACAGTCAGAAGCACGGGAGGGTGAGAGAATTCACCAGAGCCAGAGTGGGGAGCAGAACAGACAGACTGACAAAGTACACTGCTGAGGGGAGCAGCGGGCGGCAGGAGAGGTCTGCGCGCCATACGGGACCCTCTCCTGGGGCCGGGGATCGAACTGGCGCTGTAGAGGCTGCGGGCAGCTTCGCAACCCAGCGCTCAACCACTGCGCCCCCGGGGAGGCCCTACAAATAGGGTTTGAAGGTTAAAGTTGAATCTTTTCTTTAGAGGAAAAAAATAATAGAAACCATTACGAAGCTGGAAGAGGAAGAACCTTTGTAAACAGAGAAGGGGCCGTGAAAGTGGGAATTAAGTGATGCTGAGGGCATCAGCTAAGACATTCCCAGGGACAGAGGGCCCTGAACGCTGACCTAGGAAGGTTTCTTGGGTGAAGGACACTAGGAAGAATTGGGGATGTCCCATTCTGCCTAGGGGTGTGAAAAATGAACCCATCTCTATGTTGTGGGTTATGAGACCAGCTGTTTGGCTTAACTGTGGGGTGACACATCAGTTGAGAACAACAACAACCATTGTGTTACTGTGCATAGGCCTGTGGCGCAGCCAGGTGGTCCAGCCTGGGGCCACTCAGTGTTTCCCATTAGCTGGTAAGTGGGGCTGGAGCACCGGAGAGGCTGAAGCAGTCGCCCCCTGACCGGGAGACTCTCCACTTTCATGGGACCTCTGGGCTTTCCATGCGGTTTCTTTGTGTGGATTAGTAGTGTGACTTCATTGCAGCAGAAGTTCTTGTGTGGTGGCTGAAGGGTCTAGAGTGTATCTGGCCTCCCTGGCAGTGCAAGAGGTTAAGTCACAGCACTGTGAAGCTGTCAGCAGCCACCGCAACAGGAGTTTGATCCCCAGCCAGGAAGCTACCCACATGGTGCAGCAGACCTCTCCTGTCTCTTCAGCTGCTCCCCTCTGCAGTGTATTTCGGTAGATACTTCTGTTCTGCTCCCCACTCTGTCTCTGGTGAATCCTCTCCCCCCCCACAACAGTGGCCTATAACCCAGTTCTTGTATGCATAAATAAATAAATCTTTAAATCCCATCATTGTTGATCCCGAACCTGAGTGGTCTTGCAATTGTGTGCATGGGTGAAGACAGTGACCAGGGAACTACTTGGGAACCGTTCTTGCCCCATTTTAGTGCCCCTTATTGCCCAGTAACAGAACCAATCAGGGAGTGAGCCCAGGGACACTGACTAGAAGTGTGACCCAAAAGGGTTTTATTATCTCATCTCCCCAATAATTACAAAAGAAGGGGGTCTCCCAGTAAAGTTTGAGTGACTTGGTGCAGAGGAAAGCAACAGGAGGAAGGGGTGGCAATAAAATGGAAAATGGTCCCCCATCGTCACCTTGCTTGGAAAAACGTCACATTGACGCTGAAAAGACAGATCAAGGCAGCAGGGGCCTCAGCCTGAGATGGTCCGGACTCTGAATACGGCGAGCGCTGCAGTCCCGATGATGGCCACAGCCACTGCCACTGCGAGCCACTTGATTTTATCACTGTGTTGTGAGAGGAGGCCGCCCTGGGGACACAGACATCTCCTGTGAGCACCCAGCCAGGGCAGCCCCAAGGCCCGCTCACAGGGAGAGGGCGGGGAGAGAAGACAGGGGAGTCAGGACTAGGCAGTGAGGGTTAAGGACTATGACAGATTTGAGTAATTCTAGAGGACCTGGAGACCCCAAGGAGGGTAAAAAGTACTAGTTAGGTCAAGGGTAACTGGGAGGTCAGAGGTCAGCAGCAGGTGAAATGTCAGGGACCAGATAAACTAGTTGAAGGGACACGTGAGGAAACACATTATAGACCACATGTGATTATCAGAAAATGAGAAAGGGAGCAGCTCTGTGGTGGGTTCAGGAAGGCCCCCCAGGTACCGGCGGAGTAGGGGAGGGGGTGGTTAAGGGCCTCACCCATCCACCCTGTTCCTGGATCCAGGGCAGCAGTCGCTTTCGAATGAAGTCCAGCGTCCAGTCCATGATGGTGGTGATCAGCTCCCGCATGTCCGTGCACAGGGCCTACGGCGATGAGGTGGGAGTAAGGACTGAGCTCCTACTGCCAGGTGACTCCCCAGACCCCTTTCTCAAACCTCTGCCTCCCCCCGACCCCCTGTGGTTCTTCCCACTCATAACTTGAATCTCATCACTGGCAACTGCCCTGCTTGGAACCCTCTCATCCTCCCAAGTACCCCTGGGATCCAAACCAAAGGCATGGGCTGCACAGGCCATATGGAAGTTCTCCTTGCTCACACTGAATTTTTCTTTTACTTTTTGGTGTCTCATCTTTTTTCCAATCTTCATTCACACGAAACTCCTTTCTGCCTCAGGACCTTTGTGCATGTTGGTTATTCTGCCTCAAGAGGACTTGTCTGACTTTCCTGCCAGCTAAGACTCAACACCCCCAGTTGCCGTGACCTGCTCTCCAACTCCCTGGACGCCCCCTTCTACCCTGTATGTGGCTGCTTCACCCCAGATCCACGTGAGCCCCCAGCACTGAATGCTGCTCCCACCTCCAACATTCAGGCCCCATCAGCTCCATATTACAAACACATCCAGAAAGCTCCTTCCTCCCACCCCCGCTCCCACCTGAGTCCCAGCCCCTCATCGTTCGCTGGGTTCATTCTGGGTGTCCCCCACCAGCGTCCCACCAGCTTTTGCGCCTGCGCCCCACAGTCCCTTTCCCAACTATAGTTGCCAAACTATGTTCTGTGATAATCCTTCTTCCACTGTGAGCGTCTCCAGAGAAAAGCTACCAGGATTCCAGAGTGAACAGTCTCACAGCCACAACAGTGGGCTGCACAACGAGCACTTGGCTGCATATGTGAGAATAATCTTCAAATGAAAAACCTGTCACCTCATTCTCATTTTTAAGGGCAGAGACAGGAGACAATCCTCCTGTGTCCCTGTGAGGAAAGCTAAGGTCCTTCAGGGGTCCCACACTCTGCCCTCAGCCGTTCCCCATCTTACTGCCTTCAGCACAGACCTGCCGCTGCCTCAGGACATTGGCACTTGCTGTGTCCTCTGCCAGACGCCTCTGCCCACCTGACCCTTCTATATCGCTGTGTCTTTATTGTCCTCCTGGCTTTGGCTTAATGTCACCTCCTCTTAGAAGTCTTTCCTGACCAGGAGTACAACACATCGGCTGCAGGAGAGCAGGACCCAGCAGTCTGCTTTGCAGTGTTGGTGGGCCCATGCGTGTTGAATGAATAAGCGAAGGAAGGAGCAGACCAGCAGCCACAGCTGACTCTGTCAATTCCCTCTGTGGATACAGGGCTGCCACAGGGTTACAGCCAGGACTCCCAGGTTTCAGGGTTTTGTGGACACCTCCCTGGCTCACGACCCTGCAGCTGCCCACCTTGAGCACCAGTTTGCTGGCGAGGCAGAAAAGGACAGCCACCCGGCCCCAGTTGATGCCGTCTGAAAATATTTCGCGTGCAAATCTGACAAAGACCTCAGCAGTGAAGACATTGTCAGTTTCTATCATCCTGCAGGAAAGAAGAGAGCCGTGATGGGGAGAGAGCATCTAGCAGAGTGTGGAGACCCCACTAGCCACCCCACCCCTAAGATAAGGTAAATGAGGCCCTGGCCAGGATGAAATGAAAAGCAAGGGGTCAACGTGCAGACAGGGGACATCTAGGGGAGAGAGGAAAATGGCTCCCTGAGGAGGGTTTCAGGATCCCATGGGAGGGGACGGCCTGAGTTGAGTGAGGGGACCCTGGACCCTGGGGTGTGAAGGAGCAAGGATTGTGGGTGTGGATTGCAGGAGAGCAGGGGGTTGGGGGCTGAAGCTGGGCCTCCTGGTGTATGAAGGTGACCAGTGACTGGATTCCTGGGTCCTGGGGCCGCACCTCTGCAGCTCCTCGTCCTTGTCCATTTCTTGTGCGATGCGCTTGAGAACTTCCAGCAGTGGTTTGATGTATGGGGCCTGGGCCACCCTCTCTAGGGCCAGCTCAGCTATATACTTTGCCATTGATCCTATTTGATCGCAGATGAAACTGAAAGTACATGGAGTGGAGGACGCAGAGTCAGAAAGGGGCCACTCCTCAAATCCGCTCCCAATAATGAAACCTCTCAAACTCACCCCCGAAGCAAAAGGGCCGCTGTCTCCATGATCTGCTCAGAGCTGGTGGGCCCTGCAGGAGACAGGAGGGGAGGGGTGTCTGGACTCTGGAGTCCTGGAGTGGGCTCATGGTCCCCAGAAAGGCCAACGCTGGGGGGGCGGGGGGGCACTGGACTTCTGTGGGCCTGGGAGATAAAGTGACCCGGGACAGGACAACTGAGTCCTGGTGGAGAAGGGGCAGGGAGGCCCAGCCTGGTTCCACACTCTTCAGGGGAGGGGACTGGGCAACACTTAAGGGGTGCAGACCTCTAGCCTGAGGGGCAGAGAGGAGAGCCGCCCCTCCCCCCAGGGCAGAGGCAGGAAGTGGGCCTGTCCGGGGGTCTGGATTCAGGGGTCTCCAGGTTCTCGGGGGTCCGAGAGCCCCCCGCAGGAAGAGATCGGGGTGTGGAAGTCAGAGAGCCGGGGCCCCCGGGGAGGGAGGGGCTGGAGGCTGGCAGCGCCGGACCCGGGAGGTTCTGCCCGAGAGAGCCTGGAGATCTGGCTCCCGGAGCCCGCAGGGGTATCGTGGGGCCGGCCGGGGGCTCCCCTCCTCCCGCCTGTCCACTTCCCGCCTCACCCCCGCCTCCGGGCTGCTCCCGCGTGGGGTCCATCCCCGCCGCTCCCGCCGCCGCCTGGGGCGGGCCAGGCCCGAGGGACAGTAGCTCCCCTGGTCCCGGGAGGCTCCTCCGGAACCGAGTCCCTAGTTCTCCCGGGCGTGGCCGCCGGGCAGGATTTCTGGGTCCAAAGGTCGGAAGATCTGCACCTGCCTCTCAGGTGTGGGAGGCTCCGCCCCCCGCCTGACCGGCCAATCAGCATCGCCTCGGAGCTGGGCGTGGCGCCACCTGGCCCGCGCGCGCACCTGAGACTCCCGCGCCTCAGGCGGCGTTTCCAGAGTCACAGGTGGGGGCGCCGTCTCCAGGGCAGGAGCCCGAGCGCCCCTCAGAGACCCCTGCGGCCCAGCAAGGGCTTCCCTGAGGCCGCGCGTGTCACACGCCGGAATCCCGGGTCTGTGTGAACAAAACAGGGTGTGAAGTTCAAAAAGCCGCACAATCCCCGGGGCTAGATGGGCAGCGCGGGGAACTGGGGGACCCCAAGAAGGGCTGCCGGGGTGTCCCCACTGTGCTGGAGCTTGTGGCGATGATCTGGGGGCGCACAGAGTAAATCCACGGCCCTGTGCACAGAAGACACGCACTTTCCTGGGTGGGGTTCACTGTGGCTCCTTGTAAGCAGGAAAAGATAAGAAACAAGTCATGAGAAAATAGTCTGGGGGATGCTGCAGAAACCTGTCATTCAGCCAGTGTGGTTAAAATACCTGCTTTTAGTTTTAGGGAGTGAGTGAATGCGTGTTTTAGCAAAGTGCTCTAAGGTCTCCCCTGGTGGCACAGAGGTTGAGCGCTGGGCTGCGAGGCTGCCCACAGCCTCTGCAGTGCCTTTGGATCCCGGCCGCCAGCGAGGGTCCCACATGGCGCGCAGACCTCTCCTGCCGCCCGCTGCTCCCCTCAGCAGTGTACCTTGTCAGTCTGCCTGCTCTGCTCCCCGCTCTGGCTCTGGTGAATTCTCTCACCCTCCCGAGCTTCTGACTGTACCCACTGCTTGTATAAATAAATAAATTAAAAAAAAATCTTTAAAAAAAAAAAAAGAAAAGGAAAATGGTCCCCCATCATCACCTTGGTGGAAAAATACCACTTTGATGCTGAAAAGCCAGAGATCAAGGCAGCTGGGGCCTCAGCCTGAGATGGTCCGGGCTCTGAATACAGCGAGCGCTGCAGTCCCGATGATGGCCACTGCCACTGCCACTGCGAGCCACTTGATTTTATTACTGTATCGTGAGAGGAGGCCGCCCTGGGGACACAGACATCTCCTGTCAGCACCCAGCCAGGGCAGCCCCGAGACCCGCTCACAGGGAGCAGGTGGGGAGAGAAGACAAGGGCACTGTGGAGTCAGGACTAGGCAGTGCGGGTTAAGGATTATCACAGATTTGAGTAATTCTAGAGGACCTGGAGACCCCAAGGAGGGTAAAAAGTACTAGTTAGGTCAAGGGTAACTGGGAGGTCAGAGGTCACCAGCAGGAAGGGTCAGTGACCAGACCCACTCAGTTGAAGGGAGACATGAGGAAACACATTATAGACCACATGTGATTATCAGAAAATGAGAAAGGGAGCAGCTCTGCGGTGGGTTTGTTGTAGAAACAAATTCTACTTTTTACCGAGGCAGAGGAAGAACAAGCGGCACTTCAGGAACGGTGAGGTCAGGAGAAGCTTTACTACTCATGCATGAGGTCCCAGACCTGGGCAGTCCCGTAAGGTCTGAGCACCTGTTTACAGACAAAGAATTTCTTTTATACATAACTATCCTTACATTGATAACATCATTGGCTGCAAAGTTCCTCAAGGAGGGGCTGGGAAAAAGCAAGACCACAGACATCCTGGGATGGCCTTGAAAAGCGAGACCAACTTGGCGGCTGCCTGACCTGGTAACTTTGTTAGTCGGCTAAGGAAAGATTTGTTAAGTGAGCAAACTTGTTGGTTACAATTGCACTGGATTATTAACTGCACCAGGCCTAAGACCCTCTAGCAGGGAGCTGGAAAGATTTATTCACTGAGCGGTTCCCCTTCAGGTTCAGGAAGACCCCCCAGCTCACAGCAGAGTGGGGGAGGGGACAATCCCAGCCACCCAGTTCCTGGATCCAGGGCAGCACTTGCTTCTGAAAGAAGTCCATCGTCCAGTCTATGATGGTCCTGATCGGCTCCGGCATGCAGTTGTACAGGGCCTGTGGGAATGAGGTGGGCGTAGGGATGAGCTCCCACAGCCAGGGGACTCCCCAGACCCCTTTCTCAAACCTCTGCCTCCCCCCTGACCTCCTGTGGTTCTTCCCACTCATAATGTGGATCTCATCACTGGCAACTGCCCTGCTTAGGGCCCGCCCATGCTCCCAAGTACCCCTGGGATCCAAACAAAAGGCGTGGGCTGCCACAGGCCTGTGTAGAAGAGGAGGTGACATTAAGCCACAGATTGAATTTTTCTTTTACTTTCTTTTTTTTTTTTTTTTTTTAATAGAGGCATGCTTTATTTATTTGTTTGCTGGTTTGTTTGTTTGTTTGTTTATACATGCACTGGGTACAGTCAGAAGCGCGGGAGGGTGAGAGAATCCACCAGAGCCAGAGCAGGGAGCAGAGCAGGCAGAAGGACCGAAGTACACTGCTGAGGGGAGCAGCGGGCGGCAGGAGAGGTCTGCACGCCATGTGGGACCCTCCTCCGGTGGCCGGGGAGCAGCCGGGGATCGAACCGGCGCCGCAGAGGCCGCGGGCAGCTTCGCAACCCAGCGCTCAGCCGCTGCGCCACCGGGGAGGCCCTCTTTTACTTTCTTTTGCTTAATTTTTCTTTTACTCCTTTTTCCAAGTTTCATTCACATGAAACTCCTTTCTGCCTAAGGACATTTGTGCATACTGGTTATTCTGCCCGAATAGGACTTGTCTGACTTACCTGCCAGCTAAGACTCAACACCCCCAGTTGCCGTGACCTGCTCTCCAACTCCCTGGACGCCCCCTTCCACCCTCTATGTGGCTGCTTCTCCCCAGATCCACGTGAGCCCCCAGCACTGAATGCTGCTCCCACCTCCAACATTCAGGCCCCATCAGCTCCATATTACAAACACATCCTGAAAGCCACTTCCTCCCACCCCCGCTCCCACCTGAGTCTGGCCCCTCATCGTTTGCTGGGTCCATCTGGGTGTCCCCCACCAGCGTTCCACCAGCTTTTGCCCCTGCGCCCCACAATCCCTTTCCCAACTGTAGTTGCCAAACAATGTTCTGTGATAATCCTTCTTCCACTGTGAGCGTCTCCAGAGAAAAGCTACCAGGATTCCAGAGTGAACAGTCTCCCAGCCACAACAGTGGGCTGCACAACCAGCACTTGGCTACATATGCAAGAATAATCTTCAAATGAAAAACCTGTCACCTCATTCTCATTTTTAAGGGCAGAGACAGGAGACAATCCTCCTGTGTCCCTGTGAGGAAAGCTAAGGTCCCTCAGGGGTCCCACACTCTGCCCTCAGCCCTCACCCATCTTACTGCCTTCAGCACAGACCTGGCGCTGCCTCAGGACATTGACACTTGCTGTGTCCTCTGCCAGACGCTTCTGCCCACCTGACCCTTCTATATCACTGTGTCTTTATTGTCCTCCTGGCTTTGGCCTAATGTCACCTCCTCTTAGAAGTCTTTCCTGACCACACGTACAACACGTGGGCTGCAGGAGAGCAGGACCCAGCCTGCTTTGCAGTGTTGGTGGGCCCATGCGTGTTGAATGAATAAGCGAAGGAAGGAGCAGACCAGGAGCCACAGCTGTCTCTGTCAATTCCCTCTGTGGACACAGGGCTGCCCCAGGGGTACGGTCAGGACTCCCAGGTCTCAGGGTTCTGTGGATGCCTCCCGGGGCTCCCCACCCTGCATCTGCCCACCTTGAGCACCAGTTTGCTGATGAACCAGATAAAGGCAACAATCCCGCCCCAGGTGTAGCCGTCTGAAAATATTTCACGTGCCACTTTGAAATCTTCCCCAGCAGTGAAGACTCTGTCTGTATCTATCATCCTGCAGGAAAGAGGAGAGCCGTGATGGGGCGAGAGCATCTAGCAGAGTGTGGAGACCCCGCTAGCCCCCCCACCCCTAAGATAAGGTAAAGGAGGCCCAGGTCAGGCTGAAATGAAAAGCAAGGGGTCAACGTGCAGACAGGGGACATCTAGGGGAGAGAGGAAAATGGCTCCCTGAGGAGGGTTTCAGGATCCCAAGGGAGGGGACGGCCTGAGTTGAGTGAGGGGACCCTGGACCCTGGGGTGTGAAGGAGCAAGGATTGTGGGTGTGGATTGCAGGAGAGGAGGGGGTTGGGGCTGAAGCTGGGCCTCCTGGTGTATGAAGGTGACCCGTGACTGGATTCTTGGGTCCTGGGGCCGCACCTCTGCAGCTCCTTGTCCTTATCCATTTCTTGTGCCTTGCGCTTGAGAACTTTCCCCAGTTCTTTGATGTATGGGGCCTGGGACACCCACTCTAGGGCCAGCTCATCTATATCCTTTGCGGCTGGTCCTATTTGATCGTAGATGAAACTGAAAATTAAATGGAGTGGAGGATGCAGAGTCAGGAAGGGGCCACTCATCAAATCCGCTGCCCAATAAGGAAACCTCTCATTGGGGTAAGGGCCTCACCCAGCCACCCTGTTGCAGGATCCGGGGCAGCAGTCGCTTTCGAATGAAGTCCAGCGTCCAGTCCATGATGCTGGTGATCAGCCCCTGCATGCTGTCCAGGGCCTACGGCGAAGAGGTGGGAGTAAGGACTGAGCTCCTACTGCCAGGTGACTCCCCAGGCCCCTTTCTCAAACCTCTGCCTCTCGCCTGACCCCCTGTGGTTCTTCCCACTCATAAGGTGGATCTCATCACTGGCATCTGCCCTGCTTAGGACCTGTCCATCCTCCCAGGTACCCCTTGGAACCAAGCAAAAGCCACGGGCTGTCCACAGGCCATATAGAAGTTCTACTTTTCACACTGAGTTTTTCTTTTACTTTATGGTGTCTCCTCCTTTTCCAACTTTCATTCACACGAAACTCCTTTCTGCCTCAGGACCTCTGTGCATGTTGGTTATTCTGCCTCAATAGGACTTGTCTGACTTACCTGCCAGCTAAGACTCAACATCCCCAGTTGCCGTGACCTGCTCTCCAACTCCCTGGACGCCCCCTTCCACCCTGTATGTGGCTGCTTCTCCCCAGATCCACGTGAGCCCCCAGCACTGAATGCTGCTCCCACCTGCAACATTCAGGCCCCATCAGCTCCATATTACAAACACATCCAGAAAGCCACTTCCTCCCACCCCCGCTCCCACCTGAGTCCCGGCCCCTCATCGTTCGCTGGGTCCATTCTGGGTGTCCCCCACCAGGGTCCCAGTTTTTGCCCCTGCACCCCACAATCCCTTTCCCACCTATAGTTGCCAAACAATGTTCTGTGATAATCCTTCTTCCACTGTGAGCGTCTCCAGAGAAAAGCTACCAGGATTCCAGAGTGAACAGTCTCACAGCCACAACAGTGGGCTGCACAACCAGCATTTGGCTGCATATGCGAGAATAATCTTCAAATGAAAAATCAGTCACCTCAGGCCTCCCCTGGTGGCGCAGCGTTTGAACGCTGGGCTGCGAAGCTGCCTGCAGCCTCCACAGGGCCGGTTTGATCCCCAGCCACTGGAGAGGGTCCCACATGGCGCGCAGACCTCTCCTGCCGCCAGTTGCTCCCCTCAGCAGTGTACCTCAGTCCTTCTGCCTGCTCTGCTCCCCACTCTGGCTCTGGTGAATTCTCTCACCCTCCCACGCTTCTGACTGTACCCAGTGCTTGTATAAAGAAATAAAAAAATAAAATCTTAAAAAAAAAAAAGAAGCCATCACAACAACGGACTCATATTAGAAAAACAGTCCAGAGAGTGTGATGAAGGGTTTGGGCAGATAAGTGAGAGGAGAAGCAGAATTCACCTTAGATGTCACTTTAAACTCTTCTCTTCCGGCCTCCCCGGTGGCGCAGTGGGTTGAGCGCTGTGCTATGAAGCTGTTTGCAGCCTCTGGAGCGCAGGTTTGATTCCCGGTCGTCCAGGGAGATTCCCTCATGGCGTGGCAGACCTCCTCTGCCTCGCTCCCTACTCCCCTCAGCAGTGTCTTCAGTCCGTCTGCCTGTTCTGTTCCCAGCTCTCTCTAGTGAATTCTCTCACCCTCCTGCACCTCTGACCTGTACTCCAGTTCGTGAAAAAATAAATAAAATCTTTTAAAAAAATTACAAACTTTTCTCTTCAGTCTGTTTTCTGTTCATCTTATTGACAGAAAGCTCTTCCCATAGGTACCAATATCACAGTTGCTTAGGATGTGAGCTCCCTTAAAAAGTCTTTTCAAGGGCCTCTATGGTGGCATAAGGGGTTAAGTCTCAGTCCTGTGAAGTTACTGGCAGCCACTGCAGCACGAGTTCAATCCCTGACCAGGGAGTTGACCCACATGAAGCAGCAGCCCTCTCCTGCCTCCCTGTGTGCTTCGGTTGGTCCGACTGTTCTGCTCCCCACTCTGTCTCTGGTGAATCCTCTCTCCCACCCCAACACACACTTCTGGCCTATACCCCAGTTCTTGGATGCATAAATAAATAAATCTTAAAAAAAACCTTTTCAAATAATGAAAATTTTCCAGCTAAAGCTACACATTGCTCAACCGTTTGCTAGTAGGAGGGTCACTCGTATACTTATTCCCCCAGTGACTCAAGCCAGGCAGCCTTTTAATTTTTGTTCTTTTTTTTCAAAAAAGGTTTATTTATTTATGCATATAAGAACTGGGGTATAGACCAGAGAAGCGGGGAACTGGGGTGGGTGTGTGTGTGGTGAGAGGATTCAGCAGAGACAGAGTGGGGAACAGAACAGGCAAACAGACTGGAATACACAGCTGAGGGGAGCAGCAGGGAGACAGAACAGGTCTGCTGTGACATGCGGGTAGCTCCCTGCCAGGGCGGGGATCGAATTCGAATTCGTGCTGCAGAGGCTGAAGAAAGCTTCCTAGTGCTGTGCTTAACCCCTTATGCCACCAGGGAGGTCCCCAACCAGCCATTTTAAAGGAAAAAACCTGGTTGGTAACTTCCTGGCTTAGAATTGGTGAACACCAGCTGTTCTGCACCTTCCTCAGCTGAATGCCCCAGAATGATCTAAGTCCTGCATTTCGAGGCAGTGCCAGTAGGTGGCGAGCATGCACACAAGAAGCGGAGGTCAAAGAACTCCCCTGAGAGGGTACCCAGGCCCCCAAGAGGAGTGTGGATCCCAGATGATTTTGGACTGTCAGCCAATGGAGCATCCTGGAAAATGCTCCTTCCAGATGGCAGGTCTCATGGAGGCCCAGAGCCAAGCGCTCATGGCCTACCTGGTTTCCCTGAATTTTCTTCATGTTGACAGGTGATCTACTGTCGATCTGACCTGTTCTGTGATGATTTATCCTCTCCCAGGTGCATTCTGGTGGCAAGTGTCCTGTGGCTTTTAACTTTCCACCTGGGTCCACCACATCTGTGGCTTTTCGTCTTCCAGATTTCTTTAGCAACAGCTTTCCTTTATATGCACGTGACACATGTTTTTTTCCTCTTTAGGATAAACGACATAGAGACAGAGCAAAGAAAACAAAGACCTCCTCTGGGAGCAAAAGGATCAACCAAGAGGACTCAAACCACAGCTCCTCAGAGGGAGCGGAGCTGGCCCAGCGCTGCCTCCAGCCCCACAGTCTAGGGTGCCATGGAGGTGCCGTCGGGACTGTGGGCACCTGGAGGCAGCCTGGACCCAGCTCATCACTGACCCTCAGGGAGCACCGGGCCCCCCCAGTAAAGAGATGGAACCAACCAGGGAGTGAGCCCAATGACCCAGACAGGAAGTGTGGCCTGAAAGTTTTATTACCCCAGATCACCCCAATCGCCCAATAATTCCAAAAGTAAGAAAAATGCCATGAGCGTTGGGGGTTCTCCCTGCGAAGCTTTAATGATTAGGTACAGAGGGAAGCAACAGGCAGAAGGGGTGGCAATAAAAAAAAGAAAGATGGTCCCTAGCCTCATCCTTCACGGAAACATGCCATATTTATCCTGAAAAGACAGAGATCAAGGCAGCTGGGGCATCAGCCTAAATTTGCAGAAGGTTGCATAAGACAAGCAGTCCGGCCCCGATGATAGTCGTTAGTGATGCCGTCAACATAAGTGTATCTCCATTTTCAAGAGGAGGCCATCCTGGGGACACAGACATCTCTCATCAGCACTCAGCTAGGGCAACCCCCAGGCCGGCTCATGGGGACAGGGGTGGGGGAGGTGTCAGGGAGAAGTCAAGGGCACAGCAGGGATCAGGGCCTAAGATAATGGGGACTAGAGAGTGAGGGCCAAGGAGTATCAGATGTGAGGGGTTCCAAAGGAACTGGAGGCCCAAGGGAGGGTAGAAAGTATCAGTCAGGTCAGAGGATCCTGGGAGGTCACGGTCACCAGGAGATGAGGGGTCGAGACCAGATCAATGGAGTTGATGAGACATGTGAGGAAACGCTTTCTAGAACACATTTGATGACCAGAAAATGTGGAGGGGAGCAGCACTGTGGTGGGTTCAGGAAGACCCCCAGGTCCCAGAGGAGTGGGGGAGGGGCTGGTTAAGGGCCTCACCCAGCCACCCTGTTCCTGGATCCATGGCAGCAGTTGCTCTCGAAATAAATCCAGTGTGAACACCATGATGTTCTTGATCTTGTTGGGCTCATTGCTTGTCTACAATGACAAGGTGGGAGTAGGGGGTGAGCTCCTGCTGCCAGGGGACTGTGCCCCCAAGCCTCCTTTCTCAAGCCTCTGCTTCCCCCCTGACCTCCTGTGATTCTTTTCCACTCATAACTTGGATCTCATCCCTGTCAACTGCCCTCTTAGGATCCTCCCATCCTCCCCTGGGATCCAAACTAAAGGCATGGGTTGGCCAAGGCCTTGTATAGAAGTTCTGATTTGATCAATCCAAGTTTCCTTTTTCCAGTCTTTATTCCCACTGAACTTTTCTGCCTCAGGACCTTTGCACATATTGGTGCAACCCCCGTTGCCATGACCTGCTCTCCAATTTCCTTTCCATCCTCTATGTGGCTGCTTCTCCCCAGATCCACATGGAGCACCCCATCAGTGAAAGCTGTCCCCACCTCCAACATTCAGGCCCCATCAGCTTAATCTTACAAACACCATCAAGAAAGGTACTTCCAGGCCTCCCAGGTGGCACAAGGGGTTAAGACGCAACCTATGAAGCTCTTCGCAGTCACTGCAGCACAAGTTCGATCCCCAGCCAGGGAGCTACCCACATGGCACAACAGACCTCTCCTGTCTCCCCTCTGCTCCCCTGAGCAATGGATTTCAGTTGATCTGCCTGTTCTGTTCCCTGCTCTGTCTCTGGTGATCCTCTGACCCCCACACCTCTGGCCTGTACCCCAGTTCTTGTATGAAGGGGAGGGGAGGGGAAGGGAAAAGAAAGAAAGAAATAAGGAGAGAAGGAGGGAGGGAGGGAGGGAGGGAGAAAAGCAAGCTACTTCCCCTTAGCCCTGCTCCCACCTGAGTCCCGGCCCCTCATCGTTCGCTGGGTCCATTCTGGGTGTCCCCCACCAGCCTCCCAGCTTTTGCCCCTGTGCCCCACAATCCCTTTCCCGCCTATAGTGGCCAAACAATGTGCTGGGCGTCCCTTCTTCCACTGTGAGCGTCTCCAGAGAAAAGCTACCAGGATTCCAGAGTGAACAGTCTCACAGCCACAACAGTGGGCTGCACAACGAGCACTTGGCTGCATATGTGAGAATAATCTTCAAATGAAAAACCTGTCACCTCATTCTCATTTTTAGAGGCAGAGACAGGAGACAATCCTCCTGTGTCCCTGTGAGGAAAGCTAAGGTCCCTCAGGGGTCCCACACTCTGCCCTCAGCCCTCACCCATCTTACTGCCTTCAGCACAGACCTGGCGCTGCCTCAGGACATTGGCACCTGCTGTGTCCTCTGCCAGACGCCTCTGCCCACCCGGCCCTTCTATATCGCTGCGTCTTTATTGTCTTCCCGGCTTTGGCTTAATGTCACCTCCTCTTAGAAGTCTTTCCTGACCACGTGACAACACGTCTCTTGGCTCACGAGTCTCAGCACTCGTCACTTCACATGGGCTGAAGGAGAGCAGGGACCTCGCAGCTTTGTCGGGGCTGAGTGCCGCGCAGGCGCAGGGCAGGCCCAGGGCACACATGCTGAATGAGCAGGCGAAGGAAGGAGCAGACCAGCAGCCACAGCTGCCTCTGTCCAGACACCTCTCACCTCCTCTCTCCTCTCGGGCTCTCACCTCTGAGCAGACCCCTGAACTGTGGACACGGGGCTGCCCCAGGGTTAAGATCAGGACTCCCAGGTCTCGGGGTTCTGTGGGCGCCTCCCTGGGCTCCCCACCCTGCAGCTGCCCACCTGGAGTGCCAGTTTGCTGGCCAAGCAGAAAAGGGCAGCAACCCGGCCCCAGGTGATGCCGTCTGAAATGATCTGTCCTGCCACCTGGAAAAAGTTGGCAGCTGTGTGGACTCCTTCCAATGCTGTGATTGACCTGCAGGAAAGAAGAGCGTCCTGAGGAGGAGCAAGTGTCTCGCAGAGTGTGGAGCCCCTGCAGCCACCTCCTCCCCGAGGTGAAGGGACCCAGGCCAGGGCGAAATGAAAAGCAAGAGGCCAACCTGCAGCCAGGGGACAAGAGGGAAATATTTAAGGGAGAGAGGAAAATGGCTTCCTGAGGGGGGTTTCAGAGTCCCAGGGGAGGGGACGGCCTGGAATTCAGTCTCCCGAGTTGAGTGATTGGACCCTGGACCCTGGGGTGTGAAGGAGCAAGGCTTGTGGGTGTGGATCGCAGGAGAGGGGGGTGTTGGGGGCTGAGGCTGGGCCTCCTGGTGTATGAAGGTGACCCGTGACTGGATTCCTGGGTCCTGGGGCCGCACCTCTGCAGCATCTTGTCAATGTCCACTTTTTGTGCCTCGAGCTTGAGAACTATCCTCAGTTTTTTGATGTCCTCGGACTCCGGCTCTGGGCCCAGCTCATCTATATCCTTTGCGGCTGGTCCTATTTCATCGCAGATGTAACTGAAAAGTAAATGGAGTGGAGGATCAGAGTCAGAAGGGGGCTGAAAGGTCGATGCAGGGGCCAGGAATGAGGAAGCCCGCATAGAATAAGAGAAGATGGCCGACACCAGGACCAGTGATGCCATCAAACCAAAACTGAAGCCATGAACAGGAGAAAACAACTCCGCTCCACCCAAAACAACTTTGTGCCGCCTAAACCTGTTCCCCCCCCACCCCAACTCCCCGCCCCTCGCCAACCCAGTTTTCCGGCCTGACCTCTCCTCACCCTGTGAAAGAGACATCTCTCCCCACATAGGCGCGGCTTCATGGACCCCCACCTTGGGTCCGTGAGGTCCGCCCGGGGCGTAATCAATTTTCCCTTCCTTTGAGAAATTCAGCCTGGCTCCCCTTTTCTTGACCGCGCCGAACCTCTCAGGGGCCACTCCTCAAAGGCGCTCCCCAGTAACGAAACCTCTGAAACTCACCACTTAAGCAAAGAGGCCACGGTCTCCATGATCTGCTCCATGAGCTGGTGGGCCCTGCAGGAGGAAGGAGGGGCGGGGTGTCTGGACTGTTGTGCCTAAAGATCGAACAACGTGTTCCCGAGAGATCAAGGACAACGCTGCAAGAACAAAAGGGAGTTTATTGCAGGCTCGAGGCTGGGCCCACGACACGCACCGACGCGGCGGATATCGACAGCCCTGGCCTCAGGGAATGGGGATTTTTTTACAATCAGTTTCAAAAAATTAAATCGTGCTGGCCGTCACTCATTGGCTTCAAGGATGCATTCTCCAAATGTGGCGCGCTCGCGTGCGCGGATATAGCCTTAAGCCAATTGCTCGGGTAGAGATGCGGTCCTATTTACCGCTAGGCCGCCCTCATTGGCGGCCGGGGATGGTCTGACTCTGCCACCACTGGCCACCTGAGATAGGGCGAGGGTGGGGTGAGGGTGGAAACTGTGGAAACTATCTCTGGAATGCAGTTTGTCATGAACGCTGTTAGGAGTTGGGGTCTCAACTCCAGTCCGAGGTTCCCAAAAACCACACGGAGCCAGAGATGCAAAAGCAAAAGGCTTTATGGCTAGCTTACGCGAGGGCCCAGCTCTGCCTGCAGCTCTGACACAGCAGGCTCACCAGAGAGAGGGACCCCCTCCCAGAGCAACCAGCTGTTTTTGTGCTTTGTTGACAGGATGTGGGGACTTTTCACACCTGGGGCAGGGCCCACCCTGATTGTTAGGTTTCCTTTCTCCTTATGTTGTGGTTTCTGCCCAGAAACGAACCTAGCTGTGCCCTTTTGAGATGGCAGTAATTTCTCAAAATGGCTGCAGTAGCCTTGCAGCGGTTGTCCTTGATCTCTTGGGGAACGCGTTGTTCGATCTTTAGACACAACAGGACTCTGGAGTCCTGGAGGGTCAGGGGGGTGGGGAGCTGCCCATGGTCCCAGAGGAAGGCCAAGCTGGGGTGGGGGGAGGCACTGGACTTCTGGGGGCCTGGGAGATAAAGTGACCGGGAACAGGACACTGAGTCCCTGATGGAGAAGAGGCAGGGAGGCCCAGCCTGGGTCCTGCACTCTTCCGGGGGAGGGGACTGGGCAACACTTAAGGGGTGCAGACCTCTGGCCTGAGGGGCAGAGAGGAGAGCCGCCCCTCCCCCCAGGGCCGAGGCAGGAAGTGGGCCTGTCCAGGGAGGTCTGGATTCAGGGGTCTCCAGGTGCTTGTGGGGTCCGAGAGCACCCCGCAGGAAGAGATCGGGTGCGGAAGTCAGAGAGCCAGGGACCCCCGGGGAAGAAGGGGCTGGGGCTGGCGGCGCCCCATCAGGGAGGTCCTGCCAGGGAGTGCTCCCATATCTCGAGCCAGAGCCGGCAGGGGGCACGTCCCAGGGGTCGCAGGGGTCACCCTCCTCCCTCCCACCCGTCCAGGCTCACCTCTGGGGAACCGGTTCGGCTGCTGCTCTCTCCACTGACTCTGTCCTTCAAGACTGAGGTCTCGCCTTTATCCCCTCGCTTGACTGGCCAAAGGCTCTACCAACTGCTGCCAAATAAATTAGCCAGCTTCGGGCCAGCAGCCCAGCACCCCGCCCTGCCTGTGGCCTGTGCGACACACCGTAGAGAACTTCCGCTCCTGCAGGCAGCCACAGGTGGGGGTGCGTTGTCTCCAAGGCAGGACCTCTGAGCGCCTGTCAGAGACCCCCCACGGCTCAGCAAGGGCATTCACTGAGGCAGCACATTTCAGACGCCTAAATCCCGGGGGTCTGTGTGAACAACAGGAACATGAAGTTCAAAAAGTCGCAAAATCCACGGTGCTAGATTGGCAGCGTGTGGAACTTTGGGGCCCCAAGAAGGGCTGCCAGGTTGTCCCAACTGTGCTTGATCTGTGTGGTGATTGTTTGAGTGCACACATATTTTAAAATCTGTTAAGGGTCTCCCTGGTGGCGCAGGGGTTAAAGTCTCAGCACAATCAAGCTATCACCAGCCACTGCTGCACAAGTTTGATCCCTGGCCAGGGAGCTACCCACATGGCGCAGCAGACCTCTCCTGTCTCCCCGCTGCTCCCCTCAGCAATGTATTTCAGTCCGTCTGCCTGTTCTGCTCCCCACTCTGTCTCTGGTGAATCCTCTCACCACCCCCCCACATCTCTGGCTTACAGCCCAGTTCTTGTATGCATAAATAATGAATCTTTAAATGAATCAATAAAATGAATCTTTTTTAAAAAAAAAAAGAAATGAATTACCAAGCTGGAAGAGGAAGAACCTTTGTAAACAGAGAAAGGGCCATGAAAGGGGGAATTAAGTGATGTTGAGGAGATCAGCTAAGATTCCCAGAGACAAAGGGCCCTGAAGGCTGACCTAGGAAGGTCTTGGGTGAAGGACAATAGGAAGAATTGCGGGTTTCCCATTCTGCCTCAGGGTGTGAAAAATGAACCCATCTGGGCCTCCCTGGTGGCCCAAGGGGCTAAGTACCCCACTATGAAGCGAAACTTGAATGATTTGGAACAGAGGGAAGCAACAGGCAGAAGGAGTGGCAATAGAAAAGGAAGGATGGGCCTCTAGCCTCAGCCTTCATGGAAACATGCCATATTCATGCTGAAAAGACAGAGATGAAGGCAGCTGGGGCCTCAGGCTATTTTCACCAGAGTACGAATAAGGCAAGCAGTCCCGTCCCGATGGCCAATGCCCCTCCTGCTGTCCACTTGAGTGTATCTGCCCCTCCTGCCGTCCACTTGAGTGTCTCTCCATGTTTCCAGAGGAGGCCATCCTGGGGACACAGACATCTCTCATCAGCACTCAGCTAGGGCAGCCCCCAGGTCGGCTCATGGGGACAGGGGTGGGGGAGGTGTCAGGGAGAAGTCAAGGGCACAGAAGGGATCAGGGCCTAAGATAATGGGGACTAGAGAGTGAGGGCCAAGGAGTATCAGATGTGAGGGGTTCCAAGGGAACTGGAGGCCCAAGGGAGGGTACAAAGTATCAGTCAGGTCAGAGGTTCCTGGGAGGTCACAGGTCACCAGGAGATGAGGGGTTGAGAGCAGATGAATCGAGTTGATCAGACATGTGAGGCAATGCTTTTAGAACACATTTGATGACAAGAAAATGTGGAGGGGGGCAGCACTGTGGTGGGTTCAAGAAGACCCCCAGGTCCCAGCGGAGTGGGGGAGGGGGCGGTTAAGGGCCTCACCCAGCCACCCTGTTCCTGGATCCAGGGCAACAGTAGCTTTCGAATGATGAGCAGCGTCATGTCCATGATGACGTCGATCGGCGCCAAAGAGACGTGCAGGAACTATGGCGATGAGGTGGGAGTAAGGACTGAGCTCCTACTGCCAGGTGACTCCCCAGGCCCCTTTCTCAAACCTCTGCCTCCCCCCTGACCCCCTGTGGTTCTTCCCACTCATAACTTGGATCTCATCACTGGCAACTGCCCTATTAGGACCTGCCCATCCTCCCAAGTACCCCTGGGATCCAAACCAAAGGCATGGGCTGCCACAGGCCAGATGGAAGTTCTCCTTGTTCACACTGAATTTTTCGTTTACTTTTTGGTGTCTCCTCCTTTTTCCAATCTTCATTCACACGAAACTCCTTTCTGCCTCAGGCCCTTTGTGCATGTTGGTTATTCTGCCTCAATAGGACTTGTCTGACTTACCTGCCAGCTAAGACTGAACACCCCCAGTTGCCGTGACCTGCTCTCCAACTCCCTGGATGCCCCCTTCCACCCTCTATGTGGCTGCTTCTCCCCAGATCCACATGAGCCCCCAGCACTGAATGCTGCTCCCACCTCCAACATTCAGGCCCCATCGGCTCCATATTACAAACACACCCAGAAAGCCACTTCCTCCCACCCCCGCTCCCACCTGAGTCCCGGCCCCTCATCGTTCTCTGGGTCCATGCTGGGTGCCCCCCACCAGCGTCACAACTTTTGCCCCTGCGCCCCACAGTCACTTTCCCAACTATAGCTGCCAAACAATGTTCTGTGATAATCCTTCTTCCACTTTGAGTGTCTCCAGAGAAAAGCTACCAGGATTCCAGAGTGAACAGTCTCACAGCCACAACAGTGGGCTGCACAACGAGCACTTGGCTGCATATGTGAGAATAATCTTCAAATGAAAAACCAGTCACCTCGGCCTCCCTGGTGGCGCAGCAGTTGTGCGCTGGGCTGGGACGCTGCCCACAGGCTCTGCAGCGAGTTCGAGCCCCGGCTGCCGGCGAGGGTCCCACATAGCGCGCAGACCTCTCCTGCTGCGCCCGCCGCTCCCCTCAGCAGTGTATTTCGTCAGTCTGCCTGTTCTGTTCCCTGCTCTGGCTCTGGTGAATTCTCTCACCCTCACACGCTTCTGACTGTACTCAGTGTTGTATAAATAAATAAATAAATAAATAAATAAATGTTAAAAAAAAAATTTTAAAAATCAGTCACCTCATTCTCATTTTTAAAGCCAGACACAGGAGACAATCCTCCTGTGTCCCTGTGAGGAAAGCTAAGGTCCTTCAGGGGTTCCACACTCTGCCCTCAGCCCTCACCCATCTCACTGCCTTCAGCACAGACCTGGCGCTGCCTCAGGACATTGGCACTTGCTGTGTCCTCTGCCAGACGCCTCTGCCCACCCGGCCCTTCTATATCACTGCGTCTTTATTGTCCTCCCGGATTTGGCTTAATGTCACCTCCTCTTAGAAGTCTTTCCTGACCAGATGTAACACGTGGGCTGCAGGAGAGCAGGACCCAGCCTGCTTTGCAGTGTTGGTGGGCCCATGCGTGTTGAATGAGTAAGCGAAGGAAGGAGCAGACCAGCAGCCACAGCTGTCTCTATCAATTCCCTCTGTGGATACAGGGCTGCCCCAGGGGTACGGTCAGGACTCCTAGGCCTCAGGGTTTTGTGGACACCTCCCTGGACTCCCTACCCTGAAGCTGCCCACCTTGTGTTGTGGCAGTTTGCTGGCAAAGCAGAAAAGGGTGACAATTTTGCCCCAGGTGATGCCGCCTGAAAATATTTCGCGTGCCACTTGAGAAAATCCGCTAAAAGTGAAGCCTCTGAGAGTTTCAGACCACCTGCAGGAAAGAGGAGAGCCGTGATGGGGAGAGTGTCTAGCAGAGTGTGGAGACCCCACTAGCCACTTCATCCCCGACATAAAGGGACCCAGGTCAGCCTGACATGAAAAGCAAGGGGTCAACGTGCAGACAGGAGACATCTAGGGGAGAGAGGAAAATGACCTCCCAAGGAGGGTTTCAGGATCCCAGGGGAGGGGACGGCCTGGAGTTCGGTCTTCTGAGTTGAGTGAGGGGACCCTGGACCCTGGGGTGTGAAGGAGCAAGGCTTGTGGGTGCGGATCGCAGGAGAGGAGGGGCTTGGGGCTGAAGCCGGGCCTCCTGGTTTATGGAGGTGACCAGTGACTGGAGTCCTGGGTCTTGGGGCCGCACCTCTGCAGCTCCTTGTGCTTGTCCTTGTACACCTGTTGTGCGATGCGCTTGAGAACTTCCAGCAGTTCTTTGATGTATGGGTGCTGGGTCACCTGCTCTAGGGCCAGCTCAGGTACATATTCTGCGGCTGGTCCTATTTAATCGCAGATAAAACTGAAAACAAAAGGAGTGGAGGATCAGAGTCAGAAAGGGGCCACTCCTCAAATCCGCTCTCCAGTGAAAAAAAACTCTCAAACTCACCCCCGAAGCAAAAGGGCCGCTGTCTCCATGATCTGCTCAGAGCTGGTGGGCCCTGCAGGAGACAGGAGGGCAGGGGTGTCTGGACTCTGGAGTCCTGGAGAGTCTACGGGTGGGGAGTGGGCTCATGGTCCCCAGAAAGGCCAATGCTGGGGGGGACAATGGACTTCTGGGGGCCTGGGAGATAAAGTGACCCGGGACAGGACAACTGAGTCCTGGTGGAGAAGGGGCAGGGAGGCCCAGCCTGGTTCCACACTCTTCAGGGGAGGGGACTGGGCAACACGTAAGGGATGCAGACCTCTGGCCTGAGGGGCAGAGAGGAGAGCCGCCCCTCCCCCCCAGGGCCAGAGGCAGGAAGTGGGCCTGTGGGGGGGGGGTCTGGATTCAGGGGTCTCCAGGTTCTCGGGGGTCCGAGAGCCCCCCGCAGGAAGAGATCGGGGTGTGGAAGTCAGAGAGCCGGGGCCCCGGGGAAGGAGGGGCTGGGGCTGGCGGCGCCGGCCCGGGAGGTTCTGCCCGGGAGAGCCTGGAGATCTGGCTCCCGGAGCCCGCAGGGGTATCGTGGGCCGGCCGGGGCTCCCCTCCTCCCGCCTGTCCACTTCCCGCCTCACCCCCGCCTCCGGGCTGCTCCCGCGTGGGGTCCATCCCCGCCGCTCCCGCCGCCGCCTGGGGCGGGCCAGGCCCGAGGGACAGAAGCTCCCCTGGTCCCGGGAGGCTCCTCCGGAACCGCGTCCCTAGTTCTCCCGGGCATGGCCGCCGGGCAGGTTTTCTGGGTCCAAAGGTCGGAAGATCTGCACCTGCCTCTCAGGAGTGGGAGGCCCCGCCCCCCGCCTGACCGGCCAATCAGCGTCGCCCGGAGCTGGGCGTGGCGTCACCTGCCCCGCGCGCGCACCTGAGACTCCCGCGCCTCAGGCGGCGTTTCCAGAGTCACAGGTGGGGGCGCCGTCTCCAGGGCAGGAGCCCGAGCGCCCCTCAGAGCCCCCCGCGGCCCAGCAAGGGCTTCCCTGAGGCCGCGCGTGTCACACGCCGGAATCCCGGGTCTGTGTGAACAAAACAGGGTGTGAAGTTCAAAAAGCCGCACAATCCCCGGGGCTGGATGGGCAGCGCGGGGAACTGTGGACCCCAAGAAGGGCTGCCGGGGTGTCCCCACTGTGCTGGAGCTTGTGGCGATGATCTGGGGGCGCACAGAGTAAATCCACGGCCCTGTGCACAGAAGACACGCACTTTCCTGGGTGGGGTTCATGTGTCTCCTTGTAAGCAGGAAAAGATAAGAAACAAGTCATGAGAAAACAGTCTGGGGGATGCTGCAGAAACCTGTCATTCAGCCAGTGTGGTTAAAATATCTGCTTTCAATTTTAGGGAGTGAGTGAATGCGTGTTTTAGCAAAGTGCTCTAAGGTCTCCCCCGGTGGCACAGAAGTTGAGATCTGGGCTGCGAGGCTGCCCGCAGCCTCTGCAGTGCCTTTGGATCCCGGCCGCCAGCGAGGGTCCCACATGCAGCGCAGACCTCTCCTGCCGCCCGCTGCTCCCCTCAGCAGCGTATTTCATCAGTCTGCCTGTTCTGTTCCCTGCTCTGGTGAATCCTCTCACCCCTCCCAACACTCTGGCCTATAGCCCAGTTCTTGTATGCAAACATAAATAAATCTTATTTAAAAAAAAAAGTGCATCAGGCCGCAGGAAGAAATGGCATTGCCCTTCCTGACCAGATTTGTGCAGTGTTTTTCTGCTGTGTTGCAAGGACTACAAAATAATTGAGATGACACAATTTCAAGGAAAATGAAACTCAACTCTGCCTCTTCATCGGAGAGGGAATTATGTCAGGCCAGTGGAGCTGTTCTGGCAAAGGCTAATAGAACAGTGGCTTAAAGAAGACAGAGTTTTCCTTCTGTCTCCTGCAGCAGCCCAAGACTACTGACACTAAACACCACAGTGCCAGGGAGGCTGACAGTTCATTCATGTGTCAAAGTGCCAGGGCTGCATGGTAGTGAGATATCGGGGCTAACATTATTCAGGGGGGTTACATGAGGGCATATTTGGATGAGATTTTTTTTAACATTTAAATGGGTAAATGTGGCCTTATCCAAATCAGTTAAATGGAACAAAAAGGCTGACCCTCTTTCAAGTAAGAAGTCTTCTTTCAAAAAAAGATTTATTTTTATTTATTTATGCATACAAGAGCTGGGGGGTAGGTGAGAGGTGAGCGGGATAGAGGATTCACCGGAGACAGAGTAGGAGCAGAACAGGCGGACTGACTGGAACACACTGCTGGGTGGAGCAGCAGGTGAGACAGGAGAGGTCTGCTGCGCAATGTGGGTCAGCTCCCTGGCAGGGGATCGAACTTATGCTGCAGTGCCTTCATAGTGCGAGACTTCACCCCTTGTGTCACCAGAGAAGACCCCAAATATGGGGATTGTAAAGTGGTAATTAAGTTAAAACAAGGTGGACCCTAATCAAGTAAGATTATAGTGTCCTTAGAAGAGGAAATGAGGATCCTCCCTGGTAGTACAAGGGGCTCAGTGTCAGCACTGTGAAGCTATCTGCTGCCACTGCAGAACGATTTCAATCCCCGGCCAGGAAGGTGACCCACATGGCACAGCAGACCTCTCCTGTCTCCCCACTGCTCTGCTCAGCAGTGTATTTCAGTCAATCTGCCTGTTCTGCTCCCCACTCTGTCTCTGGTGAATCTTCTCACACCCTACACTTGTGACTTGCACCCCAGTTCTTGTATGCATAAATAAATAAATATTAAAAATAAAATGTTTTCAGGGCCTCCTCTGGTGGTGCAGGCAGTTGAGCACAGTGCTGTGAAGCTGTCTGCAGCCTCTGCAGCACCAGTTCTATCCCGGCTGAATGGCGAGGGTCCCACATGGCTCAGCAGACCTCTCCTGTGGCGCCTGCTGCTCCCCTCAGCAGTGTATTTCATCAGTCTGCATGTTCTGCTCCCCGCTCTGTCTCTGGTGAGTCCTCTCACCCTCCCGCGAGTCTGGCTTGTGTCTGGTTCTTGTGTAAATAAATAAATCTTTTTAAAAAAAACAATAAAAAATAAACCTTTTCAGGGCTTCCCTGGTGGCTAAGGGGGTTAAGACGCAACCTATGAAGCCCTCCTTGGAGGGCACAGAGCTGGCCAGCGCTGCCTGCAGCCCCACAGCCGAGGGTGCTGCCGGGGACCAGCACAGCAATAGACGATGAGGCCGTCTCAGGGTTGAGAGACTGTGCAGGGTGGTCAGGGATTCGGCTAAAGAAATGACAAACAGACACACTTCAAGGGAGAGTGTAAATCTGAGTGTAATTTTCTTTGGGTTTGTGGCCAGTATTTATATGTTCTCTAAAAGCATAGGAACAGTGAATATACTTTTCACAAAGTAATATTTTTATCATTAAAAGCTAACAAAGCCAAGGACACAACAGAGAAATCATTAAACTAACAATTCTATTGTTACACAGAGTTTAGTAATGTTTCATTTGTATTAGCCTTTTTATATATTTTTTAATTAGCAACTAATGACCAGAAAAGGGAAAGATTTTAGAAATACAGTTGTAGCAAAATAAAGTTTGTAGATCTGAGACAGTGAGATAAGGTTCCAGGTGGTCAGCATTTTTTTAAATCATCTTTGTGGCGGCTTCTGGTGGTCGTTATCTCTTGGCAGGCATTCGGCTTCTCTGCATCTCAGGGAGTTTGCTGTTCTCCCCCTGCGGGCATGGTTCCTTGCCCACGCCGGGCCTCAGGGACCATGGCAACAGCCATTAGCCCTGAGGGTCACTGCAGGGGGAGGTGCAGCAGGGTGCCACGGAGGTGCTGTTGGGAATGTGGGCACCTGGAGGGCAGCCTGGACCCAGCTCATCACTGACCCTCAGGGCGCACGGGGCACGCCCAGTAAAGAGATGGAACCAACCAGGGAGTGAGCCGAATGACACAGACAGGAAGTGTGGCCTGAAGTTTTATCACCCCAGATCACCCCAATCGCCCAATAATTCCAAAAGTAAGAAAAATGAGAGTTGGGGGTTCTCCCTGCGAAACTTGAATGATTTGGAGTAGAGGGAAGCAACAGGCAGAAGGGGTGGCAATAAAAAAGGAAGGATGGGCCTCTAGCCTCAGCCTTCATGGAAACATGCCATATTCATGCTGAGAAGACAGAGATGAAGGCAGCTGGGGCCTCAGCCTAAGTTCTCCGGAGTCCGACTAAGGCAAGCAGCCCGGTCCCGATGGCCATTGCCACTGCTGGCATCCACTCGAGTGTATCTGCCCCTCCTGCCGTCCACTTGAGTGTCTCTTCATGTTTCGAGAGGAGGCCATCCTGGGGACACAGACATCTCTCATCAGCACTCAGCTAGGGCAGCCCCCAGGCCAGCTATGGGGACAGGGGTGGGGGAGGTGTCAGGGAGAAGTCAAGGGCGCAGCAGGGATCAGGGCCTAAGATAATGGGGACTAGAGAGTGAAGGCCAAGGAGTATCAGATGTGAGGGGTTCCAAGGGAACTGGAGGCCCAAGGGAGGGTAGAAAGTATCAGTCAGGTCAGAGGTTCCTGGGAGGTCATAGTCACCAGGAGATGAGGGGTCGAGACCAGATGAATGGAGTTGATGAGACATGTGAGGCAATGCTTTTAGAACACATTTGATGACCAGAGAATGTGGAGGGGAGCAGCACTGTGGTGGGTTCAGGAAGATCCCCAGGTCCCAGCGGAGTGGGGGAGGGTGTGGTGAAGGGCCTCACCCAGCCATCTGGTTCCTGGATCCAGGGCAGCTGTTGCTTTGGAATGATGGCCACTGCCACTGCGATGAAGGCCACTGCCACTGCCACTGCGAGCCACTTGATTTGATTACTGTGTTGTGAGAGGAGGCCGTCCTGGGACACAGACATCTCCTGTCAGCACCCAGCCAGGGCAGCCCCAAGGCCCGCTCACAGGGAGCAGGTGGGGAGAGAAGACAAGGGCACTGTGGGAGTCAGGACCAGGCAGTGAGGGTTAAGGATTATCACAGATTTGAGTAATTCTAGAGGACCTGGAGACCCCAAGGAGGGTAAAAAGTACTAGTTAGGTCAAGGGTAACTGGGAGGTCAGAGGTCACCAGCAGGAAGGGTCAGTGACCAGATCCACTCAGTTGAAGGGACACGTGAGGAAACACATTATAGACCGCATGTGATTATCAGAAAATGAGAAAGGGAGCAGCTCTGTGGTGGGTTCAGGAAGATCCCCAGGTCCCAGTGGAGTGGGGGAGGGGGCGGTTAAGGGCCTCACCCAGCCACCCTGTTCCTGGATCCAGGTCAGCAGTCGCTTACGAAGGAAGCCCAGCGCCCAGCCTACGATAGGGTTGATCAGCATCTCCTTGTCCTCGATCACGGCCTACGGTGATGAAGTGGGAGTAGGGACCGAGCTCCCACAGCCAGGTGACTCCCCAGGCCCCTTTCTCAAACCTCTGCCTCCCCCCTGACCCCCTGTGGTTCTTCCCACTCATAACTTGGATCTCATCACTGGCAACTGCCCTGCTTAGGACCCGTCCATCCTCCCAAGTACCCCTGGGATCCAAACCAAGGCATGGGCTGCCACAGGCCGGTGTACAAGTTCTCCTTGCTCACACTGAATTTTTCTTTTACTTTTTGGTGTCTCATCCTTTTTCCAATCTTCATTCACACGAAACTCCTTTCTGCCTCAGGACCTTTGTGCATGTTGGTTATTCTGCCTAAATAGGCCTTGTCTGACTTACCTGCCAGCTAAGACTCAACACCCCCAGTTGCCGTGACCTGCTCTCCAACTCCCTGGACGCCCCCTTCCACCCTCTATGGGGCTGCTTCTCCCCAGATCCACATGAGCCCCCAGCACTGAATGCTGCCCCCACCTCCAACATTCAGGCCCCATCAGCTCCATATTACAAACACATCCAGAAAGCCACTTCCTCCCACCCCCGCTCCCACCTGAGTCCCGGCCCCTCATCGTTTGGTGGGTCCATTCTGGGTGTCCCCCACTAGGGTCCCAGCTTTTGCCCCTGCGCCTCACAGTCCCTTTCCCAACTATAGTTGCCAAACAATGTTCTGTGATAATCCTTCTTCCACTTTGAGTGTCTGCAGAGAAAAGCTACCAGGATTCCAGAGTGAACAGCCTCACAGCCACAACAGTGGGCTGCACAAGGAGCACTTGGCTGCATATGTGAGAATAATCTTCAAATGAAAATTCTGTCACCTTGGGCCTCCCCGGTGGCGCAGCAGTTGAGCGCTGGGCTGCAAAGCTGCCCGCAACTTCTGCTGTGCTGGTTCAATCCCCGGCCACCAGAGGAGGGTCCCACATGGCGCGCAGACCTCTCCTGCCGCCCGCTGCTCCCCTCAGCAGTGTACTTCGTTCCTTCTGCTGCTCTGCTCCCCGCTCTGGCTCTGGTGAGTTCTCTCACCCTCCCGCGCTTCTGACTGTACCCAGTGCTTGTATAAATAAATAAATAAATCTTTGAAAAAAATTAAAAAAAAAATCAGTCACCTCATTCTCATTTTTATTTTTTTAAATACCTTTTTTTTATAGAGGCATGTTTTATTTATTTGTTTGTTTGTTTGTTTGTTTATACAAGCACTGGGTACAGTCAGAAGTGCGGGAGGGTGAGAGAATTCACCAGAGCCAGAGCGGGGAGCAGAGCAGGCAGAAGGACCGAAGTACACTGCTGAGGGGAGCAGCGGGCGGCAGGAGAGGTCTGCGCGCCATGTGGGACCCTCCTCCGGTGGCCGGGGAGCAGCCGGGGATCGAACCGTCGCCGTAGAGGCTGCGGGCAGCTTCGCAACCCAGCGCTCAACCACTGTGCCACCGGGGAGGCCCCTCATTCTCATTTTTAGAGGCAGAGACAGGAGACAATCCTCCTGTGTCCCTGTGAGGAAAGCTAAGGTCCTTCAGGGTCCCACACTCTGCCCTCAGCCCTCACCCATCTCACTGCCTTCAGCACAGACCTGGCGCTGCCTCAGGACATTGGCACTTGCTGTGTCCTCTGCCAGACGCCTCTGCCCTCCTGACCCTTCTATATCGCTGCGTCTTTATTGTCCTCCCGGCTTTGGCTTAATGTCACCTCCTCTTAGAAGTCTTTCCTGACCATGTGACAACACGAGGGTGGCAGGAGAGCAGGACCCAGCAGCCTGCTTTGCAGTGTTGGTGGGCCCACGCGTGTTGAACGAATAAGCGAAGGAAGGAGCAGACCAGGAGCCACAGCTGTCTCTGTCAATTCCCTCTGTGGACACAGGGCTGCCACAGGGGTACGGTCAGGACTCCCAGGTCTCAGGGTTCTGGGGGCGCCTCCCTGGGCTGCCCACACTGCAGCTGCCCACCTTGAGCGCCACTTTGCTGACGACGTAGAAAAAGAGAGCAACCCGGTCCCAGGTGATGCCGTCTGAAAATATATGGCATGCCATTTCAGTAAAGCCCTCAAGGGTGAAGGCTCTGTCCATTCCCATCAGCCTGCAGGAAAGAGGAGAGCTGTGATGGGGGGAGTGTCAGCAGAGTGTGGAGACCCCGCTAGCCACCTCATCCCTGACGTAAAGGGACCTGGGCGAGGCTGAAATGAAAAGCAAGGGGTCAACATGCAGACAGGGGACATTTAGGGGAGAGAGGAAAATGGCTCCCTGAGGAGGGTTTCAGGATCCCAGGGGAGGGGACGGCCTGGAGTTCGGAATCCTGTGTTGAGTGATTGGACCCTGGACCCTGGGTGTGAAGGAGCAAGGCTTGTGGGTGTGGATCGCAGGAGAGGAGGGGGTTGGGGGCTGAAGCTGGGCCTCCTGGTGTATGAAGGTGACCAGTGACTGGATTCCTGGGTCCTGGGGCCGCACCTCTGCAGCTTCTTGTCCTTGTCCACTTCTTGTGCCATGCGCTTGAGAACTTTCAGCAGTTTTTTGATGTGTGGGTCCTGGGACACCCACTCTAGGGCCAGCTCAGCTATATACTTTGCGCCTCGTCCTATTTGATCACAGATGTAACTGAAAATAAAAGGAGTGGAGGATGCAGAGCCAGAAAGGGGCCACTCCTCAAAGCCGCTCCCCAATAACGAAGCAAAATGGCCGCCTCCTCACCTCCGGAGCAAAATGGCCCCTGTCTCCATGATCTGCTCCATGAGCTGGTGGGCCCTGCAGGAGGAAGGAGGGGCGGGGTGTCTGGACTGTTGTGCCTAAAGATCGAACAACGTGTTCCCGAGAGATCCAGGACAACGCTGCAAGAACAAAAGGGAGTTTATTGCAGGCTCGAGGCTGGGCCCACGACAGGCACCGACGCAGCGGCGGATATCGACAGCCCCGGACTCAGGGAACGTGGATTTTTTATAGGGTTACAAGCTGTTTCAAAAAATTAAATCGTGCTGGCCATCACTCATTGGCTTCAAGGATGCATTCTCCAAATTTGGCGCGCTCGCAACTGTCGAAGCTATCTCTGGAATGCAGTTTGTCATTAATGCTGTTAGGTGTTGGGGCCTTAACTCCGTCCGAGGTTCCCAAAACCACATGAAGCCAGAGATGCTAGCTTAAGCGAGGGCCCAGCTCTGACTGGAGCACTGACACAGCAGTCTCACCAGGTTGAGAGAGGGACCCCCTCCCAGAGCAACCAGCTGTTTTTGTACTTTGTTGACAGGATGTGGGGACTTTTCACACCTGGGGCAGGGCCCACCCTGATTAGACAGCTCTCATGGTGCCAGCTAGGTTTTGTTTCTCCTGATGTTGTGGTTTCCGCCCAGAAATGAAACCTAGCTGTGCCCTTTTGAGATGGCAGTTATTTCTCAAAATGGCTGCAGAGCCTTGCAGCGGTTGTCCTTGATCTCTTGAGGAACGTGTTGTTCGATTGTTAGGCACAACAGGACTCTGGAGTCCTGGAGGGTCATGGGGGTGGGGAGCTGCTCATGGTCCCCGAGGAAGGCCAAGCTGGGGGGCGAGGCACTGGACTTCTGGGGGCCTGAGAGATAAAGTGACCGGGAACAGGACACTGTGTCCCTGATGGAGAAAGAGGCTGGGAGGCCCAGCCTGTGTCCCACACTCTTCTGGGGGAAGGGACTGGGCAACACTTAAGGGGTGCAGCTCTCTGGCCTGAGGGGCAGAGAGGAGAGCCGCCCCTCCCACCAGGGCTGAGGCAGGAAGTGGGCCTGTCCAGGGAGGTCTGGATCCAGGGGTCTCCAGGTGCTTGTGGGGTCCGAGAGCACCCCGCAGGAAGAGATCGGGTGCGGAAGTCAGAGAGCCGGGGGCCCCGGGGAAGAAGGGGCTGGGGCTGGCGGCGCCCCATCAGGGAGGTCCTGCCAGGGAGTGCTCCCATATCTCGAGCCAGAGCCGGCAGGGGGCACGTCCTGGGGGTTGCGGGGGTCACCCTCCTCCCTCCCGCCCATCCAGGCTCACCTCTGGGGAACCGGTTCCTGACCGACCGCTGCTCTCTCCACTGACTGTCCTTCAAGACTGAGGTCTTGCCTTTACACCCTTGCCTGATTGGCCAAAGCCTCTACAGACTGCTGCCAAATAAAGCCAGCCCAGCACCCCGCCCTGCCTGTGCGACACGCCCTAGAGAACTTCCGCTCCTGCAGGCAGCCACAAGTGGGGGTGTGTTGTCTCCAAGGCAGGATCCCTAAGCGCCTGTCAGAGACCCCCCACGGGTCAAAAAGGGCATTCACTGAGGCAGCACATTTCAGACGCCTAAATCCCGGGGGTATGTGTGAACAACAGGAACATGAAGTTCAAAAAGTCGCAAAATCCACGGTGCTAGATTGGCAGCGTGTGGAACTTTGGGGCCCCAAGAAGGGCTGCCAGGTTGTCCCAACTGTGCTTGATCTGTGTGGTGATTGTTTGAGTGCACACATATTTTAAAATCTGTTAAGGGTCTCCCTGGTGGCGCAGGGGTTAAAGTCTCAGCACAATCAAGCTATCACCAGCCACTGCTGCACAAGTTTGATCCCTGGCCAGGGAGCTACCCACATGGTGCAGCAGACCTCTCCTGTCTCCCCGCTGCTCCCCTCAGCAGTGTATTTCAGTAGATCTGTCTGTTCTGCTCCCCACTCTGTCTCTGGTGAATCCTCTCACACCCCACCCCCACATCTCTGGCTTACAGCCCAGTTCTTGTATGCATAAATAATGAATCTTTAAATGAATCAATAAAATGAATCTTTTTTTAAAAAAACAGAAATGAATTACCAAGCTGGAAGAGGAAGAACCTTTGTAAACAGAGAAAGGGCCATGAAAGGGGGAATTAAGTGATGTTGAGGAGATCAGCTAAGATTCCCAGAGACAAAGGGCCCTGAAGGCTGACCTAGGAAGGTCTTGGGTGAAGGACAATAGGAAGAATTGCGGGTTTCCCGTTCTGCCTCCGGGTGTGAAAAATGAACCCATCTGGGCCTCCCTGGTGGCCCAAGGGGCTAAGTACCGCACCATGAAGCAACCCGCAGCCTCTGCAGCATGAGTGCGATGCACCATGTGGGTCAGCTTCTAGGCTGCTGATCAAACTCATGTTCCAACTCATGTTGCAGTGGCTGGCCATAGCTTCACGGTGCTGAGACTTAACCCCTTGTGCCACTGGGCCGCCCAAAGTAAGAAGTCTTTCTGCCTGACTGTGTTCAAACTGGAACATTCACTTTCTTCCTGCCTTTGGACTTCAATCCAAACCTGGCTCTTTCTGGTCTCAAGTCTGCCAGTCTGCTGATGAGAACTTTACCCTCAGTTTGCAGAGTTGACTTTAACTGGCTGGCCACGCACCTACATAAAGCTCCCTTCAATTACTTGCAAGTTGAGTGGGGCTGACTTCACAACCACACTAAGGGAGCAGCAGATGACCCCGACGGTGACTATCCTACATTGAAACTCTTGTGAAGGCACGTCCCATCTTTGCTGTTGAAATGACTGTACTGTAGATCTGGAGCTTCTGGAGGCCGATGCAGAGAAGACCTCGCCTCAAAGCAGAGGGCCATCACCTAACAATTGTTGAGAAGCTACTGTGTGCTAGAAGGTATTCACACACCACACCCATTTATTCTTCATCAGAAGAGGGTCGCGCTGGTATGTCTCCTTTACGGAGGAGGCAAAGGCAGAGAGAAACTGGGGGAGAGAGAGGTTAGGGACACCTCCTACCCACGCTCCGGGCCCTGCTGAGGTCACACAGGTTGTGACAGGCAAGCCATGGATCTTCCCCAGTTGCCTCCTCTGCGAACATGTGAGAAATGTGACTCTGACCCCACCTTCATCTTCTTCCCCACATCCTTCCACCAAATTTATTCTCCTTTGATGGTTGGCTCTCATCAGCTCCCAACAAACCACCACTGACTGGCAAGATCTCTGTGCAAACTATGTCTTTATTTATTCAGGACATGCATCAGCGCTTGTCTTGGGGGAAGGTGACCCCAATGGCCTTCCTTGCCTCCTCAAGGATGGTAGCCAGGAGCTCACTTTCCGCCAGAGGAATCACCGGACTTTCCTTCAGGCCTGGGGGAGAGTGCCATTAGGGTGACTCCTACTCAACCCCCAGAGGGCCCCCCCCCCAAAAAAGAACTACAATTCCCAGAATCCCATGAGGAACAATAATATAAGGTTCAGGCAGAAGGATGCCCCAGGGGGTCCTGGGAGTTGTAGTTCTAAACAGCTATGTGCATTACTGAGGCTTTGCCTTTGGGCCCTCCCACTCCTGTCCCCCACATTCCAAATCCTTACCTTTGCGCAGGCACTCCCGGACATGCTGCGCCTCGTAAGTCATGCCCGGTCCATTTGTAAAGTTGAACTCCTTGTTTGGGGCTGGGGGCAGCGAAAACTCCTTATGCTCTCCATTTACCACCAACTGTGTTGGGCACCAGCAGGGGTCCAGGACCTGGGGCAGATAACAGGTGTTCCTACTGCCCCTACCAGTAGGGCTACTGAGTGATATACAGGGACCCCCTCATGCCTGGTGGTTAAGAGCTGATGCCCTCCCCCTTTCTGGTTGCTGGGGGTATGTTCCTTGGCAGTCCAGATGCCACAGGAGAAGCCTGCCTGTCACCCCAGATGGCAAAGCCCTAGTGGAGGCCTAGACCTAGTAGAGAAGTCTCGGTCTATCCCCTGTCAGGTGAAGCTTCCATGGACCCCTCCACGGTACTGGGGTAACACAGTTATCATGTGAATCTTTGCAAGGAGACTCAACCCAGCACCTTCTTGGCCACTAGGAATCTTTTCTCCTCACGTCCCATCGCTCCAGAAGCCTATGTTATTCCCATACCCATGTCTAGACCAAATGGAAATGCAGAGAAGTAGTGGACACAGGTCTGGGGTAGGTTCCAAATGATTCAGCTCAGAATAGGATTTCTTTCTAGCAACAGGGCCCCAGAAGTCTAGTGAAGTCAACCTTTGGTTATGCCCAGATTCTGTGCCAGAAGCAATCACAAAGGTCACACTGCTCTCTCACACTGGCTTCTCCTCAGGCCTAAGGATTTTTGACAGACCACATGCCCACCCTTGGGAAGGTCCAAGTCCCACCACACGGCCTGGCGACTGAAGATGGAGCCCTTAGCAATGACGTGGGGAAAGGCTGAATCTCCAGCTCTAGCAGCTCCTGTTATTAGGGCTGCGCTTCCCGAATTTGGGCCCATCCCAGCTTGGCTGGTCATGCCTCACCTTGGCATAGCCCTTGGTACCGCTCACATAAGCCGTATTGGAGAGCTCAGCTGTGATGCTGCAGGTGAAGCTTCCGTGGACCCCTCCGGGGTACTGGAGTAACACAGTCACTGTGTCGTCCACACCTGGGAGAAGGCAGGGAACAGGTCTGGCCTCAAATCTGGTCTGTGGGTCCTTGGGCAAGAGACCTCACTTGATACGGCCGACTGAAAGGCTGCACATCACAGGATGCTGTCTGTCCCAAATGCCCAGGATTTGGCAGATCCAAGGAGCCAGCAAGTAAATGAGTAGTCACGCAAGAGCTCAGGGCCGGGAGGGGAGGGTTGGATGTAGAGTGGATTTTTTGTGTATCTTTTTTTTAGAGTAACAAAAATATTTTCACATTGATGATGGTGATGGTTACGCAACTCTGTGACCATACAAAAGCCTTGGAATGAAACACTTCAAAAGAAACAATTATATAGTATGTTGTTGGAGACCCCGAAGGCGTGAAGTGCCAGGACAAGGAGACTGACAAGGTCATGACTGGTAGACCGGTCAACACCAGCTGGAAGACCAGCCCGTGTCCAGACCACGATGTCCTTTCTGTGTTAGCAGAGCGAAGCCCAAGAGAAAGGCCAGAGTAGAAAGGGAGTAGATTATACCTGGTAACGCAGAACCTTGGCGGTGAACATGCACCCAGACCAGGCTAAATACTAGGAGAGTGATTTATTGTCTAGTAACTAACAAGGATGGGAGGGGAGCGGTATGTATCAATAAAAATGAGTTGCACCGGGCACTCAGGATGTTTGAGCTCAGGATAAGAAGCCTTGTGTCCCCTGGGTCCCGCTTCTCTTCAACTCTATTTTGTGTCTGTCAGTTCTGTATTTCCAGGTTCTTTGGGGTTCCCCTCTCAACCCTGTTCACCGGAGCTGTCTCCGGCAGGACGTGATGTGGAAAGTCCCTGCAGCTGTTTAACCTGATCCTCATGGGCTAGGAGGCTTATTCCCAGCTTAGTGCTCCCAGGAAGAAGGGAGCACTTCCATGGCCATTGGTACTCCAGGACAGACCATACCTGTTTCATGGCGCCTTCCCACAGCTGTAATCTTCTCTGGCTTCTGCCCACCAAAGACCATGGAGATGAACTGGATGCAGTAGATGCCGATGTCCAGCAGGCCACCGCCAGCCTGGGCCCAGTCTACAGCTCGGGGTACATGGGTAAGGTCCTTCCCAAATTCTGCCCGAGCCACCCGAAGGTCCCCCAGAGTACCCTGGGCCAGAACAGACCTCAGAGTCTCTAGGGCAGGAAAGAAGCGGGTCCAGATGGCCTGCAGAGGGGAGAGAGATGAGGAGGGGAAGGAATGGGTGAGGGTCCAGGAGTTAAGCAATCATTTCCCCCAATCTTGAGAGGTACCTGTTGGCCAACAGTCTCCAAACAAGAACCCCCTTCTTTTTTTTTTTCAAATATTTAATTATTTTTATACAAGAGCTGGGGTACAGGCCAGAGGTGTGGGAGGGTGAGAGGATTCACCAGAGACAGCAGGGAGCAGAATAGGCAGATAATCGAAATACACTGCTGAGGGGAGCAGTGGGTGTGACAGGAGAGGTCTGCCAGGCCATGTGGGTATCTCCCTGGCTGGCCAGGAATTGAACCCTCACTGTAGAGGCTGTGGACAGCTTCACAGTGCTGCGCTCAACCCACTGTGCCACCAGGGAGGCCAAGACCCCCCCTTCTTTCCACAGTCCACTAGTCCCTAAGGTATGACCTTCCTGCCTCTGATTCTCTGCTCTGCCCCCCTCTCCACTCTCATGGCCCCCAACTTCAGTCTTCTCCTTTGCCTCTGGACCATTGCCCTAGTCTCCCGATGTGATGGTAAGTTGGCATCCTTACCAAATTCCCTATGTTGAGATTCTCCAGTGTATTTGGAGATGGGGATTTTTAAAAAATTATTCCTTTATTGTATTTCCTCTTTATAAATTATTCCTCTATTGTGAATTATTATTGTAATAATTAAAAAATCATTCCTTTATTTATCTTACAATAAATAAAATAAAATTTTATTTTATTTATTTTGCATAGAAGAACTGGGGTATAGGCCAGAGGTGTTGGGGGGTGAGAGGATTCACCAGAGACAGAGTAGGGAGCAGAACAGGTGGACTGACTGAAATACACTGCTGAGGGGAGCAGCAGGCAAGACAGGAGAGGTCTGCTGCTGTGTCATGTGAGTGATCTCCTTGGTGGGGGATTGAACTCATGCTGCAGTGGCTGCCAATAGCTTCATAGTGCTGAGACTTATCCCCTGTGTCACCACAGAGGCCCCCGAGATGTGGATTTTAAAGAGGTAGCACAAGGGGTTAAGCATGGCACTGTGAAGCTATCCACAACCTCTGCATCACTAGTTCCATCCCTGGCCAGGGAGCTACCCACAAGGTGCAGCAGACCTCTCCTGTCTCCCCGCTGCTCCCCTCAGCAGTGTATTTCAGTCAATCTGCCTGTTCTGCTCCCCACTCTGTCTCTGGTGAATCCTCTTATCCCCTGCACCTCTGGCCTGTACCCCTGCTCTTGTATGCATAAATAAATATATCTTTAAAAAAAAATAAAGAGATAATTAAGTTAAAACAAGGTATTGGAGTGGATCTTAATGCAGTAAGATTATAGTTTCCTTAGAAGAGGAAATTAGGAGACAGGCATATAGAGGGGGAAGGCCACGTGAAAACACAGGGAGAAGTCAGCCATCAACAAGCCATGCAGAGGCCTCAAAAGTCATGCTGCTTACGCACTGATCTCAAACTTGTGGCCTCTAGAGGTGTAGGAAAGAAGTCTCTGTTGTGTAAGTCACCCAGTCTGTGGTGGTACTTTTTTTTTTTTTAAAGATTTATTTATTTATTTATACAAGCACTGGGTACAGTGAGAAGTGTAGGAGGGTGAGAGAATTCACCAGAGCCAGAGCGGGGAGCAGAACAGCAGACTGACGAAATTCACTGCTGAGGGGAGCAGCGGGCGTGGCAGGAGAGGTCTGCGCACCATGTGGGACCCTTGCCGATGGCCAGGGATCGAACCGGCACTGCAGAGGCTGCGGGCAGCTTTGCAGGCCAGCACTCAACCGCTGCGCCACCGGGGTACAGGCCAGATGCACAGAAGGGTGAGAGGATTCACCAGAGACAAAGCGGGGAGCAGAACAGGCAGACTGAGTGAAATACACTGCTAAGGGGAGCAGCCGGGAGACAGGAGAGGTCTGCTGCGCCATGTGGGATTCTCCAGCTGTCCGGGATCGAACCAGCGCTGCAGAGGCTGCAGACAGCTTCACAGCACTGGGCTCAACCGCCTGGGCCACCAGGAGAGGCCCCTGGGGACCATTTTAATCAACTGGCAAAATATCAAATGTCAAAAGTAGCCAAGTCAGGGCCTCCCCTGGTGGCGCGGCGGTTGAGCGCTGGGTTGCGAGGCTGCCTGCAGCCTCTGCAGTGCCAGTTCGATCCCCGGCCACCAGCAAGGGTCCCACAAAAAAAAAAAAAAAAAAAAAAAAACAACAACACAAAAAAACCAAAAGTAGCCAAGTCTGATAAAGGCTTTTGCTTGATGTTGGGGGTTGTTAGGGGTTCCTGGGTCCCTCTGACCTCCATCCCTGGAAATCCACCCAAAGTAAGCCCACTGCCATTCTGTGCCACTTTCCCTGTCCCTTCCTGAAAGGCTGTCCGGCGGCCACGTTAGCGAAGGGCCAAGCGCAGTGGCTTTTGCCCCAGCAGATGGCACGGCCTAGGGCACCGCTCGCCCAGGCAAACTCGCCAACCACCATTCATTCCGCGGTCCTCGGGCAGCCACGGCTGGTAATGGCCAGAAGCGCCGCACTGGCTCTTGGAAGCTCCTGGAAGCCCCGGTCGCCCTCACCTCCATGAGGAAGACGCCGCGGGACCGCGCCTCGGCCACCATTTCGCGCACTTCGGCGGCGTTCACGCCCAGGGGCTTCTCGCACAGGACGGCCTTCCCCGCGGCCAGACACAGCAACACGGCGGCCTTGTGCTGGGGGTGCTGGGTGCCGACGTAGACCACCTCTGGAAGGAGGACGGCGGCAAGAGGTCAGCGGCGTCGCCCCGGCGACTGAAGAACTGGGGTCCCCCGAGAAGCGGGCCAGCTCCGGTCCCACCCGACGGTCTCCCGTGACTAGGAGCCGGCCACTCTCTGCCCTTGCTCTGTTTCTTCAGGTTATTGCCGGCCCCGCGAAGCTATCACATGAAATCATTTCCGCCTCCCACGGCCACCAACAGGGAGAGGCTGTGATTTTGTCCATTTCGCAGATGAGACTGGGATGGGCAAGCTGAGGAGCAAAACACCCACCGCGGCAGCCCGCACTCCAGAGCCTGGTTCTCGTCCACCTGCATGGTCCTGCCTCCCCATCCAGGCCAGGCAGGCCCGCCCCAGGCCCGACCACAAGGCCCACTGAAGCCTGAACGGGCTCCTTCCGCTGCTTTAGAAATTCAAGCTTCGCCCTTAGCGGGGAGCCTGGCCGCTAAATTGCAAGCTCACCTTAGACAGCTCATTAATCCTTACCACATGTTTCGACAGCTCTGCCTCCCAACCCGCGGTTCCTTTTTTTTTTTTTTTTTTTAAGATTTATTTATTTTTTTATACAAGAGCTGGGGTACAGGCCAGACTGAAATACACTGCTGAGGGGAGCAGTGGGTGTGGCAGGAGAGGTCTACCGCGCCATGTGGGTATCTCCCTGACTGGCCGGGACTCGAACCTGCGCTCCGGAGGCTGCGTACAACCTGCTGCGCCACCAGGGAGGCCCCCAACCCACGGTTCTTCCAAACTCCCAAGGGTCTGCTCCCATCCCGCGGAGCCTTGCAGCAGTCGTGGGGCAGCCCGAACAGAGCGCCCCTGGAGCGTCCCTGCGGCACTGGCCACTCACCCACGTTGGGGTCCTTGGCCAGCTCCTCATAGGAGCCATAAGCCTTGGGGATGTCGTGCTTCCGTGCAAACTCCTTCGCCCGGCTCAGGTCGCGGGCCGCTACCGCCACCACCTGGAGGGACACAGGGGTTACACTGAGGGCCTGGGGCAGCCTTGGGAGACAGGTGGATGGAGGAGGTCCTGGGATGAGAAGAGAGATCACCCCAAGACAGGAAGATGTGGTCCCGGGAGAGGAGGTGACGGGGGCTGGACACCGGGCCCTGGGAAAGGAGACTTAGGGCAAGCGATCACTAAGGTCCCCAATATCGAGACTTCTTTTCCCAGCAGCCCAGATCCAGACCCGCCGGAAGCTCCCGCAACTCCTGTTTTCAGGACAGAGAAGGCAGTGAGCAACGAGTTAGGAGGTTGTTAAGCTTTGGGGACTCAAGTCCACGACCTTCGGCCTCTAACTCCCCCTCCTTCGGGCCCTCAACCCTCTCTTTCGGCCTCTTAACTCCCCTTCCTTCGGCCCTTCACCCCCCCTCCTTTGGAACCTAACTCCCCTCCTTCAGACCCTCAACCCCCTCCTTTGGACCCTCAACCCCCTCCTCCTTCAGATCCTCAGCCCCCCTCCTTCGGACCCTAACTCCCCTCTTTCGGACCCTCACCCCCGCTCCTGCGGACCCGAGGCCCCCCTTCCTGCAGACCCTCACCCTCCTCCTGCGGACTCTCAGCCCCCCTCCTTCGGACCCTCACCCCGCCTCCTTCAGACCCTGACTCCCCTCCTATTGGGAGCCGCGCTACTCATGTCGTCTGACAAAAGTCCGGGCATGGGGCAGATTTCTGAAAAATCAGGAATCTCGTGAGCTGACTCCAAGGTTCTCCTCATTTGTTTATGGCTAGTTTCTACCATTGCTAAAATATGCATTTAAAAGTAAAACTGCAAATGGTGTTTGATCAATTACTAAATAACCAATTTGATGACAAATGGCACTGCACGATACAAATATTACATTTTTTATAAAATTAGTAGTTCTCTGCCAAAAGGCGGTAATTCAACATTCGGCTTTAAATTAACAAAGTGAAAAAACTGGGAACAAAAGGCTGTAAATATTTCTCGGTCAAAGTCCTTAAAGAAAATTCCTGTTAAGCCAGAAGACCCATAGCCAGCCAGCTCCTGCTAAATTTTTCCTGTTTGTTTAGGGCTAATTCCCCTGGATGTAACAATTGATATGGTAGCTGTCAGAGGATGCATTCGAGAATAGTCAACAATTTTGTTACTGGTTAAGCTAATAAACATGGCAGCACCAATAATGCATTTGGAAATAGTCAATGTGACAGCTCCTGATATGTCACATACTAAACACTTCGAAAACCAAAAGCTATAACCACCCTGTCCCTGATGAAGTTATTTGTAGTTCTTTAAAACAACAACCAGCAATCTCGATACAGAAACTAGGCTGACCAGATAAGTAGCGGACTTATCTTTTGTTAGACTAGGACACTTCCTCCCTTTACTGAGAGCTGGGGGCTAGGGAAGAGTCAGTGCAGCTTGCCTGACACGAACGCCCGCCAGGCCCTTGGTTCCTTAATATCAAACCAATATTAAAACAATATACTATAGATGATGACTTCTTTATAATAGCCTTCTGTTTTCTGCTTTAATCATTTGGTTATATGCTAAACTTTATAGGTTAGAAAATATCCCTTTGTCTCCCTTCCCCCAGGTAACCTTCTGCCTTTGTTTTCCTCTAGCCCATAGTTAATCGTTCACCATGGCAAACTTGGAGATGTTAGTTGCAGACACATAGGCGTTTTGCTAGTAATATAATAACTGTTGGGTTGTTTAAAGTAAATAACTACTTTGAAAACATTTGTTTAGCAACTGTGCCTTCTTTAAGACAAAAAACAGTAAGTGTCATAACCTCTGCGGGCTGGCAAACAGACCTTTGGCTGCTCTTGAAAAAACATGTGATGACTGTTATCGTCCTACCTTAACGCACATGCTTGTGCACTCACCATTTGCTCAGTATCAATAAAGGACTGCCCGGACCCTCAGCAGGACGGTGCCTGCACCCTGACCCTGACCGAGTGTTTGCGTCTCCTCTTTCCCCTTCCCCTTCCTTTATCATTCTCTGCAATTGCGCCCACGCCTTCCCATCCTTCAGGAACCCCTGACACCCAGACTGCTGCGGCTGGCCCGCAACACCCTCCTGCGGACCCTCACCCCCTCCTGCGGACCCTCACCCCCTCCTGCGGACCCTCAGCCCCCTCCTGCGGACCCTCAGCCCCCTCCTGCGGACCCTCACCCCCTCCTGCGGACCCTCAGCCCCCTCCTGCGGACCCTCACCCCCCTCCTGCGGACCCTCACCCCCTCCTGCGGACCCTCAGCCCCTCCTGCGGACCCTCAGCCCCCTCCTGCGGACCCTCACCCCCCTACTGCGGACCCTCAGCCCCCTCCTGCGGACCCTCAGCCCCCTCCTGCGGACCCTCAGCCCCCTCCTGCGGACCCTCAGCCCCCTCCTGCGGACCCAGGCCCGGCCCTCGGGTCTCCTCCTCCCCAGGGCTCCGGAGGAGGGCGGACCTGATGCTCGGAGCGCGGTAGCATCCGCAGCACGGTGGTGAAGTCGCTGGAGATGAGGCCGACAGCCACGACACCCCAGCGAAGCGCCATGGCTGCAACCCGGGGTCCCGAGGCCCCGGCTTCTCCCCGCGGGAATTAAAGACCCGCGCACGCTTCCGCCGGGGGGCGTGGCACCTTGCTCCGCCCCTGCCCCCTGACGCCTCTTCTCATTGGTTGTAAGATCGACACGCCTCCCTTGTCGCTAGGCGACGGAGAAAGACTGTCATCCTCGCCTGCCCATTGGACGGGCGCACTGTTGGCCCCGCCTTAGGGAGGCGGGTTGCCCCGAGATCGCCAACCTCGTGCCACGGGGCGGGGCTTGCCGGCTCCTCGATTTAGTGCCTGGGGTCCAGTCTCCTCTCCTCCCCGACTGTTTTGCTCAGAAAGCCGCGCGCTCTTGGGGATTGTCGGGGGGGGGGGGGGGGGCGGGGGGCGGGGCAGGGAATAGTTTAATAGCAAAGATAATAGTCATCACTAATATTTCTATTTATGGAGCTCCTGCTTTGGCCCAGGACCTCGGTTACACGCTGCAACAAACAGCAAATTTGGCAGCTTCCAGAGGCTCTAGTTTCGGAGACTAGGCTGCCCTGCTTCAGAAGCGCCTGGGGCCAGGTGTCTGGCCTTTTCTTGGCTGTCTTGCTTTGACAAAGGCTTTCTCTCTCTGAGTCTTCTCAGACAGGAATTGAATATTTAAAATGCGCTTTAGGGTCTCCTGGTGGTGCACGGGGTTAAGCACCGCACTATGAAGCTGTTCGCAGCCTCTGCCGCACAAATTTGATCCTGGCCAGCCAGGGAGCTACCCACATGGCGCAGCAGACCTCTCCCATCTCGCCCGCTGCTCCTCTCAGCAGTGTATTTCAGTCAGTCTGCCTGTTCTGCTTCCCACTCTGTCTCTGGTAAATCTCACCCCTGCACCTCTGGCCTGTACCCTAGTTCTTGTATGCATAAATAAATAAATCTTTTTAAAAATAAAAAATAAAGTGTGCTTTAATCAGGCATCGGCAATCTGGAAGATGGAGGGTTAACACCCTGAAGAAACCACCTTTACATTTCATTTCCAGCTGCCATTTTACAGTGAGCTGAACAAAGAGAGTTCAGCAGTGAGCAGGCTTCGCTGCTGCCAGGAGACTGTGATGTCCAGCCCCTGGAGTGCCTTATCGCCCTCCTGGACACCTGGCCTCAGGCTCGGCCTGGAGTGCTGAGGCTGGTCTGCAGATCACACTGCTCCAGACTGTCCCTGGGCTGGAAAACTAACTCATTGCAGACAGGCCATAAGCAATATGTGTGTGCAGATTTCCTACTGTACCAGCTTAGCGTCTCACCGGATCTCCTCCCCCTTCCTAACCCCTATCACTATCTTAGGGATAAGAAAGTTAACTGAGCTCCAGTATATAGTAAATGATTATTCTCTAAGTCATTGAACTGACCCAGGTCTAATCAATTACACATGCAACAAATTAGGCCATTTCCCTTCCCTTTGAAGTTTTTCATTAGATCCAAGTTTCATCTAGAGACCCACGGGCTCCAAGCCCATATAACCTGCTGAATAAAAATATTAATGTGTGCACTGAGAGCACAGTCGGCTGCGAGAGAAAAAAAAAGGGAATTTAAAACACGGATGCTCCTGGGATGGTCCTCCTAGAGAGACAAAAACTTAGATTCACAAACAAAAAACTGTACAGAGACGTTCAGGGCAGTGTTGTCTGGATCACTCATAGCTCACAACAGCCTAAATGTCCTTTAACAAACCAGTGGATAAACCAGTTGGTATTATAATAAATACCGTGAAATGTTTCTCAGCAGTAATAAGGAAGGAATAGTTAATTGATGGAGCACAACTCGGATGGATCTCTAAGGCATTATGCTGAGTGAAACAAGCTAGTCTCAGAGTTGTACATTGAATGATTTCATTGATAGAACATTCTCGCAGTGAAGAAATCATAGAGGGTTGGCCACAGTAGGGTCTTGGGGGAGGGTAGCATGATTAAGGGTTAATGTGAAAGAGTTTCTCTGTGGGAAGGGAACCCTTCTGTATCCTGAGAATGGCAGCAGGTACTCAAGTCTTTGTATTTGATAAAATCTCATAGACTGATATGCTCGCTGTTTTTAAAGTGTGTGTAATCTGAGGAAGTGCTGGTGAAACCTGAGTCAGGTCTGTGCCTGATTAAGGACCACAGCAACATTAGTTCCTGGCTTTGACAGAGTATTGATTTCCCTAAGATATCATCAGTTACCTCAGATACTGTCACTGGGGCAAAGGTGTTTAGGGAACAAAGGAATTCTCTATATTATACTGGCAACTTCTTAAACAATTTCGGAACTTAAAGTAATGATTAGAGATTATTGGCAGTGCATTTGTGCACCCAGAGAAATCATTTTTGCAAGATTCAGTGAAATAGAAAATGAGTGTATCTCATTATCCAGAAAGTTCTATCCTGGCAGAAGAAAGATGCCCTTGAGGAGCTCTCCAATCTGTGCCCAAGAAAACATGTATGTCAGAACATTGATGGCAGTGATGCTCAAAAAAGGGTATGGTGGAGCAATGCACAAATGAACTGGCAAATTCTCACGTGGGTCTTTTTTCCTTTAGATTTACTTATTTATGCATACAAGAACTGGGGTACCCCAGTTAAATGATCTTTATAAATAAATAAATCTTTTTTAAAAAGTCTTCCTGAATACTATATCACCCTCACAATGACCCTCTGAAATAGGTCCCATTTTGTAGGGGAGGAAACTGAGGCACGGGGAAGGGTCACGATTCTTGCCAGAGTCACACATCTAGAAAGTGAGGTACTGGGGTTGAAACCCAACGGCAGTGGTCTCAGAGTCCACCTGCTGAACTGTTCCACTGTATTAATTTAGTTCATAATTAAGGAAAGCACTGACCCAGGACCGGAATTCGCTCAGCAGGTCAAGCTCCCTCTGTCCCCAGGAGGCACCCCGCGGGGGTTAAGCACGCGGCAGGGAATTAACTGAGGGCAGAGAGGGAATTCAGAGGCAAGGGGTCAGCAAACAGACAAGGCATTCTTCAATGTCTTCTGGCAAGGGCTGCTTGACTGGGGCTCAGCTTCCCACACTGTGGGGCTGTACCCCAAGAAAGACACACACTTCCTCACTCCTTTGTTCTCCTTACAAGTAGACAAGGCAGATTGTGGCAAATCCAGTCTGAGCCAGGATGCCAACTGGTAGGAATTTGGGTGACAGCTTTTTGCAGGACTTGTTGGCAACATCATCTAGAGACCTTGGAGAAAGCTAAAATCGTGGTGAGAGGGGAAGGCTCTGTCCCAGTCCGTTCAAAGCCAGAAATCCCAGAAGTAACTTCCAAGATCATACCAGTCTTCTCAAAGGAACACAGGTATTTGTTGAGTACCTGATCCCTGCAAGTCTTGGGGGCACATCCGAAATGAGCTACATCTTCTCGGTCTTCATGCAGTTAGCAGTCTAGGGTGGGGCAGGAGGTAGGTAGTACGAGGAACAGTGACAGAGGGAACAGCATGAGCGAGGGCTGTGTTCTGAGAACTGAAAAAGGGTGTGGGTGAGTGTGATGCAAGATGGGGCTGGGGATGCGGGCAGGGGAGAAAGCCCTTCCATTCCACAGGGGGCTTGCAAGGGAGGCTGAAGGGTTTTCAGAAGGAGCAGCAGGGACAGAGACCTAATTTGGCAGCCTCTTTTTGTGGTGCCCATCACTGCTCTGACTCAATATTCACTCAGCCTACAGTTTTGCTCTGGACTTGGCTATGTGCTGGTGGAACCTCATGTTGCCCCCTGGCCCTCTGGTAGGGTAAACAGACACAGCCTGTCATGGGCTTACTAACGCTCGCCTCCCCCCAGAATCCGCCATCTTGTCACCAGAGCCCAAAGTAAAAGGGTCTTTGCCAACATGATTAAGTTGAGGCTTTTGGGCTCAGTGTCATTACGAATGTCTTTGCAAGACGAGACAGGTGGATCAGATCACAGAAGTGATCAAGAGATTTGAAAGAGACCTTAAGAGATTTGGAAGAGATTAATAAGAGATTTGAAAATGCAACATTGTGGCTTGATGATGGCAGAAGGGGACACCAGCCAAGGGATGCAGGTGATTTCTAGAAGCTGGAAAAGATGAGGACACAGACTCTCCCCTAGAACCTCCAGAAAGACGCAGTTCTGCAGACACCTTGATTTGAGTCAAGCAACACCCTTTGTGCACGTGTGGCTTCCAGAAGTGTACGATGAGAAATGCGTGGTTTAAGCCATTAAGTCAGTGATAATTTTGTTGCAGCAATGACATGTGGACCCGGGGCCCCTCTGCAGTCCGTACTGAGGGCAATGCTAGGCGTCTGGGCCCTGGGGGAGGGGAGGCTCCTAGTCTATACTGCAGGCCAGCAAAGGCTGGGGAGACAGGGAGGTAGTCAAACTTCATCTTGCAAGATTTTGATGGGAGCTTTCCATGACTGGAAGGAGAGAGGATCTCTTCCACGGAAGAGGTAACTGGCTCCTTCTGGTAGCGACAGCCTGGAGCCCACAAGGGAGGGGGTGCATGGAGAGGTCAGCTGGGCCATTTGGGCCAAAAAGCTCGCCCTACAGGTGACGGGGCGTGAAGGAGGTGACGAGCAGGGTCGCAGGGTCGCGTTCAAGTGCTAGAGAAAGACCAGTGAAGTTGAGGTCACGTAGGAAGTCAACCATGTGAGAGAAGGCCAGACGGCGTGCCGGGCAGACAGCACAACATGTACTCAGTAACTCATTCCTTCAGAGTCTTTGGAGCGTAGACTCAGTTCCGGAAAGAACATTGCTCGGGGGCAGACTTTGGCTCCGGTCTCCCGGGGTTCAAATCCCAGGCAAGTGACTTGGCTTCTGTCTTACCTACCAACCAGCCGGGGCCTACCTCTATTTCAAATACAGAAATCGTAGGGGGACTTCAGGGAGATAAACTTGAACGCTAAGCACAACTTTGCCTCTTTTTCATAAGCATATTCACAACTCGGAGCTAGGCAGAAGTGACTGGACTTTCTCAAGCTGCTCATGGCGTGGATGGGTTCCTCCCTGTACCAACTTCCTAGCGCACAGCTCAGGTCCTTTGTGCTTCAAAAATCTGAATGAAAAACGCATCCAATGGAGACACCTGCTTATCATCCTGTTCAAAGGCCAATGTTCCCTTATTTTTAAAATAATTTCCTCTTGTAATTTAAAAAAAAAAATGAACGGGGACCTTGATAGGTCAAGTGGGGCTGGGATGCCACAGGGAGCAGGTTATATACAAAGACACAGCAGCAGGGACTTGTTCCAGAGAGTGTATTTGGGTGGAATCAGAGTAGAGAGCAGGACAGGGCGCCATGTAAGGCAAGGCCAGGTAAGGACAGGGCCGACCTTGCCAGGCCTCCCACGTGGGGCTCAGGCCAGGCCCTGATCCTGTGACAGCGTCTGCTGCAGGACCCTTCTGGAGCTGTCAGGGAGGAGGTGAAAACAGAGCTGGCTGGAGGCCAGGGGTTGGAGGGCGTCTGGGGTCCCGGTGTCAGTGTCGATCACCTCTTTGGAGGACGCTGCTGCCCTGCCTCCAGCTGTGCACGGAAAGCCACCATCTTTGAGGCATCACTGGTCCCACAAAAGGTACAGAAAGTTCTCAAAGGAGCACCCCAGTTCCATAAACCAACAGCTGGGTCCAGAGCAGCAGGCAGGAGTCCAGCAGCTGAGGGGATGCAGGAGGCTGGAGTGGTCTCATCCGGGCAGCTGAGGTTAAACCACCTAGAAAGGAAGGTCTGGGACAGACAGACCGTCTTGGGAGGGAGGGGGCGGCCCTGTGATAGGCTGATCCAGTGAAGACCCCACTGGACCAGAGAGAAGGCAGGTCCCCAGGAGGGGGACAGAAAGAAGGGATCACAGACTGGGAGGCTGAGGCGGGCAGATGTAGGGAGTGGGCAGCAATGTGTGAAGTACTGCCCAGGTCCCCACCTCCAGAGGGGACATGAGGCCCCCACAGGAGGCTGATTATGACACCTCTGCCCCTTCATCAGCCTCCTCAGCAGGAACCCTGAAGGCTAGGGTCCCTGAGTGATCACAGGTTTTGGGAATCAGGCTGGGGTAGCTCAGGGGGCTGTTCTGGAACCTTCTTCTCTGAAGTGTCCATATCCTTCTGGTCACCGACTGGAGCTGGAACAGGTGCATCATCTGGAAACAGAGAGAGGAAACAGTGGCACTAGATGTCCCGGCCTCTCCCCTTCAGACCTGGAGTCCAGGCCCCCAGCCCCTCCTCCCTCAGTACCGGGAGTCCAGGCCTCCGGTGCTTCCTCCCTTAAATCTAGGAATTCTGGTCACCAGCCCCTTCCCACTTGTGCCCAGGGGCAGCACCTGTGTCGGGGTGGAACTTGAGCTGTCCCTCAGGGCCGATGGCTGGGTCATGGTGGCTTTGCTGCTGTTGTTTCCTTTGTTCCATTTGCAGAACGGCCTGCAGAGGGCAGGGGAGATTGCACAGGCAAAGGGGGATGATGCTGTGCGAAGTGGTCCTAGGCGAATCCCTTCTCCATGGGGCTCATCACAAGTTTTTCTCTTGGGAGAGTTGGGGCCAAGGATAAAGGTCCAGTTCTCCGTCCCCTCTCATGGTTTGGGTCACAACTTGGGTCAGGGAAGCCCTCATTGAATCCTCCCTGGGATTACCCTTCTTCCTCCTGGGGCTTTTCTCCTTCTACATACACTCCCACCGCCCTGCTCCAACATGGCTGCCACAGAGCGGTCAGGGGACAATGTCTGCCCTCACCAAGTTGCTCCGGCGATGCACAGTGCAGCAGCAGGATTTTCCTGCCTCTCACCACACAAGGACGTGGGCCCCAGGACTCAGGGGATGGGCCCGTTCTCCCTGGTGTGTCACCTGTTGCAGCTCTCTCTTCTGGGCCTCCAGGCGGCCCTGGGAACGCCCTAGAGCCTCTGTCTCCTGGCTGAGGCGCTGGGCCTTGGCATTCAGCTCTGCCTCCCGGGCAGCCAACTCTTCCTCAAACCGCTTCAGCTCTTCCTCCGTGTAAGCAGGGTGCATCTCCACCGTCTGCCAGGAAGGGACAGGGGCCATCAGCAGGGTGACTTCAGCCTTGGCCCCTCCCCCACTTGTTCGAGAAGGTTTGGCTAATGGAGCAGGTTTAGAGAGTGGACTTATGGGGATGAGAGGGAACTGACGGGGGAACAGAGACCCAGTGAGAGGGGAGAACAGAGACCCAGGCTGTGGACAAAGACTCCCAAGCAGAGCGTCCAGAGAAGAGAAGTGGCCAGAGACTCTGAGAGAAGGGGTAGGGCAGGGAGACAAATATTCAGAACCTAGAAGATGCCCAATGTCCTCACCTCCCAGCCCTCTCCAGTGTCCCCAAAGTCCTTCCTCTGGGTGGACGCAAGGAACTCCTCCAGCGTCACAAGGCGGTCCTGGTTGGCGTCCACCTGGGGAGACAGGTAAGGGTAAGCAGCAGTGCTGGGAGCCTCCGCCCTGCCCCCACCTACCCTCAAAGTCAGGTCTCCCCTCACATTCTTCATCACGTGCTCCCGCATGCGCAGCCGCTCCTCCTCCATCTCCCGCATGTCATCTTCCTCATTTTTGGGATCATATACCTTCTCCAGCTGTGGGGTCAAGCAAGAGACAGAAGCATTGAGAGGTCCCAGGTATCCACTTTTCCAGGCTCTTCTACCACCTGACACATACAACCAGACTTCAAATCCCAGCAGTCCTTGAGGCACCCTGTCACTCTTAGCAGTTGGCTTTTGCCCCAGGGGGCTGCTGGGAGTTGTAGTTTTCCCTGAATCCACATCCAGGGAGACTTAAGGGGGCAGGACAAGTGGTTGATGTGGGCATCCCCTCAAGATGCTCACCTCCTTGGTGAAGAGGGCCTCCAGTTCTTGCTCATCCAGGACACCATCACTGTTGATATCTGAGGGGGAGACAACAGGTATCTTGGAGCACTGAGGATGGTCCCTAAGGGACCAGCTGGAGAAGGAATTGTAGGCTGACATAGTGTCTGTCATCAGAGGACAGGTAACAACGGGTCTCTGACAGGACAGTGGCCTTCAAGCTCCAGGGCCTCACAGATCTTGTGCTAGGACAGCCTGTTCCTGACCAACCAGGGTCCTGAGAACGGGGCAGATAAAGGTGGGATTTCACTGGGACCACTCTTGGGGCCTTTGGCACACTGGATGACTTGGTGTCTGGCACCCAGTGTTCTGGGCATGGGAATGGCTCCTTGCCTAGGATCGAGGGGTATCAGGGGCCTCTGCTGTCAGAGAACCAGGCCGGGCTCACTTCAGTTGCAGAAGGGTCTCTCCCCACCAATCCAGCTGGGAAGGGCCAGGCTCTCTCCTCTGCTCACAGCTCAGCCCCACACTGAGGTGCTGAGGTGGCGAGGAAGCCTGACCTTGCAAACCCAATGGTTAATTATCAGCTCAAATCTTACTTGACTTTCTGCCCTTGGCTTCCAGAACACCATTTTCTCCTCTCCCACTGCCCCTCATTCTGCTTTGCTGGCTCCATCCTCCTCCTGACCTCTGCACCCAGGTGCACCCCAGGACTCATGGCTGGGGCCTCATGTCTTCTTAATCTTCTAATCTGTCCAATATGGTAGCCACTAGCTATACCGACTGTTTAAATTTAGATTGACTAAGATTAAAATTTCACTTTATCACTCCCACTTGTTACAAGGCAAGTGTGACTGCCATGTTGGGTGGCACAGTATATTTCCCATCACTACAGTTTGATTGGCCAGCACTACCTCAAATGGGTCTCTCCAGTCCCTCAGTGTTCAATGTCATGCCAACCACCTACTCTTCATCTCCATGTGAGTTTCCCAAGACCTAACACGGCGAGACCAGCTCCCAACCCCTACGCCAAACACAACGCTCTCTCTCCATTCTTCCATTCTCCATTCTTCAATAACTTGGAGTCACTTTTGATGCATGTGTGTCTGCGAGTCCTACAATCTTGACCTTCCAGACGAATTCTCCCTACTTTCCATGGTCCAGACACCAGCAGCCCATGGCTTCTAAGCAGGCTCCTGGCTTTGGCCTTCACGCCCACAGCCTGTCCTTGACTCAGCAGCCAGATGGATTCTGTCATCCCTTAAGGTAGAGGATATAAGTCCTCTGCTCCTGACCCTTTTGGGGTATCCCGTCCCAGGCAGAATGAAATCCGAATTCCCTACCCTGGCTGAAAAGAACTTCAGAGAACAAAACGGGGAGCAAGCTGATGGAAAGAGGAAGCTTTGTAAAGGAAAATGCCCCCAGCCCATAGGGCCAGGAGCCTGGGTTCAAATCCTGCCTCTGGCAAGAGGGCTGTGGTTTAGGGGAAGCAGAAGAGTGGCCCCTTCACTAAGCAGCAGGGCATAGTGAAATCAGCCTCAGCTTCCTCGCCGGTGAAATGGGGGCGACTCAAGATTTTTCTTAAGAATGAAAGAAATGTTTGGAGAGAAACACTATGCAGATAGGTTAGCAATGACAGTTCTTCAGGGTCTGTCTTTCCAGCACCCCTGCCCTCAGTATACCCTTGACCCCTTCCCAGTCTCCAGGTCAGTTCGTCCAATGAGCCTGAATGCTGGTGTAGGAACTTTGACCCTGTGTTCTGACCAGATAAATTCAGTGCCTGGCACCTGAGCCAATCAACCTCAATAAACCACATGCAAATGATCACAGACAAGCTGCTCCCCCTCCAGGCTGCGCCTCTTCCCAAGTAGGTGATCTCCCAGCTCCTTCCCTTTGGGTGCCTTCAATACTTTTTTTTTTAAAAAGATTTATTTATTTATTTATTTATTTATTTATTTATTTATTTATTTATTTATTTATTTATTTATACAAGCACTGGGTACTGTCAGAAGCACGGGAGGGTGAGAGAATTCACCAGAGCCAGAGCAGGGAGCAGAACAGGCAGAATGAGGGGAGCAGCTGGCGGCAGGAGAGGTCTGCGTACCATGTGGAACCCTCCTGGGCGGCCAGGGATCAAAGTGGTGCTGCAGAGGCTGCAGGCAACTTCGCAACCCAGCGCTCAACCTCTGTGCCACCAGGGAAGCCCTTAATTTTTTTTTTTTAAAGATTTATTTATTCTATTTATACAAGCACTAGGTACAGTCAGAAGTGCGGGAGGGTGAGAGAATTCACCAGAGCCAGAGCGGGGAACAGAACAGACAGACTGATGAAATACACTGCTGAGGGGCGCAGCGGGCGCGGCAGGAGAGGTCTGTGCGTCATGTGGGACCCTCCCGGGTGGCCGGGGATCAAACTGGCGCTGCAGAGGCTGCAGGCAGCTTCATGGCCCAGTGTTCAACCACTGCGCCACCGGGGGAGGCCCTTCAATACTTATTTATTTGCTATTTTTAGGACAGGCCCAGGAAGCCCATTTAGGGAAGGTGGGAGTGACAAGACCTTGCTTTGCTTTGCCTTCCCCATCGCTCTTGTCTCTACAAATTCTGCTCCTGTGACCGTGGAAACCCACTAAGTTCATTAACCCCGTATTACTGTCCCTGCCCCCCAATGCTCCTCCTCCAAATACCAGCAATGCACAACCCCTCACTTTACCTAAGTCTTGGTTCAAATGTCATTTCTAGAGCTGTGCTAGCCAAACTGGCAGCCACTAGCTGCAGGGGGCCCATGAAATTTAAACTACAGTCAAATACGGACACACTCAGAAATGCCGTGGGTTTGGATCAGCAATAGTGAACAGCGCCACAGAGCAAGTCATCACGTGTGCGGGTGCCCAAACATACGACACGTGACAGCATGTTTACACTGACCTGACCTCGTCAGTGTGCAATAGCAATATCTCTAAGAAAACAATATAAATACCTGAATTCAGACATACTTTATAGCTAAAAAATGCTAAGCCTCCTCTGAGCTTCTGGAAAACAGGACCAACTTGCCACAAACCTGCAACTCATAAAAAGCACCAGAAAGCAGCAATAAAGCGAGACATGCCTGGGGCCTCCCTGGTGGCGCAAGGAGTTAAGATGCAGCACTATGAAGCTATCCGCGGCCACTGCAGCACAAGTTCGATCTCTGACCCGGGAGCTACCCACATGGCACAGACCTCTCCTGTGTCGCCCACTGCTCCCCTCAGCAGTGTATTTCAGTCAATCTGCCTCTTCTGCCCCCCACCCTGTCTCTGGCGAATCCTCTCATCTCCCCACACCTTTGACTTGCACCCCTGCTCTTGTATGCATAAATAAATAAATCTTTAAAAAAAAAAGTACCTTTCCCCAACCCTCCAGAATTTTATCATTCTGATAAGTGAATCATAAAATGAAATGAAATCATTAGTTGACTAGCACCCATTTTCCCATCGGGAACTATCTCATCATTGACGGTTTGTCCTGTAGCGGGCAGCAGATGTAAAGATTCCAGTCTTGCTTCCCCTTCATGGTCTCTTAACTATACTGAGACACAGAACACTGATCTGCCTGATCACTGGCTGTGCGAGTGGGGAACTTTGCTTTGGCTTAACTATGGTCATTGGGTCGCCATGAAGCCTGGTCTTTAGAGGGAGCACAGGGGCCTCTCTGGTGGCGTAGGGGTTAAAGACAGTGCTATCAAGCTATCACCAGCCACTGCAGTATGAGTTTGATTCCCCTGCCGGCCCAGGGAGCTGACCCACATGGCGCAGCAGACCTCACCTGTCTCATCCACTGCTTCCCTCAGCAGTGTATTTCTGTAGCTCCGCCTGTTCCGCTCCCCACTCTGTCTCTGGTGAATCCTCTACCCAACCCCCCTCCCCTGCACCTGTGACATACAACCCAGCTCTTGTATGCATAAATAAATCTTTAAAAAAAAAAAAAAAAAAAAAAGGAGCACAGGACACATTTGTGGATGAATGAACCAGGCCCTGGAGCTCTATAGACTGACGGGGTACCTGGATCAAAGTCCTGTACACACCCAAGGGGGTCTGGCAAGCCCTGTTTCTAGAGAGGAACAGAAAGAAGGGGAGTGTGACTGAGTCACCATGGAGAACCACTGGCTGCCTAGAGGTTGCTTACTAGGGGGTGGCCCATACCGAGCCACAGCACCTCCGGCAGGGAGAAGGGTTTCTGGGCCACCATGGGAGGGGGGCCCAGTCTAGTCAAGCCTGGTTTGCTCAGTGCAAAGTGAGAGGGTTCTGGCCAGTCCAAGAACCCAGGTGTCTGGTGTATCCCGGAGAACAGCCACACAGAAGAGTCTAGCAATAGGGAGAGGCAGGGCTTTCTAGATCACCAGAGGAAATGGGCTCAGACCTCGTTGGCCTGCCTAAGCCCCACTGGAATGGAAGACCCTTTGTTAGCATTTAGGTTCCCCAAAAGGTCAGCATCTCAGGGTCCAGACTATGTCTTGGGATACCCTCCCCACCTTACCATGCAGTATGAAGAAGGTCTTTGGGTTAAACCTGTTGGGGTCCAATCCATCCAGCTCCTCCCACACCTCCTTCAACTGGGCCTGGCTGCCCTGTGGAGGGGAGAGCCAGGGGCTCATAAGCAAGAAGTCTGGGTACCCCCACCCCTCAAATATCCTTCCCTTCAAGCAAGAAAACTAAGAAAACTACAACTCCCAGCAGCCCCCAAGATAGTTGCCAGCCTATGAAAAGGGACTTTGTGCCTCGGGGTCTGCTGGGAGTTGTAGTTCTCCAGTCACTTGTCTTGTGGTGCCTAGAGCATTGGACGTAGTAGGGGTGGGCATGAATGGAGATCCTTACAGGCACGTTGACTTTGGGGTGCTCTCGGTGCCGGCGCTGTTGCTCTTCCAGTTTCTTCTCTGCCTCCTTTCGCTGCTCCTCTCCCAGGGATTCCAGATAACGGCGTCTCTCATGTTCCTTGAGCATCTCATATCGTTTAAACTCTTCATGATGGGCTGCGTCGTACTGGGCAAGGTCCCGAGTGGCCTGGGGACACGCAGACATCATTCCTGACTGCTGGTATGCCCAGTCCCTAATTCCAACCTCCAAATGCCAGAACCTCAGCCCCCAACCTCCACCCAGCCCTACATCTCCCTTATGAGTCTCTATCACCCACCCATGATACAGTCTCCTCCCTGTTTGTTCAAGACAGATTAGAGCCTAATAGTGGCTTTCCCAAGTCCTCCCCATCTTTTTTTTTTTTTTTAAAGATTTATTTATTTATGCATACAAGAACTAGGGTACAGGACAGAGGTGTAAGAGGATTCACCAGAGACAGAGTGGGGAACAAAATAGGCAGTTTGACTGAAATACACTGCTGAGGGGAGCAGCGGGCGAGACAGGAGAGGTCTGCTGCGCCATGTGGGTAGCTCCCCGGCTGGCCGGGGATCGAACTCGTGCTGCAGAGGCTGTGGACAGCTTCATAGTGCTGTGCTTAACCCCTTGTGCCACCAGGGAGGCCCCTCCCCACCTTGAGATCTTGCAGGAACAAGTAACATGGAGCAACACACAAGATGGACTGAATATGGAAAGCAAAACAGTGAGTTGGTTAAGAATATGAGGGCTCTCATGATTCTGCCAAGGGCTCAAATCCAGGCTCTGCTGTGTGAACAAATCCCCTGAGCTGTGTGATCTTGGGCAAGTTATTTGGCCTCTCTGTGCCTAAGTTTCTGCCTTTTGAAAATGGAGATAACAATATTATACTCTGTTGAATCATGTCCCCTCCAAATTCATATCCGGATGTCATTACTTAAGATGAGGTCCTACTGGTAGGGCCTCCCGGCTGGCACACAGATTAAAGTCTCAGCACTATCAAGCTATCGCCAGTCACTGTGGCATAAGTTCAATCCCCAGCCAGGGCCCTGACCCACATGGTGCAGCAGACCTCTCCTGTCTCCCAGCACCTCTGGGCTACCCCCTAGCTGTTGTATGCATAAAATAAATAAATCTTTTTTGAAAAAAAAAGAGGAGGTCCTACTGGATTAGGGAAATAAATCCAATGACGAGTATTCTAATTTTACATTTTCCCCATTAAGTATCTAATGGTTTATTTATAAATAGAAATTATTTCTCAGCCCAAATATTTATGCTTCCTAGTTCAGGTACACAAGGGCATCAACCCAAAAAAATCCTTTCCATTCCAAGATCACTTTGCACTCTGAAAGTGTCCAGCCTTCCTCACCTCCTCAAAATCTTTCATGGACTTATAATATCTGTAGGAATCCACAAGTGCCTTTTCTTTTGGTTCAATCACAGCAAATGGATAGAAAGCTGAAACCCGAGGAATACAGTGAATAACCTTACAATATCCTGATGAACAAACAGCTCGCACAACAAAGAAGTATCCAACCCCAGGTGTCAAGAGCACTGAATTGAAAAATGCTGCTGGCAAGTGTGGAAGGCAGAATCAAGGGCCCAGTGAGGGCAGCCATAAAACATGGTGGGGGATGATGACACCAGGAGAATGGCAGTGAGGCTTCAGAAAAGCAGACAGTTTCTGGCATGTTCTGGAAATAAATACCAAGAATATCATCCCTCAGGGATTGAGTCCAGTGCCTGGCAATAGACACAATGAAATGACTGCTATTATCTTCATGGCCACTAGGTGGCGCTCCAGTAGGCCAGAAAGGCAGGGTCAAGGCGAGGCTGGGGTGGGTGGGTGGTTTGGGTGTGGCTGTGTGGCTTCAGAAGGGCTAAGAGCAGGGCAGGGACAGGCTTGGGAATCCCCTTCCACTCCCCAACTTGGCACTTATCCTTCCTCATGAGGCAGGGATGTGGATCCCGTTTCCAGATGAGGACTAATCAGTTCCTATAGCCACTGTATCAAATCATCACAATCTTGGTGGCTTCAAACAACACACACTTATTATCTGATGGGCCGGAGGCCAGAGAGCTGAGGTTAGGGTGTCTAAAGAGCTGTGCTGCCTCCAGAGACTCTAAGGGAGAACTTGCACGTGCCATCTCCATTTCTGGAGCCTCCCTCTGTGCTCCTCCTCCACCCTGGAAGGCAGCGGGGACGTCTTGCAAGGGCACCACATTACCAGCTGCTGCTGTAATGAAATCTCCCTCTGCACCCACAAGGGTCCTTGTGATGACATTTAAGGCCACCGGATAATACTGGATCATCCCCTCATGTTAAGATTCTTGACCTAATCACATTCACCAAGTCCCTTTTTCCACATGAGGTCACACAGCCACAGTCCTGCAGATCAGGGTGTGACATGGTTTCTGGGGAGGAACATTGTGCTGCCCCCCACCAAGGCACAGAGGGCCAGCCCCCAGGTCAGGTCGTATGGGAAGAGCAAAGTCAGGAGGGATCTGAAAGCCTCCTGAGTAGAGCTAAGTTGGTTGTGGCTGCACCCCATTTTCCTATAAAGAATCTGGGGGAAGCTTTCAGACACAGCCTGACCCAGCTGGCAATCTCAGAGGAGGCTGGCAACCTCATGTCCTGGGCTCTGTTCCTTTCTCCCCATCCTCAAGGTTTCCCTCAGTTCTCTCCCTATAGTCCCCAGCCCCTCACTCTACCGTCTGGATCAGCAGCTCCAGGTCCCGGGCCTCAAATGTGTGCTGATTCTGAGGGTCCAGGTGTTGAAACTGCTTCAGGAGGCTCAAGTGATCCAACTGTACGTCTGGATGAGGAAGAAGAGAAAATAAAACAACAAACAATTCCTGGCATGCTCACAGAGAATGGCTTGGCTGAGCTTGGGGGCAATCAGAGAGGACTTCCTGGAGGAAGCCATGCCACAGCTGAGTCTGTTGCTTAAAATAAGAGCTAACATGTATTGAACACTAGCTATCTGCCAGGCCCTGTTCTAAACACATTAAATTTGTTAGTATCTTTACCTTTTACAAAAAGCTTATGACATAGTTTCTCTGATTATTCCATTTCATGAAAGTGAAAGTGGAGGTCCAGAGAAGGGAAGTGACTTGCCTAGGTCACATTGAGGAAGTGGCCCATGAGAACTAGAACTGGTCAGTGGACTCCAAAGCACATGCCCTCAATTCCTGCTTCAAGTTAAATCATGTGCCCTAAAATATATGTACTGAAATCCTCACCCCCAGGACCTCAGGATGAGACTTGTCTGGAGAGAGGGTTTTCATAGAGATGATCAATTTAAAATGATGTCATCAGGTTGGGCCCTAATCCTCTATGCCCTCTGTCCTTGAAAAAAGGGGAAATTTCGGGGTTTCCCTGGTGGCGCACTATGAAGATATCTGCAGCCACTGCAGCATGAGTTCGATCTCCAGCCAGGGACGTGATCCACATAGCACAGCAGACATCTCCTGTTTCCTCACTGCTCCCCTCAGCAGTGGATTTCAGTTTTTTTGAAACTGAAATCTGCCTGTTTTTTTCCCACTCTGTCTCTGGTGAATCCTCTCACTCCTGCATCTCTGGCCTGCACCCCAGCTCTTGTATGCATAAATAAATAAATCTTTAAAAAAAAAAAAAAGGGGGAGCTTTGGACACAAAGAAGAGATGATGTGAAAAGACAAAGGTAGAAGGTGGCCTTGCGCATGCCAAGAGTAAGACCTAGAACAGATTCCCATGGAAGCTCTCAGAAGGAACCAACCCTATGACCTTGATCTTGGACTCCTGGACTTCAGAACTGTAAGACAATAAATATCTGTAGTTGAAGCTGCCTAAGTCTGGGGGACTTTGTCACAGAACAAAGTAACACAACCTCTTCATGCTGGAGTTTCCAAGCAGGCAGGCAGGAAGAGAGCATACATGTGTATATATATACACACATGCACATACACACACACACACGCCAACACCCATTCATTCACTTAACATCGGTCTCCTGAGGCCTCTCAGATGTGACCAAGACCTAGCCGGCCCTCGGGTGGATGTGAGGGACACACACAGGACCCTGGCTCTGGCTAGGGCGCCCAGAGGAGGGACAGATGCTCAGAAGACAGGTCTACAATGACGCTCACAATCTATCATGGGTGCCACAGGTGTGTGTGGAGCCCCGAGCCTGTGGACACAGCAAGGACCAGAGAGCATGTGCCACCTCACACCCCCTCTGTCACCCCCACAGCACCAGAGAGGAGGTGGAGAACAGACAACCAAGGGGCGAACATGCAATCACCCAGAACTCAGACCAGGCCGGACTCTGAGGAGATGACGTGAGCTGAGACCGAAGCTTAATGGGTCATACTAAGAGGCTGGAGAGAGAAGATCCTGGCAGAGGGAAGTGCCTGGGCAAAGGTCCTGAGGTGAGAATGATGTGTCTCTCTCCAGCGCTTACTAAGAACGCTCACGCAACACAAAAACACTCATTAGATGACACCTGCGCACCGCCACGTCCACCTCAGCACTGTCTACACTGCCAAGCGCAGGAAACAGCCTACGTGTCCGTCCACAAAGAGTAGGCGGAGACCAGGTGTATAGGCAGTGGAATGCTATTCAGCCGTGAAGAGGGGAAACCCTGCTGTATGCAAAAACAGGGTGGACCTGGAGGAGAGAGGCTTCATGATCTAAGTCAGACAGGAAATTGCATGATTGTACCCCCACATGGGAGAGAAACAATGCAAATGAACGGAGAAAACTAACTCGAAGATTCTGAGAAGCAAACTGGTAACCAGAAGGGGTTGGGGAAGAGAGGTAGATAAGTTAAGTTAAAGGGGTGATGGAATTTGGTGGTGAACGTAATACAGAAAGATGTCGATTTTGAAGCCTGTATACCCGGAGCCCACATCATGTGGTAAACTCATGTTACTGCAATTTAAAACAAAGAGAAATCATGCAGGCACCAGGCGATGCGGGCCCGGATACACATTCCAGCAAACCCTATCTAGGAAACTGAGAACCATGAATCTGAACTTGCCCCAAGCTCTCCCTTCCAGGAATTCTTTCTGCTTTTCTAAGCAAATTGTTCCAGCACAAAATACCACCCAGGATCTCCCTGGTGGCACAAGGGGTTAAGCACAGCACTGTCAAGCTATCCACAGCTACTATAGCACGAGTTCGATCCCTGGCCAGGGAGCTACCCACATGGGGCAGCAGACTCTCCTGTCTCCCCGCTGCTCCCCTCAGCAGTGTATTTCAGTAGATCTGCCTGTTCTGCTCCCGACTGTCTCTGGTGAATCTTCTGACCCTCACACCTCTGACCTGTACCCCAGTTCTTGTATGCATAAATACATCTTTAAAAACAAAACAAAACAAACCAAGAAACGAAACTACCGCCCCAGATGTAAGTGCCGGGGAATGGAAGCATTTCAGCAGAAGGGAAAGGGAGGAAGCAGGGGAAACCACAGCGCACCCCGCCACACTCGCTGGCTTTGATCGCTGCACTGTGGTTCCATGGTTCCGTGGGTGAATGTCACTGTTCTGAGAAAAATCACCCTGAAAGCTGTAGGTGTGAGGGGGCACAGTGTCTGCCAGGAGCTCTCAAGCGTGTGTGGTGAGCAAGTGTTACCAGCTGGAGAGTCTGGGTTCAGGGTGTGGGGAGTTTGCAACTTTTCTGACAATGTGAAGTTACAGCCACACGTTAAATGACTGTGATTTTTGCCAATAAAAATTATAAACTGAAACTGAAAAAACAAAACAAAAACAAAAACCAACCAAGCCACAACAGAACCACGCTTTGAGGAGACCGTATGAAGAAGAAAACCCGATGGGTTTTCCAGGTACTTTCCAGAGGAGCAGCAGAGGCTCTGGGAAGGAGATGCCCCCCACCCCCCACCCCGCCCTGCCCCGCCCCTCTGCTTACTGGGGTCCTGCTCAGCGTCCATCTTGGCCTTGAGCAGCATCCGCAGCCGGGACACCTCCTGTCGCTTGAGCTCATCCAGCTTGGTGCGGACATGGTGGCTGACAAAGTCCAGCTCCCGGCTCAGCTTCCCGCTCTGCCCAGGAAGAAGGGACACTAGTCAGGCTGGGGGCCTGGGAGGCCGCCGTATCCCTTCCCTGACCTCTCTGGAGCCTTCATGAAGCTTTCTGATGCCCCGAGGTTTCCCACAAGGTTCTGCCCACCTCTGCAGCCCCCTATCTGGTCACTCAGAAAGCACACTCTGAGCTGTAGCAGTGGTCACTGGGAACAGGCCCCGCTGTCCCTCACAACTCTAGGTAGACAGCATCACCCTTGGGAAGAATCTCTTGGGAAGAATCTCTACAACTTTCTTGGCCCCAACAGACAGACAGACACACACACACACACACACACACACACACACACACACACACACACGCTCCGTCTCTGAGCTGCCTCGATGACAGCTTTAGATTGTATCTGTTACTCAACCAGAGCTGACCTGTCCTTCCCATGCTGCTCCAGTGCCCTCCCCCCACCAAAGCTCCCTGATAACCCAGGACAGATGCCCCTGGGCCTGGCACTCAAGGCCCTGCACCCACCCTCCCCTCCAGCTCTATCACCCTGACTCTGTCAGTTACAAGGAGGTGCCAGCAGACAGCTGAAGGTACCAGAGGCTTCGTCTGCATACATTTCCCGCTGTCTCAAAGATCACTCACACCCCCTCTGACCTCTGTACACTCAGAGCCAAACCCCACTAGGGTGTCCTTTCCCTAGAAGTCCCCTCACTTCTCAGAATGGATCAGGCCCCTGTTTGGGGCTCCCTATGCCCAGTGCTGTCTCTTGTTGCTTGGATGGATCTGTGGGTTTGTTGGGAGCTGCTGCCCTGCAGGGATCTGGAGTTTTGGAGAGCACCTGTTTACTCTGCATACGGAGTTCCAGAATCCTAGAAGTTCTGCAAACAGAACTTCTTCCTAGAATTGACTCCTGTTCTCTGAGGACGTACTGGCTTCTGCGCATGTTCCCTACTAACCAGGAAAACTTGTTTTCAGTAGTAACTTATTCATCTGTATAAGCAAAAACACAATTGCGTGCTAATTTCTTATCCTTTGTTCATATCTTCGATAAACGCATGGGCCGGGAGAGTGAGAGGCAGAGCTGCTCTAGATGGCTCCCCTCGGCCTCCCCCCAGTGCAAATTCATTTAGACCTGAGTCTTCGTTAATGGTAGAAAACTACCTCGGCTGTCTATCTGCAGCATGGGTTTTTGGGGGATCCTGAAGGGGGGAGCATGGTCTTTGCAGAGGCAGCAGGGTGAGGTGACCACAGCGACTATCATGTAACCTCAGTGAGGCAGGCACCTTGGACGGGGCAGATGCTGCCCTGGATTCTGAGTGAGACTAGTCCTGCCCACAAGCCCGTCCTACAAATGACGATGAACAGAAGGGGTGGCCAGACTCCAGCAAGTGACCATGTTAGTGCTGTGTCAGCCCTGAGGGGGAGTGCTAGGGCCTCGGTTCCCACCCCAGCCCTGACACTGCTTCTCTGACTTTCCATCCCTTTCCTGAGAAGGAAACTGAGGCAGGGCGGGGTAGCACAGGAGCACAGGGGCGTGGGGTTGGAAAGGGCACCGAGCTGCTCCAGAACCTGCTGCCTAAGTGGCCGCTCTGCTTTTTTGGTCACCTCCTAGGTGTGTGGCCTTGGGCAAGCCCGGGCCTCTTAGGCCTCAGTTTCCCAGCTGGGCACTGGGAGCAGCTGGACTCAGTGGTCTCTGTTTCTGGCCATCCATCATTGGGGGCGGGGCAGATGGGGGCAAATGAGAGCCCCAGAAACACCAGGAGGTTTGTGGGGGAGTAGGGATGCCCTCCCTAGGCCCTGGGGTCTCTCCTGGGCTGATGGGTTTGGAGGACTCGGGGTGGGTCTTCCAGGGGAGACATTCTGATATGCCAATGCACAGGGAGGTCTGCATGTTGCAGGGTGGGGAGGAGGGATGTGTCTCCTCCTGGGGAACCACCAGCATCCTTCTTGAGGGGATGCTGCACAGGAAACAGGGGTGAGGTGTGGGCTCCGGTCTTCGGCAGTCTGGGGGTGAGACCCAGCCCCAAGGAAGGTCAAACTTCACTCTCAGATTACCTCTATAAAATGGGGGTGATCATAGCAACTCTGTGAAGCTGCCCGCAGCCTCTGCAGCGCCGGTTCGATCCCCGGCCACTGAGGGAGAGTCCCACATGGCGTGCAGACCTCTCCTGTCTTGCCTACTGCTCCCCTCAGCGGTGTACTTCGGTCCTTCTGCCTGCTCTGCTCCCTGCTCTGGATCTGGTGAATTCTCTTACCCTCCCCTGCTTCTGACTGTACCCAGTGCTCGTATAAATAAATAAATAAATCTTTAAAAAAAAAAAAAAAAAAAGTTACAGGAGTTTCTTCCTAACCTAAACCCCACGAAGCAGGTTTCATTATGACCCTCAATTTACAGATGGGGAAACAGATGAGGCACAGTGAGTGGAGGTGATTGGTAGAGCCAAGACCGAAAGCTTGAACCATCTGCCTGGCTGCTTAACCATATTCTGTGTTCCCCAAACTACCCGCCCACAGCTAGGTCACCCCAAAAATCAGCTTCCCCTTGAGGCTCAGTTTGGTAAGGGCTGCAGCCACATGGCCCCATTAGGGAACCAGGGCCTCTCCTGGACCCCACCACCACGTCGGCACCCAGTGGGACGCACCTTGATATCCTCGGCGTTGGCCGCCTGTAGCTTCTCCCGGAAGTGGCCGTCGGTCTCCAGCACATTGATGACTTCCTGCAGGTAGCGGTGGTAGTACAGACCCGTGTCCTGTGGTATCAAGGACAAGCAAAGTAGCATCATGGGCCTGCTCCTCTACATACCTGCTAAGGGACCCGAGACCCCAGGCCTGGTGGAGAGGCCCCTGGCCCAGCAGACAAAGGCCCTGGGAGCCAGGGATCTGGGGGCCACCTGTCCCCTCTTCCAGGTGGAGGTGAGATTGCAACGGAGCCTAAGTAGTTCATTGCTTTCAGACCTCACGCACGCAAAAGAAAAAGATCCTTTCTCTTTGAGGCTTGTGTTTATAGAGCTTGGACCTCACTGAACACAGTCTGAGCAGGTGAAGCAACAACCCTGAGCTGAGTTTCAGGGCTGGCTGGAGACTGGGAAGCAGGGAGGGTGGGGGGAGGGAGAGAGCTAAGAGGTTCATAAACTGCAATTCAAAACTCCAGGCTTCTGGGGCATCCCTGGTGGTACAAGGGGCTGTCGCAGCACTATGAAGCTATTGGCAGCCTCTGCAACACGAGTTCGATCCCCGGCCAGGGAGCGGATCCATATGGCACAGCAGACCTCTCCTGTCTCACCCGCTGCTCCCCTCAGCAGTGTATTTCAGTCAATTCACCTGTTCTGTTCCCCGCTCTGTCTCTGATGAATCCTCTCAACCCCGCACCTCTGGCCTGTATTCTAGTTCTTGTAAGCATAAACAAATAAATCTTTAAAAATAAATAAATAAATAAATCTTTAAAACAAAACAAAACTCTATGTTTCTGAAGAAAAGCCTCTTCCTACTTCAGGTACATGCTGCCCTGTGACTCATCAAAGATGAGCCAAGTCCACGTTTCTTTGCCCCTAACTGGCTTTTCAGTCAATGAAAATATAGGGTTGTTCTCAACCCTAGTCCCCCTAATCTATTATAAACCTCGTTTCCCCCCCCCCTTTTTTTTTAAGATTTATTTATTTATATAAGCACTGGGGTACAGGCCAGAGGCACAGGAGCATGAGAGAATTCACCAGAGACAAAGTAGGGAGCAGAACAGGCAGAAGGACCGAAGTACACTGCTGAGGGGAGCAGCAGGCAAGACAGGAAAGGTCTGCCTCGCCATGTGGGAATCTCCCTGGCCAGCCGGGATTCGAACCCGTGCTGCAGAGGCTGTGGACAGCTTCACCGAGTTGCGCTCAACCCGTTGGGGGAGGCCCTCCTTCCCTTTCTTAATTGGGGAGGTAGATATGAATTTCTCTTCCGCCTCCTTGCCAACTGATTCACAAGTAAAGCTGACTTTTCTTCTTAAATACCTGATATCGTTATCTAACAAGGACATCAAGTAGAGACCTGGACAGAGAAGAAAAGGGACTAAAAAAAGCACCCTGTGCCTGCGAAGATGTCCCCCAGCAAAGGCCTAACTCTCTGGATGGGGACCAGCCACCCGTGCAGGGGAACTTGGGTTCCAGAGAGACCTGTAGGTTCCTGGGCAGAGCTGTAGGAGATGCAGGTCACAGATCAGGGCATTGGCCTGAGGGTCTTTACAAGTTCCAGCTTCCCTATGACCAAAGGTCTCATAGCCTATCATAAACACCTGTTGGGTGAATGAACAAACCAGCAGTTTACAGGCCCTTTCACAGTTCAAACTACAACTCCCATGAGCCTCCACGAAGTGCGAACGCTGCTGCCGCTGACACCACCTGGGCAAGGTGCCCCTGGGACATGTAGGTCTGATTTTCACGGGCCTTCGTGAGGGGAGAGGGTCACACAAGAACCAAGACGATGGGGTGCAGGGGGAGGCCGGGGGAATGCAGATTTTTCGCATAACTGGGACACGATTTCCGACACCTCATCAGGAACTCAGAAATCGATCCCTACCCGGCCCAGCCTCCTCCGCCACCCAGTTCTTCACCACGTCAAAGCCGCGGGGACGGCAAAGAATGGCAGCAAACTCCAGGCCGCCTTCGTCGGGGGCGTATCCGCCGGGGCCACGCTGTCCGCGGGAGCCGCAGTGCCGCTGCAAACACTTGCTGAGGGCAGGGGGGCCACTCACCGGGCTTTCGGTGGCGGGGCTCTCCTTGGCCGCGCCTCGCTCCAGGGGCACCGCCAGGACAGCGCGCAGCAGCAGCAGCAGCAGCAGCGGAGGCAGGAGCAGGAGGGCCGCGCGGGGCCCGGGGGGCGGCATGGCGGCGCGCGCTCTGCGGGGGGCGGAGGTGGGCAGGGTCTGTCCCAAGCGCTTCTCCCCTGGACCCGAGGGGTACAGGGCCCAGGGGGCCGAGGGCCCAGGGGGTCGAGGGCCCAGGGGGTCGCGGGTCCAGGGGGTCGAGGGTCCAGAGGGTCGCGGGTCCAGGGGGTCGAGGGGCCCTAGCGCCGCCCCCCACTCTTCCAAGAGTGAAGACTCAGAGCCTCTCGTTTCCGGGGACCCAGGATTCCGGGCGCCCGGCTCGTCCTGGCTCCCGGGACCTTCCTCGCTCGGGCTCGGGAGGAACCTGGATCTCCGGCGCCTTCGCCAGACCCCAAGGGCCCGGCCCCCGCCTCCTCTTTTCCCAGCGCCTAAAAGTACTGCCGCCCAGCCCGTCCTCCTCAGGGACCCAGTTTCTCAGCCCCCCGATGTCGCTGCTCCCCAGGACCCCGGGTCTAGCGGCGCCCCCGAGCCTCACCTTCCGCCCACCGCAGAGGGCGCGCTCCGGGATGGCACCTCCGGTGCGTTCCCGGCGATTTCCCCCCCAGGCCACGCCCACTTAGGGCCCCGCCCCCGAGGCCTGATTGGCCCGCCCTTCTGCTTCAGCCTAGTGGCCCCGCCCCTAATCGAAGCCGCTCGCTTTTTCTAGAAAGACTCGCCTCCTTTCCTGGAAGGCCATTTCCGGTTTTGTTGTTGTTTTAGGGGAACGCAGAACGGGGTGTTTCAAAGAGAACTACAACTCCCCGGCGGCCAGAGGCAAATCAGTCAACTTCCTCAGGCTTCTTGGCCGCTTTGTCTCATGGGAATTGTAGTTTTTCCATTTATTTTCGCACTAAGACGTGTTGGCTAGTTACAGATGGGTGGTAGCAATTGGCAGAGTGCACCTGCCACAAAAATTTCTAATATAAGAGAGAGGTGTAGACCCAAAGCAGTGATATTGAAGGCAAAGATAAACAGATGTGATTACATTAAATTAGAGCTTCTGCATAGCAAAAGAGATAATAACCAAAACAAAGAGAAGCCCCACAGAATGGGAGAAAATTTTTGCACACAACATTAATGATAAAGGACTGATCGACTGATCGCAAAAATCTACAAAGAGCTGATGAGACTCAACAAAAACAAAGAAAATAATTCAGTCAAAAAATGGGCAGAAGAGGGCCTCCCCGGTGGCGCAGCGGTTGAGCGCTGGGTTGCGAAGCTGCCCGCGGCCTCTGCGGCGCCGGTTTGATCCCCGGCTGCTCCTCGGCCACTGGAGGAGGGTCCCACATGGCCCGCAGACCTCTCCTGCCGCCCGCTGCTCCCCTCAGCAGTGTACTTCGGTCCCTCTGCCTGCTCTGCTCCCCGCTCTGGCTCTGGTGAATTCTCTCACCCTCCCGCACTTCTGACTGTACCCAGTGCATGTATAAACCAACCAACCAAACAAACAAATAAATAAATAAATAAAAACATGCCTCTATAAAAAAAAAAAGCAGAAGAGCTAAAAAAAAAAAAAAAACCTCCTGAAGAGGAAATGCAAATGGCCAACAGGCATATGAAAAAAGGTTCAGCATCACTTGTAATCAGGGAAATGCAAATCAAAACTACCATGAGATACCATCTTACACCAGTGAGAATGGCACATATTAAAAAAACTAGCAACAGCAAATGTTGGTGAGGTTGTGGAGAAAAAAGAACTCTCCTGCACTGCTGGTGGGAGTGTAAACTGGTCCAACCACTATGGAGAGCTGTGTGGAGATTTCTTGACCTACTGAAGATAGAGCTTCCATATGATCTAGCAATTCCACTCCTAGGTATTTATCCAAATGACACAGAAACATTAATTCCAAAGGGCACCTCCACCCCTATGTTTATAGCAGCACTATTTACAAATGCTAAGTTATGGAAATAGCCCAAATAACCAAAAATAGATGACCGGATCAAAAAGATGGGGAACATATACACAATGGAATATTACTCAGCAATCAAAAAAAAAAAAAAAAAACAAACTCATGCAGTTTGCAGCAACATGGATGGAGCCAGAAGGGATCATGCTCAGTGAAATAAGTCAGAAAGAAAAAGAAAAAATGCCGGATGGTCTCACTCATAGCAGGAATCTAGAAAACCTAAATAAGGGGCCAGGAAAAAGACTAATTAATACAAAGTAAAAATCAAAATCAACAAGCAACTATAAACCAGAGACACACTATGGGAGGGGGGGCAGGGAGAAGAACTAGGGTCAAAATAAGGGGGGGGGGTTGTAATTGTATGGGGAATATAACCAAAATGAAAATGTATACATTGTGCAAAAATGAAAAATGATGTAAGAATTATATAAAATAAAATAAAATAAAAAAGAGGTGTAGAGTGAGATTGCGATGTGACCTCTCCTGGGTCCCTTTAAGGAACACCGGTACGGCCTTCCAATTCAGAACCCCCTGAGCAGGGTTGCCTGGCTTCTGGGGAGGCCAGGGGTCATTGCATTGTTGGGAGTGGAATGCGAGGGGGACCAGGAGGGAGAGATTTCGGGCAGGTGTCTTTGGGAATCCCCTCCCTCTGAGCCCTTTTTCTTCCCCTGCCTACTTCCCAGACACCCAGAGATTAGGTCCCCAGCTCTCAAAAAAGAGGGTCAGCTATGTTTAGAAATTGGCCAGAGAGGCAAGGCACTGAGGTGTGAATGTGAAAGCCCAGGTACAAGAGGAGGTTAAGCAATCTCCAGGATCCCCGGCAGGTGGGTGCTGGGGGCCTGGGGTCACTAGGGGTTGAGTGTTTGGGGCCCAGAATCCTGAGTTCCCAAATTCCTGAGTTCCCACGTAGGAAAGAGTTGGAGGAGAAAGATGGAACTCCTGGGACCCTCACAGTGATGAAAACTGGAAATAGGCTCCTGGTCCCTGACAGGAGTAGGTGCTGGCATTCATGATGACGGGGTCCGGGAGAAAATCTAAATTTAAGATCAGGTACTGGAGGGCAGTGTTTATTGAGATGTTGGGTCTGGGTTCTAACTTGTCTGTCATTCTTGCTTTTCTAGAATGTCTCAGGAGAATGACACGTGGAGGAAAGAGTGAGTGACGGAATGGATTGGCAGGGGAGGTACAAGGACCAGCTCAGAGGTTTGATTATGCCACACCCACTTAGCTCTGGTGTTATCAGCACTGTCGGACTTGCAGAAAGGGGCTGGGGGCCTGGACTGGTCCTCAGGGGGGCGAGCTATCGATGATGATTTATAGTGGATCTTAAAGAGAAGGCCTGGGGCCTAGGACTGCCAGAGTCTTAAGACAGGAAGGGGCTGCCTGGGATCTCTGAATTCAGCCAGTGTTGATCAGAATAGGTGGGGACAGAGTCAGAATAGGTGGGGCAGGCTCAGGTTCTGCCCCCTTTGTGACTTCACAAGCGCTGAAGACCCTTAAGTAGGGCGGGGGAAGGAAGGCTTGGGAAGGTGCTGTGCCCTGCTTGCCGTGACCATGAATGTGTATCTGACTCTCAGGGCCCTGGGCAATGAGCTTGCCACTATGAGGCTGCAGAAGCTGGAACAGCAGGTACTATTACTCGGAGTCCTACCACCCCTACTCTTCCAGTTTGCATAGTTCCTCTGGACCCCCATCCCCAGGACTTGCTCTGAGAATCCAGGCCCACTTTGTCTCTGTAAGAGTCTCAAGTGGGCCAGCTGGAAAGTGAGAAAACAGGAATTCAGGGTCCTAAAGAAGCAAACCTCGTCTAAAGAAAAAGGAATGCGGGGGGGGGGGGGGGGGCAGAATTCCTGGGGGAAAGTTCTCCTGGATATGTGGGAGGGGGAGCTGAGGGCCTGGACGCCTGGAACTCAGGGAAGAAGGGACTCCCCCACCATCAAGCTTCCCCCTGCCCCAGGTCTCCTTTCACCTGGGTCTCTCTTTGTTGTGGTTTCTGGCCCCCCACAACATGCCCTCCCTTCTCCCGATCCCCAAGAGGAGGCTGTTTGAGATGAAGCAGCGACGGAAGCGCCAAGAGCCTCTCATGGTTCAGGCAAATCCTGATGCTACCCTGTGGCCCCGGAGAAACCGGTGGAGGATGGGCCGCTTTGCATCTGACAGTGGTAAGGAAAGGCTCCTAAGATTCCGTAGGAGTATAGGCAGGAGTATAGTCTGGAGAGAGGGAGTCTGTGGGAATGTGGGAGCGAGGCATAATGGGGTCAGGAGGGAGGGACCTAGCAGAGCCTTAAGGTAAGGACTTGGTAGAGCGGAGGATGGGACCCCACCAAACCCTAAAGAATTTGAGAGCAGCGCCTCCCTGGTAGCACAAGGGGTTATCAGCACTATGAAGCTATCTCCAGCCACTGCGGCACGAGTTCAATCCCTGGCCAGGGAGGTCACATGGCGCAGCAGACCTCTCCTGTCTCCTGGGTGCTCCCCTCAGCAGCGGATTTCAGTCGATCTGCCTGTCTTGTGCCCAACTCTGTCTCTGGTGAATCCTGTCATCTTCCCGTACCTCTGGCCTACACCCCAGCTCTTGTAACCATAAATTAAAAAAAAATACATCTTGGGGGAAAAAGCAAGATTTTGAGTGCAGGGCATGTGCAGACCGAAGGGTGGAAGCTGTGAGAGCTCAGGGGCGGGACCTCGAAGAGATGGGAACCAATCATAAAGCGAGGGGCGGGGCCAGGGAGTCCAGGGGCGGGGCCAGGGGAGTCCAGGGGCGGGGCCAGGGGAGTCCAGGGGCGGGGCCAGGGCCAGGGCTCCGGAGAAGCTGATGGCTGCAATTAACAATTCTTGGGAGGTCTGGCCTGGGCAATTTAGGGACCAGGTTCTGCACAGGCTGAGAGCCCGACGCGGGATTGTTTGCTCAAAGAATTTGAGTTCTACGTAGGCCTTGGGGTTTTGGGTGGTCCACCAGGGGCGATGTCTGGGAGTTCTGTAAGGAGGCAAATCTTCTTCAAAGAGGACCAGAAATTTTTACCTCGCGTTACTACACAGCCTTGAACTTTCTCCCAGGCCTCGGGAACCCTTTCCTTCAGGAGAACGTGCCAGAGGCACATCTGCGCTCAGGTGTTCACAGCACTCTGGGTATTGTGAGCTGCGATGGGGATGGTAGTGGTGAGCGCCGTACCTTGGCATCACCGGCAGAAGCAGGTAATCTCTAGTCCTCGGACTGCCTATGCTCTAGAGCTCCATTCCCACCAGGACCCAGGAGTCTGGAACCTCAATCCTTACTCTTCAAAGGATCCAGGAGTCCAGGCATCCGAGGGCCCCGTCATCCCTCACACCAAGGAGTTCTGAACACCCAGAAATCCGAATCTCCAGCCCCTTCCTCCCCAAGTACTCGGCAATCTCCATCTCCAGTCCCTCTTCCTATCCTGGCTACCAGATAGTTGCGATCCGGAGTTGGAGGAAGTCTCCGTGGAGGACATTCCAACCTTTCCCCCTCCTTATAAAGAACTTCGTGGGGCTCGACGCAGGGGTTGGCCGGCTTGCCTCAGACCTGGTAATTTTGGGGATATTGGGAAAAATCTGACCCCCCTTTTTTTGGTAACAAATTTGAGACACATTTCACATCCTGTACAATTCATTCATTTAAAGTTTACAGTGCCATGGTTTGTAGCATATTTAGAGATCAGCCCAATCAATTTAAGAACATTTTCATTACCCCTAAAGAAATCCTCTTACCTTTCTCCCAAACTTAAGCGAGCTACTTTCTTTTTAAATATGCCTATTCTGGATGTTTCATGTAAATAGAATAATACAGTACATGATATTTTGTGATTGGCTTCTTTTGCTTAGCATGAAAGGTACATCATACTTATCATAATTTAATTCCTTTGTATTACTTAATAATATTCCATTACAGTGATGTTTCCTTTTACTCTCATGACATACTCAGTGATTTCAATAACAGGAACCTTGATTATACCCCAAATCCACACTCCCCCCATTTCAGTTTCATTTCAGTCTCTCTGATGCTTTCACTAGGACTAGGGAAAGGGAAGTCTCTACCTCCTCCCTGTCCTTGGATCCAGGGCAAACCCCCAGCCACAGGGTGGGCCGAGGGCTGCTGGCAAGTGGGGAGATGAGTAATGAGCAGAGGCTGGAACCCAGGTGGCCTGAACTCAGCCTTCCAGTTTTTTCTATCCCTTAGGGAGTAACGCAGATGATGAGAGTGAATACGCAGATGTTGGAGATGAGTATGAGGTCCCCATTTTGGAACCAGACTTTGAAGTGGATGGTGACCAGGGACCTGAAGACTTAGCATCTTGCAAGGTGGGAGGTGGCACAACCAATCGGCACATAGGAAGAGGAGGAGGAGGGCTAGCCTCGGTCTCTAGGGGAGGGTGGGGCTAAATTCTTTGGCCCAAACAGAGACCCATTTAACTGGCAGGTAGAACCTGTTTCAATAGCAGAGGCTTGCAGAGGTTCTGTGCACATTTATGAAGTTAATCTTGGAGGATTTTAATTGATGGGGGCATAGACGTTAAAAGTCAGTATTAGAAAGGCAATGAGCTTTTGGAAAGTGATTGAGAAGGGCCAATTAACAATCATTTTGTTAATGAAAACGCATAGTTTCACTTGGGTAGATGTGAGTCAATTATGTTATCTAGACCTATTCAACATTGGGCAGTGTTTTCAAAGGAATTGTCCAGCGGTGGGTGGGCGGGAGTGGCTACAGAAGGAAGCTAATATGCTGGGCAATCTACAGATGCTGAAGGCTGGGCTGGGTGGACCCCTTGAATGTATTGGCTGATCACAAGTGTCCTGTTGGCTATTTGACCAATAGGCAAAAACCATAGGTGGGGGCTCCCTGGTGACGCAAGGGATTAAGACGCAACCTATGAAACTAGCTGCAGCCATTGCAGCACGAGTTCGATCCCCCACTAGGGAGACATCCACATGGCGCAGCAGACCTCTCCTGACTTGCCCGCTGCTCCCCTCAGCAGTGTATTTCAGTCAATCCGCCTGTTCTGCTCCCCACTCTGACTCTCAGACGCCCCTCACACCTCTGGCCTGTACCCCAGTACTTGTATGCATAAATAAATAAATTTAAAAAAAAAAACAAACCATAGGTGGGAGAAGGCGGAACCATGAGCTGCCACACCCAGTCAGTAGTTAGGGCAGCCAGGGGCGGTAAAATGTCCTCAACTTTGAATTTGGCTCACGGGCTAGGATGAAGACCTGGAAGGTAAGAGAGAGGAGTTGGAGTCTACACTGACAGACTTCCTTGGGGAGAATAGCCAAGAGGTGTCCTCCAAAGGCAAATTCGCAGGCAAGGCGGGCGAGAATAAGGGCAAGGGAAGCCCGGAAAGTAGCAACAAGGAGGCGTCGCCCCGCTCGCCCACCCGCTTGCCCACCTGCGCCCCAGGCCCTCGACTGGGCGAGGACATGGAAGCGTACGTGCTCCGGCCGGCGCTGCTGGGTTGCATGGTGCAGTGCCGCATCAGCCGCGACAAGAGCGGCGTAGACAAGGGCATGTTCCCTTCCTACTACCTCTACCTGGAGGCGACCAACGGCCTGAAGGTGCGCACAGCTGACAGTCTCACGAGCAAGCTTTGGGGGTGGGGGTGGGGGGGCATGTCCCGTCCCCTTCTGAGCAAGATCGGCTTCCACGAACCCTGGCCTTACTCTTTATCAAACTAGGACCTGTCGATTCCCATGCCTAGCCCTGCACTCAGAGAATTACTTTCCTTTCCTTACAAAACCCAGTAGCCTAGGCTTTACCCAAACGCTGTCCACTCTTAGAGGGGTGCGGGTGCGTGGGGGTGGGGGGGAGTGGTGATGGAGCTCCCTTCTCATGGTCCAAAACCCCACCCCTTACACACTCTTTCAAGGTAGTGGAAGTGTCTTTTGCAGTCCAAGTCTGGACCCTCCCTGCACCTTTGCTATCAAGAGCCACCCAGTCCTGGGATAAGCCCCTCCCCTCATTGGTTTCCCTGCTGGACCAAGCCACGCCCATCTGTCTGGCCATTCTCCCCTCTGTGTGGCCATCTCACCTAAAGGCACTGTTCTCGCTGCCAGACCCGTTCACCAAAGTCCTGCCACAATATTCCCAGTCGCCAAAGTCTCCCCAACTCTCCAAGATCGGTTCCTGCCAGTCACAGTCTGGCCTCTGCCTGGGCTCAGACCTGACCCTGTTTTCCAATGAGGGGGATGGGGAATTAAGCCCCAACTCAGGGCTCATGGAGGAATTCCCTCAGTGATAACCACCTCTCCCCACACGCCTTGGGAACTATTGCTCTATCACACTCTCCTCTGTCCTGAGGCCCCAGTGTTTCCCGGTCTTTGGGCGCACAGTCCTAGCCAGATACCGGAAATCCATTCTGATGGACTGTCCTCCCATCCACAGCGCTTCCTGCTAGCTGGGCGGAAGAGAAGAAGGAGCACAACCTCGAATTACCTCATCTCCCTGGATCCCACCAACCTGTCTCGGGATGGAACCCACTTTATTGGAAAAGTCAGGTGGGCAGAGCCTCAGAGTGTGTGAGTGGGGCGGGGGAAGAGAGGGGGCTGTGGACTACATTTTCCTGAAGCTCAACTTCCAGGTGCTCGTAAGACTTGTATTCAGAGTAATTGCTGTACTGAGGCTGTAGCCTCAGGCTGGTTGGGACTAGAAGGCTGAAGACTTTGGAGCAGAAGCTGGCATTTGAGGCTGGTATTCTTGAGAGGTGTGGGCTTGGGACTCCTGAGTTGCTGTTGGAGAAGGCTGGGATGTTTGAGTTCCTACGTCCTTGTGGGGAGGACGGTCCTAAAGGGTCAAAGCAGGAGGCTGAGAATCAATCGTGGCAGAGAGGGGACTGGCACTGTGGATACTTGGAACAGGAACGTGAGCCTTATACAGAGGACTGGAGGGGAGAGCTGGTGAGATGACACAGGAAAGCACTTAACAGCCAGCAGAAAAGGTAACAGTTATTTTCATTCTGATCACTCCCCTCCTGGAGCAGATCTAATATCTTGGGCACCAAGTTCACCATCTTTGACAACGGGGTGAATCCTGATAAGAAGAGTTTTGGCCCGGAGACTGCTCGGATCAGGGAAGAGCTGGGGGCTGTGTGTTATGTGAGTGTCCGGGAGACGTGAGAGAACGGAACAGGATGGTGGGAGGGAGAAAATGGCAGGCCAACTGGAACATAACACCCTCTAGGAGACCAACGTCTTGGGATTCCGAGGGCCCCGGAAAATGACTGTGATCATTCCCGGAATCGATGCCCAGAATCGGAGGATCAGCATCCAGCCGCAAAATGTGAGTCCACCAAAGTTGAGACCCTCTGGGTCAACGAGGGAGGGAGGACTGGGGCACAGGCCTCCCAAATCCCAAGAGAGGAAGGGGGCTGACAGAAAACAGGTCACATGTGAAGCCAGGGAGACAGTCAGACTTAAGTGTCTCAGGGAGATGAGAATAAGGGACTCAAAATTCTGAGGCTGGAGAAGAAAATGGGTTGGTGTTAGGGTAACCTATACCACCACCACTACCACCACCCCCGCCCGGGGCCTTCACTTCACCTCGCAGGAACAGGAGTCGCTACTGAATCGCCTCCAAAGCGGGGCCAGCCAGGGGCTGGTCCTGCTGCAAAACAAAGCCCCGATGTGGAACGACGAGAATGGCGCCTACGTGCTCAATTTTCATGGTCGAGTCACTCGGGCCTCGGTCAAGAACTTCCAGATCATGCATCCAGATGACCGTGAGCTCCTAGGAACCTGTTTACCTGGGGAAGGGGGTGTGAGCGGATGAGAATTACTCAGTCCCATACCTCTGAGCATTTTTTTTCTAGGTAGGGCTGATGACACCATGACGTTGCAAAGCCTACTGGGAATTGTAGTTTACAGGGCTCTGGGGGGTGGGGGGTATCGGAGCTTACTAAGGGCACCATTAGGAAGTCTTAATCACAGCAGTGGCAATGAGCCCCAGGCAGGGAAATGAGGAGTTGGGTTAAGACTTACTTTACTGAATTCTTCCTCAGCGAACTCCCTGGTGCTCCAGTTTGGTCGAGTCTCCTCGGATTCGTTCACTATGGATTTCAGCTTTCCGCTTTGTCCACTCCAAGCCTTTGCCATCTGCCTGTCTAGTTTTGATGGGAAGCTGGCATGTGAGTAATCCAATGAAATATACTCTCACCAGCATCTGTGCATCTTATTGGGCCCCAGCACACTCTTTTGCACCATCTTCCTGATAACCAGCTCTTACTAGATGAGGACTGGGGTGCCCAATCCTGTCTCTAGACTGTGAGCTGTTCAGCAGCACCAGCTCCCTTGAGACTCACAACCGATCATGAGATAGAACTTCCACCACCAACATTCAAAACACTACCCTCGGTGAAGGAGAAAAGCACATGGAAGACCAGGTTGACTGGTTAGAGCAAGGCATCTGTAAAAAAGATTTTCATACAATATGTGAAGAATCACATGCTAGCTGAGCCCCAGGGGCCAGGGGGAAGGGCCATCAGGCTGTAGGCACAGCTCCTAGAGGTCTTAAAGTGAATGGGGGGACATGGTTAGTTTGGGAAAGTGAAAGGAGTGTGGCAGGCCTGGGGATCCAAAGGACAGGGACAGGGTATGAGGGGAATGGTTGGATGAGGGTGCAGGATTTGGGAGGCAGTCTTGAACCGCAGCACAGAGGTACTGATTAAAGAGTTATAAGCTGGGGGAGTCCCTAAGGATGGCCTTAAGACAGGCATAGGTGAGAATGAGAATAATTACCATACTATCTAACACTTATGTAGCATTATCTGATGAGCATTGTTTGAAATACTCCTCTCCTTTGGGGCCTTACAATCCCTTCAGGCCCTGTGCAATTATTAGTTACACATTACATGTAAGACTCTCTTGACACTGGGCTTGTGAGGTTAGGTAGCTGCGATCCTTGAGGTCTCATGTGAAGGTGGTAGATGAGTCTTTTTATTCCAGAGAGGCACAGAAAACTGGAGCTTCTTTCTTTTTTTAGGGGTCAGCGAGTCTAGTCTGGCCCCTTTGTAGACAATTGTTCCAAGTATAATGAGATTTAGATGAGGAAGGCAAAGAAAGATTAGGTGGAAGCCAAAGGAAAACAACAAAGCATACCAGCCTTTAGTTTGAAAGAAGCCTTAGGATGATAAGCGGCAAATCTGGAGGACGATGGGAGATGTCGTTTATCTTCCATTTGAGGCACCTGCATTTATGCTTTGGGACCTTCAAGTAGTGGATACTGTTGGTTCAGAAACACGTGACACTGTTCTCTACTAATCAAAAGGCTTTATTCTGTATATAAACCAATAATCAATAATTTAAATAAATAAACAGTTAATAACAGACAAACCACTTGATCTTAGCCACGCCTTCCACTGAGGTTCAGGCAAGGAGAGGCAGACATACAAGGAGGGGAGGCTGAGGCCACAGCTTGGCTCAGGGTCGTGGCCTGGACGGTGGACGTGGGCAAGGTCTGGTTAGGGACAGGTATGTCAGTCAGACAGCTGGGAAGGTTCTGGAGGCGGGCCCAGGCGCTGGCTCGGGCTGCTGGGGTAAAGCAGGGGCCTAATTCCTCCTCGGCCTGGGCAATGCGGCGGGCGAAGCGACTTCGATCCCGGGCGATCTGCTCCCAGGGGCCCCGGCGGGCTGCACGGGCCGGTCCTGCCCAGACAGCCAGGAAGTGGACAGAGACCTTCTCAGAGAAGCGCACCTGGAGGATGGACCGGTACAGACACAGGGAGACACAGGGAAACAGAGCCAAGACACAGAGGTGGGAAGGGGATGAGGAGAGAGAGAACACAGCACAGATGAGTTACAAAAAGATGACGCCTATCTGGCCAGTCACCTAGTGACTCACTGAGGGTGGAGGAGCTTCCCAGGGGCTGACCTGAGTCACGTGGCTTCCTGCTCCCACAGGGCCCTGCTGCTTGCAAAGGATTGCATTACACAGCCCTCCCCACAGAGTCTACCCGCAACCCTCTGCAACACATGGGGGACCAAGTAATGGGGATCCCCTCCTCACTAAGACTCAAGAATCTGAGTCTCAGCACCCACCTTTCTGGCCTTTGGGGGAGTCTCAGGTTCCGGATGCTGGGTGGGGGTTTCTGCAGGCCTGAGCCGCCTTTGTAGCCGGAGGGGCAGCCGAGGAGGAGCTGGGGGAGGCGGGGGCTTCTCGCCAGGTAGGTAGATGGCCACGGGGAAGGCGTCGGGCTCAGGTCCTCCCCACTCCTCAGCAGCTCCCGCGCCCTCCCTGTCTTCTCCATGTCCGTGTGGCCAGCCCCCGCGGAGGACACTCTGGGCCTGCAGGCAGGGACATGGCTCTGAGTCAGCTGCTTCTGAATCTTCATCCTCCTCCTCCTCCTCTGTGTCCTCTCCTGGCCGGTAGACCCAGGCCCTCAAGAAGGCACTTGTGGGGGGCACTGAAGAGAGACCCTCAGTTTCTCCCCAGTCTTCAGCTGCTCCTGAGTCACTGTCCTCCTCCTCCTCCTCCGTGTCCTCTCCTGGCCGGTAGACCCAGGCCCTCAAGAAGGCACTTGTGGGGGGCACTGAAGAGAGACTCTCAGTTTCTCCCCAGTCTTCAGCTGCTCCTGAGTCACTGTCCTCCTCCTCCGTGTCCTCTCCTGGCCGGTAGACCCAGGCCCTCAAGAAGGTACTTGTGGGGGGCACTGAAGAGAGACCCTCAGTTTCTCCCCAGTCTTCAGCTGCTCCTGAGTCACTGTCCTCCTCCTCCTCCGTGTCCTCTCCTGGCCGGTAGACCCAGGCCCTCAAGAAGGCACTTGTGGGGGGCACTGAAGAGAGACTCTCAGTTTCTCCCCAGTCTTCAGCTGCTCCTGAGTCATTGTCCTCCTCCTCCTCTGTGTCCTCTCCTGGCCGGTAGACCCAGGCCTTCACGATGGAACTTGTCAGGGGGACGGGAGTGAGACCCCTGCCTGCCCCAGGAACACTGTCCTCCTCCTCCTCATCGTCTTCCACTGAGCTCTCACTGGGTCGATGCTGCCAGGACCTCAGCAGGGGCCTCGGGGCTAGAAGTGAGGAGTGTGGCCCTGGGTCAGCTTCTTCTTCCTCAGCCTTTTCGTCCTTTTTCTCCTTACACTGCTCTCCTGGACCACATTCCCAGGCTCTGGGGTGAGAGTCCACAGCAGAAGCAGAAATGGCGGTCTTCGTGGTGTCTTTGTCTTCTGTCCTTCCTTCCTCTGTGCCTCCACCCTCTTCCTCCACTGGACAATACACCCACGCTCTGAGCTTGGATCCTGGCGCTAAGGAAGAAGTAGATGTTTGAGGAGCTTCTTTATGTACAGCTGCTCCATCTTCTATGTCCTCCGCCACCCCTGGACAACTCTCCGAGGGCGATGCAGGAAAAGAGAACATGCTCCCTTCTTTATCTTCAAGAGCTCCTTCTTCCACTGACTCCTCCTCCCCGGGGTCTTCCAGGGTTCTTATCAGAAGCTTGGGAGGCAGAGGAGCAGCGTGGCCCCCTATACAGTCACTTCCCTGCTCTCTGGGGACACTGGCTGTTTTTCCCCTACCAGGCTCAGCAGCAGCCTCTGAAAGTCCCCAGGTTTCAAGAAGAGAACCACCAGCTTCCAGGTCTGGGCAGGCCCCCCAGGAAGTTTCCCCATTCTCCTCAGCTGCTCGGATCTCTCCAGTCTCCCCTTGAGGGTGCCTGCCCTTAGGGCCATGGTGGGCGGCCAGAGAAGCCTTAGCTTCTTCCTGATCTGCTCTGATTACTGCTTCCACCAACCAGGACTCTGGAGGTCCTGGACTTCTCAAGCGGCTCCAAGCCCGGCTGAACAGGCCCATCAGTGGGGACAGGAGGAAGAAGGGGTGGGCATCCCACCAGGGGAGCCGCTGCTGGGACACTTGGCCTGGAGCCATATTTCTGGGCTGGGGAAAAGGGAGAAAAAGGAGTAAACATTAGAAGCCATTTAGGAAACAGCATCAGGGGATGACTCTGAGTCATAACAAAAGAATAGTAACACACACACAGCCACGTGAGGCTCCCAGCTTCACATTCCTTTGATACCAGCTACACTCATCTGTGCAGCTCCACTTCCACCTCCCTCTTAACACCCGGGAGTCTGGGTTCCTAGTACCCCCTTCCTCAGACCCAAGACATCAGTCCTTTCTTTCGGCAGGCCCTGAAGTCCCACTCCCAAATTTTCTACTTGCTTCCCTTTGGAACGAGTTCCCAGTCCCTGGTGCTCTCCTCTCCCTGAGGACTGGCGAATGATCCCCCCACCTCGGAAACTCAACATTACGACCCCCCAGGTTCACTGGGGCCTGCCCGCATCTGGATCCCAGACCCTCCTCCATCGGGCTCCCGACCCCTTCACATTCCTGTCTGCGCCCGGGAGTTCGTCCCAAACACGAGCTCAGGCACCCGCCTCCTCCCGCAGGACCAGCAGTCCCGGCCCGAATCCTCGAACCCGCCGGCTTCAGGACCCAGAAGGCCGAACCGCCGCCTCATCACTGACTCGCCCCCGCGCCCCGCGGACGCGGCCGTGCCGACCCCGCACTCACCGGCTGCGGCCTGCGCGTCACCCCGGGGGCAGGAGCGCTGGTTCGGGCTGCCACAAGCGATCGCAGGTCCGGACGGCTCGCTTGGCCAGCGCGTTCATCTCGCCTTCCGGCGTGGGCTCGCGGTCTCCAAGTACCACCGGCTGCGGCAAGCGCGGTCGCGACGAAGGGACGCGAAGTCGCGCGGGGAACTACATGCGAGATCAACAGGCGGCGAGCGGCGGCGGTGAGCACGGGCGCCGCGAGCACCGCTTTTATAGCCCAACGCGGCGAGCCGCGCTGACGCCATCCGCGAGGGCGAGGTGTCCACACGTAGACGTGGGGCGGGGATAAGAAAATAAAGTTGGAAACAGGCTGGGAAATCTCGCGGACTTTCCGGGCGTGTGACGTCACGACGGTGCCTGCGCGCGTGGCCACGCCCCCGAAACCAGCCAGCTGTCAATCAAACGCCTCCCAAGCGGCGTGGAGCTGTCTCCTCGCTGCTTCCGAGAAAACGCCTTCCCGCGGCTATTTAGCCGGCAGGCCCCGGGCTCGGGTCCTCCACCTTCCCATGCAGGCGGCTTCCTCCCGGGAGGGGGACAGTATTTGATTCCATTTCACAGATGAGGAAACTGAGGCTTGGAATAAAGGCATTTGCCCGCGGGGGTCGCTGCAGCCTTTAGGCAGCCACGTGGCCTGTTCACGGCTTTTTTTTCAGGGCCTGGCACACAGCAGGTGCTCAGGAAGTATGTGGTGGCCGGGTATAGCATCAGAAACCTCCCGTAGTGATCCTGGATTTGCCTGCTTCAAACCGACACAAAAATTCCCCTGCCTGGGCCTCCCTGGTGGCCTAGGGGTTAAGTCTCAGTGCAACCACCAAGATGGCCCACGATGACGCCCTGAGTTCGATCCCCGGCCAGGGCGCTGACTCACAAGGCAGACCTCTCCTGTCTCGCCTGCTGCTCCCCTCAGCGCTGTGTTTCAATAGATTGGCCTACTCAGCTCCCCACTCTGTCTCTGGTGAATCCCCTCACACCCTCGCACCTCTCCCCTACACCCCAGTTCTTGTATGCATAAATAAAATAAAACTTCAAAATAAAATCTTTTTTTAAAAGATTTATTTATTTAGGCATACAAGAGCTGGGGTACAGGCCAGAGATGTGGGGGTGAGAGGATTCACCAGAGACAGAGTGGGGAACAGAACAAGCAGGCTGACTGAAATACACCAATGAGGGGAGCAGCAGGTGAGACAGGAGAGGTCTGCTGTGCCATGTGGGTTGCTCCCTGGCTAGCCAGGGATGGAACTCTTGCTGCAGAGGCTGCGGATTGCTTCCTAGTGTGGTGCTTAACCCCTTGAGCCACCAGGGAGGCCCAAAATAAATAAAATCTTTAAAAAAAAAATTTCCGCCACTACAAACTGAAACTCTGATCTGTTAGCAGCAGGTTAACCACATAGGAATGGGAAATCTCCCCGAAGTCACAGGCCCAGAGACACAATCTTCCTGCCTGCTTCCCCTCCACCCCCCATAATCTTGCTCCTCAAAATAGGTTCAGGAAACGTGTGTGTGAGATTCCCTGTCTAGAACAGAAGGTGGAGATGTGACAAAGGCCACTTGACCCTGCTTTAGCCAGAGTCCAGGAATCCAGAGCCACTCCCTCTTCCCTGGAGGATCTGGACCCATCCATTCAAAGCCACATTTTCAGCTGTGCCCGCTCCTCCCTGTCCCTCCTCCCCTCCCCATTCAATTCACACCTCAGATGCCCTGTCTCCTAGCTCACACCCAGGAGTCTGAGCCCTCATGGCTTCCAAGATCCAAGTTCTCTTCATTCAATGACCCAGGTCCCTGCCCTTGAACAGCCCACTGGGGCCCTGCTATCTGGGCTCAGCTATTTTCCAAACCTTTAGGAATCCCAGCTCAGCCCTTAGGGCACTGGGGCCCTCCAGGGACCAGCCCAGCAGGGACTCAGGAGTCAAAGGGGGGGGGGCCCCCAGCCCCACCCCTCAGCTGTGGGGGCAGCTGAGCCAGGGGTCAGGCTGTGGTGGGGAGGCCAAGAGGGGCGGGGTCAGCCGGGATTGGGAGGGGAGACAGCAGCGTGGGCGGCTGGCAGACCAGCAGAGAGGAAAGAAACTGGGAGAGGGAGGAAGAGAAAGTGAGAGGGGGAATCAGAGAGGAGGAAACAGCAGACGTGGAGGGACAGAGAGCAAGAGGACGAGACTGAGTGTGAGGGAGAGAAGGAGACAGACTCCAGAAGAGACTCTTGAGTCCAAGGGAGGAGGTTTGGACAGAAATAGACTGGGAACGTGCTATGGAGGAGAGAGAATGAGTGTGAGACACTGGAAACGACAGACAGGAGAGCTGGAAAGGTGAGCCTGGGGCCAGAGATCATCTAAACGCAAGAAGAAGAGAGACCACCAGAGACTAGAAAGACAAAAACTGTGGCTATGAGAGGCAGCCCTTAAGGGACACAGAGAGAGGGAGACTGGCTGTCACTGGCCTGCTGTCCCCTGTGATCAGGACCCCAGAACTGGTAAGTTCCCAGGCTGGGCTGGGAGGGCATACCTGGGTGTGTGTTTTTGGCACCCCGGGACTTGGCAGGGACAGTCTGGGGGGTGCATGTGGGAGGGCAGGAGACAGGTAACTGGGGGATGCAGCAAAGAGGTAGGGAATTAAGGGTCCCTGAGCACGGGTGGGGGGTCAAATTCCTGGGGGGCAAGAATAAAGAGCCCCTATTCTCTGTCTTGGGCTGTAGACAGCTGCCCCCCCCCCTGCAGCTGCCAGGGCCGCCCACCTCACTTGGCATGGCCCTTGGTATGTGGTCCCAGGCCAGGGCTTTCCCCAGCCCCCCAGTCCCCAAACAACAGGCTCTTTCTCCTCAGCCTCCTCCAACCTCTGAGCCCCTGACCCCGTCTCTGTCCCCAGCAGGGTCAGCTGCACTCATAGGCACACAGTTCCTTTCTTTCTCTCCCCAGCCCTTGATGGAGGAGGCTCGACCTCGGAGCAGCCTCAGCCTGGCCAGCAGCGCCTCTACCCTCTCCTCCATCAGCAACCTGAGCACCAAGGTTCGAGTTTCATGGGGGGTGGCGGAGTGGGCGGCTGGGGAGGAGAGTGGGCCCCGCTGGTGGCTCGGTGCCACCCCAGGGGTGGGAGGTTGGTTGTGAAGAGCAAGTTTCCCTCGCAAGGGGGTTTGCCCCTGAGGTCTCAAATTGCCCACCAGCCTCAGCTAGGAATTCAGAGGCGCTCCCAGCTGGTCCCGCCCCTTGTGTTTTCCCAAATCAGAGCCAGGGTAACAACTCAGCTGGACTCTGCTTGCTAAGATAGAGCCACTCCCCAGCCACGAGTTCCCCGAACACCCCGCTCCCAACTCAGAAATAGACCCACTCTTGATGAGAAAGTCCTGTCTGGCCCTCCAATCTAGCCGGTTCCTGAAATTCCAGGAGGAAAATCCCTTCTCTGACAGATAAGGCCCATGAGGCCCAAGGTACTTGTATCCTACATTGTCACCCCATCCGTGATGGACGCTCCTGCCCTTGACCTCCTGCCATTCCCCTCACTCATCTCTACCCACTGACTGGGTCCTGGCCTTGGTGAGCACCGTCTCCAAGGACGGGCAGCCCGTGGGGATCTGGCTGTGGATTCTGAGGTGCCTGAGTGCACAGGAGAAGGATTGGGAGTCATCTCTTTCCCTGGACATGATGGCTAAGAGAGGTCACTTGCTGGCCCCGAGGTGTCCCTCGATTCCAGCTGACCACATCCCCAGGCTCAGCCGGGTGGTCCCTCCTGACGATGGGGACCTGGGATGGGGCAAGACTTCCCGTTGAGACCCCACAGGCTGCGCTCCACCTCAGGCTCTCTGGCCAAAGGCTTCCCCTCCTTGGAAGCAGATCCTTATTTCCATAATCCCTTCTCCATCAGCCACTGGCCACTGCCTTGCTCCCGAACACCTCCGTCGGCCCCTCCAGGTGTCGCTCACCTGTGGCATGTGCACACCAAATTCTGATCTCCACACCCAGCTTCCTCCTTGACCTGGCGTCTGAGGGCAGCCGAGCGAGGACCGGAGTCTGCCTGCACCCCATTTGCCTGCACCCCATTGCACGCCTCCCCTGGCCCATGCCAAGCTCATGTTCTCTTCCTCCTTCTCTCCTCAGAAACCCACCCGGGCCGTGAGCAAGGTGCATGCCTTCGGGAAGAGGGGCAATGCGCTCAGAAGGGACCCCAACCTCCCAGTGCACATCCGAGGCTGGCTTCATAAGCAGGTGGAGTGCGTGGGAGCAGGGCAGGGACACTCTGCGTGACGCTCGAGGCTGTGGCCTTGACTGTCTCGTTTCTTTCCTCCCGAGTTTCCAAATATGTTTCACTTTGGCATCACCGCCTCTCCCTTTATTCTGTCATGTCTCACTCGTTCATTCACCATCCCCTGAACATAGGCCAACGACCAAACCTTGGGGCACACGCTGTTCACATAAAACAAAGGCTCTACAGTCTTGTTGAGCTACGTGATAATGGTCTCTCTAGGGAGCCTAGACCCCTGCTGTGACTTTCACACAGTGACACAGTCACCTAATGTGGAATTATCCAGAGTTACCCCCATCCATAAGGACCACTATATAATACAGTCAGGATGGGGGTGCGGGTTGACGATCCATGAGTATATAAAGTAGACTTGATGACTGCAGATTGCAGAAAATGCCACGAAGATAGAAGCACAGGGGATGACTTCCCAAGAGGCTGAGGGGCGAGAGGTCAAAGTTTGAAGTTTGGGTGAGCCAAGGGGAGAGAAGAGGGGCTGCAGGGCTGTGGTTCTCAAGGGCTGGTTCCAGACCAGCACCCTCAGCTTGCCTGGGAACTTTCTCTCAGTGCCTGTTGTCACGGCCACCCCAGAGCCACAGCATCAGGATAAAGCTACTCTGGAAACGGGAATTTGTGTTAAAAAAAAAAAATAGCGTCCCTGGTGATTCTCATGCAAATCAATACTGTCCATGAGGAATCTGCGCTTTATTCTAAGCCCGGTGGTGAGCAATCTCTGGAGCAGGGGACCCATGGGATCTGGTGTGATTTTATTTATTTTTTTTAAAGATTTATTTATTTATGCATACAAGAGCTGGGGCACAGGCCAGAGATGTGTGTGGGGGTGGGGGTGGGGGTGGTGAAAGACTCACCAGAGACAGAGCAGAAAACAGAACAGGCAGACTGACCAAAACACACTGCTGAGGGGAGCAGCGGGCAAGACAGGAGAGGTCTGCTGCGCCATGTGGCCGGGGATCGAACTCGTGCTGCAGTGGCTGCAGATTGCCCCACAGGTTGCGCCTCAACCCCTGCGCCACCAGGGAGGCCTGGGTGTGATTTTAGAAGACTGTGTGGGAAGGGGTCGAAGAGGGCATGAGGGGAGACACAGGGCTCAGGGTGATGGCTCCGTGCCACCTCCCTCGCCTCTGCGTCTCAGGCGCTACCACAGCTTTCCTGTGACTTCTGTTTCTGACAGACGGGAAAACATGAATGTCCTAGGGGGGAGAGACTTGTTCCAGGGCATGGTTTGAAAGCTGTGGAGCTGGAAGTCCACCGCTCCACATGGGTCAGTCTGATCGCCCGGAACCTGTGTCCTGTCAACTACGACCCAGGCTGCCGGTTCTCCGTCAGACCCTATTGCCCAGCACGCGTGTCTGCTTCTCTCCTCCTGGGCCTCTGCCCCACGTGTACTGCGTCCATGTCCTTTTCCCCTCTCGCCTCTACTTAGGTCTCCCTCCCACTCTCTCCCCAGGACAGCGCTGGGCTCCGGCTCTGGAAACGCCGCTGGTTCGTTCTCTCTGGCCATTGCCTCTTCTACTACAAGGGTCAGTGCCCCAGCCGGCATGGGGTGGGCCGCCCCCTCCCTTTGCCGAGTCTCCCGGCCCCAGATCCCGCGTGACCCCTAACTCCAGCCGCTCTTTTGCAGACAGCCGCGAAGAGAGCGTCCTGGGCAGCGTCCTGCTCCCCAGCTACAGCATCAGACCAGATGGGCCCGGAGCCCCTCGAGGTCGGCGTTTCACCTTCACTGTGAGTCCACCGGTCCTTGAGTCCATCAGCCCGTCGTGGGCCCTAAAGCACGAGGCGGTGGGGGTCGGCATTGGATCCTGAGCAGGATCCATGGCATCTTCCTCTTTAGAGGGCCTGGACACCTGGCTCCAGCTCTCTCTTCTTGCAGGCAGAGCACCCGGGCATGCGGACCTACGTCCTGGCTGCGGACACGCTGGAGGACCTGCGGGGCTGGCTGCGGGCCCTGGGCCGCGCCTCCCGCGCGGAGGGGGACGATTGGTGGGTCTAGTCCAGGCCACGCTCCTGAGCCTGTACCCCCAATCTGGGTCTGTCTAATCACCCCTAGCTCCTCCTCTTGAGGCCCTGCCTCTTCAACATCCTGTCGCTGTTCCTTTAGCGGGCCCCTTTGGGCTCTAATCTGCAGGAAGACTTGCTCTTGCAAGCTCTGCCCCCCATCTGGTCCAGCCTCTTCAATATTCTACACTCTCCGGTTGCTCCCCTCAGAAGACTCCACCCCCTAAGGCTGTCACTCAATGTCAGATTAAAAAAACTCTCAAGCCAGTCTCCGTCCCCACCCTGTTTTCAGGCAGCAGACACATAGCCTGGGGCGTTGGGCCTAGCGACCTTGATGGATCTGGTGGCCCTGCACAAGTCACTTCCACACTCAGACCTCAGTTACCCCATTTACAAAATGGGAATGATTTATAGACCTCCCTTTGTGGGCTGCCCCCGTCTCCTCCTCTGTGATTTGAGGATAGGGTCCGTTATGGGGCTCCAAGGGTGATGTCTTTTTCTGTGTTCACTCATTAGTGGGCGGCCCAGGTCACCTGTGCGTCCCCAGCCGGGGGAAGGCCCTGGGGGCCCCGGTGGCCCCCCAGAGGGGAGAAGAAGGGACGAGGGGCGCCGTTCAGAATCACCAGAAGTAGCTCGGCTCTCCAGGGGTCGTGGCAGAACCGGACTACTCGCCCCCAGCCCCACAATCGACCTCCACTCTGGATCCCGCATCCGGAGGTCGAGGAGCCCGGAGTGAGTTGGACAGAGTCTGAGGCCAGGAGGTTCCCTGGGGCTGAGCGTCAGAGGTTAAGAAGGGTGGAGACTGGGGCTGAGTAGGGGCTGGCTTAGTGCTTGCTCACCTGAGTGTGACTTGCTGGGGTTTTTGTGGGGTCAGAGGCTGTGGGGATGAAGTCCTAAGGAGATGACTTGAAGGGGGAAATAACTGGGGATCTGGCCAGCAGCGGAAGGTACCTCTCCAGAGGGGCAGTAAAAAACACTGACGGGAGACACATCCTTGAAGCTGACTTGGTGGGTAGTGGGGTGAAGGGGCTGTCATCGACCCAGTTCACTAATTCTCACCTCCCCACAGCCTGTTCACACCGCTCTCTCGCCCACCCTCCCCTCTGAGCCTCCCCCGGCCCAGTTCTGCTCCTGCTCGCAGAGCACCTCCTTCTTCTGGAGACACAGCACCCCCAGCCAGGCCCCACACCCCCATGAGTCGCATCGATGTCCGGCCTCCCCTGGATATTGGTCCCCAGCGCCAGACCCTCTCCCGGCCACCCACTCCCCGCCGAGGACTTGCCTCTGAGGCTGGAGGAGGAAGACCCCCTCGGAGTCCCCAACACTGGAGTCAGGAGACCAGAACACAGGTGAGCAGAGAGTGACAGCGAGGGGGACTACCTTTCCCATGCGGCATTGGGCTGTCTATCAAAGTGGTTTCTAGGCCATTGCCCCCTGAGTGTCATGGGAATTGTAGTTCACAGAAGCAAAGCTGGGTTCAGATTTGAAAGGGAGAATGGACTTTATCTCCCATTAGTCATGGGGGCTGTCTTTTCAGGCCAGTCTCTGGCATTACCCCTTAAGCATTATGGAGATTGTAGTCCGGAAACTCTCCTCCAAGCCTGTACCTTTCGAGGCAGTGCAGAATTGCATATGCCTTATATATCCAGTTTCTCTTGCCAAGTTGGTCACTCTGAGCATTATGGGATTGTAGCCCAGAATATCCACAGCTAACCACAAATGTAAGAGTAGACTGCAGCTTCCCTTGGCCCCTGTGGCTATTCTGCTGGTCTTGTCCATTTATTACCATTCTCTGTGTCCCCACAGTGGCACACAAAGCTGGAGAGCAGGGAGTTGGGGGAGTCATGGGAATCTAGCCTGCACCTTGAAGAGTCTCCTAAAGTACTTCAATTAGCCACCCAAATTTTCATTGCTGAGACATGCCAATTTCTAAACATCTCATCTTAATATTCCTTCCAGGCTCCCTCTGGCACCTCAACATATCTCCAGCTTCCCCCGAAACCTCCTAGCACCCGCACTTCCATGGTTTTATTGGTAGGTAACTTGGGGCATCTGCTAGAGCCCCTGCACACCCCCCCTTTTTTTTTGCTATGGTGAATGTCATCTCCTGGACTGCTAAGACTGGATATTTCAAGGCCTCTGGGTAGGCACTTCTAGTAGTTTATTAAGGCAGCCATAGCTGGGTAGCGCAGAGCACATCTCTCTGTTCATTCATATCACCTTCCGGGTTGTTCTGTTTTTATTTTTATTTTTTTTAATCTAAAAGGTTTTCCATTGTGCTCTCAGTTAAGAGAACTCCTGAATTTCTTTTAGTTTCATAGCTATTTGGATGATGTCTTCTTTTAAAAAATAACCTTTTCTATCTAGATGGTGTCTAGATAGGCTATTGGTGTTGCATCCCATCTTGCACCTGGCATCTTGGCTGAATTCTCTTCTTGGTTCTAATCACTCTTTGATTTACAGGATCAATGAGCATATTATCTGTCAACAAGGATGGTTTTATCTTTTGCTTTCCTATCCTTATATTTGTTTGTTTCCGTTTCCTTTTCCTTTTTTAAGATTTATTTTTTATTTATTTATGCATATAAGAACTGGGGTCTAGGCCAGAGGTGCAGGGGGTGAGAGGATTCACCAGAGACAAGGTGGGGAGCAGAATAGGCAGATCCACTGAAATCCACTGCTGAGGGGAGCAGCGGGGAGACAGGAGAGGTCTGCTGCGCCATGTGGGTAGCTCCCTAGCTGGGGATCAAACTCCTTCTGCAGTGGCTGGTGACAGCTTGATAGCGCTGAGACTTTAACCCCTGTGCCACCAGGGAGGCCTTCTTTGTTTTTTTTTTTTTTCTTTATTTTTTTCCCCCACCTTTGAGAAATGAGGGAGGCCTTCTTTGTTTCCTTTTTTCTTAGTGTATGGCACTGGTCAAGGTCTCTAATGCAGTGTTAAACTGGAACAGAGTGCCCCAGCGTTCTTGTTTCCCTCTCAATCATAAAGAAAGTGTCACATTTCCCCACCCCCAACCCCGCCCCACTTTATTGTAATATTTACATTCACTATTTGGTAACAGAGCCCATTGGGTCTTCCTAAAGTCACGGATGGGCACTTGGCCTACTGTGGTTTGCTAAAACTTGCGATGAAGCTGCTAAGGAGAAGGGTCTGTCCAAAGAAATAGGGAGTGACTCAGCACTGAATTACAATAGGGATCTGTTTGTCCATGTGACCCCCAATTTCTCTGTCTTCCTTAGCCGGGTCCCCCGTTGGACTCACCTTTCCACCAAAGCTTGGAGACAGATGTAAGTGCCCCTGATCCAACTTCCCAGAACTGAGGCGAGAATGTTCTATGTGGTGGGGGGAGGAGGTGGGTGCAGAGCCAGGCCTGGCCCGTTCAGAGCTCCTGTTTTCTTTTCTCCAGTCCCTGTTGAACAAGCTGTGTGGGCAGGATCGGCTCCTCAGGAGGCTGCAGGAGGAGATAGACCAGAGGCAGGAGGAGAAGGTACGGGCTGCTGGGACAGGGGATGGACACATGGCCTCCCCACCTGCCCCAAGTCCTTCCTGATCCCAGCTTGCCCAAGAACGCAGGACACTTCTCTCTCCCTGGGGTTGGGTGTGGCTTCATCTGGATGCAGGAGCAGCTAGAAGCAGCCCTGGAGTTGACCCGGCAGCAGATGGGCCAAACAACCAGGGAGGCTGCAGTTCCTGGCAGGGCCTGGGGACGACAGCGCTTCCTACAGGACCGGCTGGTCAGCGTGAGGGCCACCCTCTGTCACCTGACCCAGGTGAGCACCCCAAAGGTGCATGCCTTCCAGGGAGGCCCCCGGACCCCACCCATTGTACGAAGGCCCATGTTCCTAAAGGCTCGTAGGACTACAGTTCTGGGAATTTCCTTTTCCCTAAATTTCAGACCAGTGATCGTGACAATTTTAGAGGATGAGAAGCAAGCAGAGGCAGCAGAATTTAATGTAGTGGCTTAAGAGGAGAATTTGATACAGGTTTCCTGGCTCCTACTCATAGTAGCATGAGCTTCTACTCATAGTAACTGGGTGACCTTAAGAAAAATGACTGATGCATAGATTTGGGGGGGTGTGTATGGCGGTCAGGGAGTTATATGAAATACATAGAGGGGATTTATTTAAAAAAAAAACAAAAATAAAAATTACTAAACCCCTTGGGCCTTAGATACTTCCTGGAAATGTGAGGTGCTAAAAATAGTATTTACTTTCTAAGATCGTTGTGAAGATTTCATAAATATACGTAAATAAGTGAATGAATATTGAACATTTAGGTACTTGGTAGATAGTAAGCTGCATTTAAGAGTTAATTATAATTATGATAACTTCTAAAATGCTCACATTCAGAGTACCTACCGCATAAAAACTGAGGGAGAGCTAAGCACAGCACCTAACAAATGTCAGCTGTATTATTGTTATTGTTATTATTACTATTATTCAAAAGGACATTTCTACTCTCCGGGATGCATGGGGGGGGTGGTCTTGACTGTTCCAATAATTCATTAGATCTGTAGGCTCTGCTGCCCGAGGGGAGTGCAGAGATGATCCAGAGGATTCAGAGGAAATTGTTATTTGTCCACACTCGCAGTCAGTTGGAAGGATAGGCTCCAAATAGACATGGGTGCTCAGTAGTCTGAGCACAGACATCCTTGGGAATTAAAGTCCATAGATTCCCCCCCTCCCCCTGCCTCCAGGGCACCAGGACCAGGCTACCCTACCCCCCTGGGGACAGAAGGACTGGGGACAAGATTTGGCTGGCAGGCGTGCTAACCTGTGGCTCCTCTTTCTGGGACCAAGGAGAGAGAGCGGGTCTGGGACACGTACAGCGGCCTGGAGCAGGAGCTGGGCACCTTGAGAGAGACCCTTGAGTACCTGCTGCACCTTGGGGCCCCCCAGGTACATCCCTGCCCTAAAGCCCCAGGCCCAGCAGCACAACCTCTGACTCCAAGTTCACATGGAAACACTCTAGGCCTTTAAGCCCTGCTCACAAAATCCCACTTTATAAGATCGTTGTGAAGGTTTCATAAATGTAAGCAAATAAGTGAATGACTATTAAACACGTAGGTATTTGGTAGATAGTAAGCTACATTTAAGCCACATTTATCCCAAGCCCCTCCCACTTTGTCTTGTCTTTTTTGTTTTTTCCCCCAGGACCCCCCACTTTGTCTTGTCTTTTAATTAAAAAGCCCTGTGGTAGTTCAGACCTACCTTCAGTTTCGGAACCACTCATGTTTCTGGTTCTAAATCTCTTGTCTTGTTTTGAAGTCCTGCCCTTCTTGTGAAAACTCCACTCCTCAGCCCTTCCCCATCCTGCAAGTTCATGTCTTGCATTCTGCATCCTGACTGATGCTGTTAAATTTATCCTCTGGAATTTCCAGTTCTAAATCCAGTCCCTTTGTTCAAGCCCCAGTCCGGAAGTGTAAGCTCTGATGCTAAACCTCAGATCCACTTCGTCTTTCTGAACCTAGTGGTTGAGTTTCTAAAACACATGTCTAGCTAAGAAACTCTGGCTTCTGGTATTATATGCATACTCTGGGGTTGAATCCCAGCCTCTTCACACGAAACCTATCCTATTTCTTCCTAAAGTCCACCTGTCAGCTCTAACCCTCCTCCTATTGGTGTTAAATATTACTCAGCACCAGCAATCTATGAAAATAACAATACATCACAAGTTAGTTTTGTTACAGAAATACAACTTTAGTTTAACTCTTGAAAACCTGTCCATGTATTTCACCACATTTAACAGAATAAAGCAGAAAACCACACATCATTCCAGTAAATGCAGGAAAAATCTTTGAAGAAATGATAAAAGCCTCAACCAAGTCAGACTAGAAGGAAACATCCTTAATCTGATGAGTCATCTATAAAAAAATCTCCAGTAAGCTTTATTGTCGACAGTGTAATCTCGAAAACTTGCCTTCATACCAGACGTCCTGGTATGAAGTACACGAGTCTGTGAAATAAATCAAAGTTAATAAGGACCGAGAGGACGAACTCAAGTGGTTTTGATTTACAGACATGATTTACAAAATCATGACATGATTTTGTAAACATAAAAAATTCAAAATAATCTCCAGATAAACTAGAATAAACAAATTTAGCAAGGTCACTGAATGCAAGGATAATGTGCAAAAACCAGTTGACTTCCTGCATGCTAGGACCAAACAATTAGATAAGAATTATTTATAAACACTGGTGTTTGTAATTAACACAGACTGCATATTCAGGGAGAAATGTAATGAAAGCTATGCAAGCCATCTACTCTGAAAGCCTCAAGCGATCGAGAGAAGTAAAAGAAGACCCACATAGATGGAGAGGCAGACCATGTTCATGGAATAATGGAATAATGTAAACATGTAGGCTCCTCAGATTGGGTTCTCCAATGGGGATGCAGAACCCCAAAACCAATCCAGGAGGTTTTAATGTGGATTGACAAAATGACTCTTGTTACAGCAGTAACCAAAGCAACGTCCAGCAACAAAGTTTGGGGACTATGTCTGACTGTAAAACTACATTTACTAAGACTCAAGGTTAGACAAATGGACCAAAGCAATAGACTAGGGCATTCAGTAACAGACTCATGCATTTGTATCACCTTTTTCTGACAGAGGTAACACTGCAGCAGTACAGAAAAGAGTGTTTATGAGAAGTGGTGGTAGGTCAATGGCATACCCATGTGCAAAGAGATACCCACACATACAGCCTCCATTAGCACACATAGTCCTCGTATGGCTCCGTAAACACAGCCAGTCAATTTCAGACCCTGTCTCTGACCTTTAACTTTCCATGCATCTTCCAATTCTTGAGTAACAAATTCCTTCCCCCCAACCCCGCTCACCCCAGGACAGAGCATCTGCTCAGCAGCAGCTGTGGATGGTGGAAGACACACTGGCCGGTCTGGGGGGTCCCCAGAAACCACCCACACACACTGAGCCTGACTCCCCATCCCCTGCACTCCAAATCGAGGAATCCTCAGAGAGGGAGGTAAGACTCACACACCTCTCTTCCCACCTCAACTTCCTGTCCCATCTGCCCCTGGCCTAACCGAATGCCCACCGACTCACCTCTGTCTCCCTTGACCAGCTAATCAACCTCAGGCAAGTATCTGAAGTTCCAGAAGCTTTTGCTTTCTCGTTGTTATATTGTGATCATAGCTGGCTCTCAGCACCTCCCAAGAGCCTGGCCTGCATCTCTTCTTAACTCCACATTCTAGGATGTCATGTTGGAAGCTTGAAATTGATCATGGGGGGAATGTTTGTACCATGGATATTGACACATGTGACAAACCTAGGTTCGTTTCTCCCAAAGAGGCATTTTAAAGAATTGTTGTAACATTATTTTACAACCCTGTGTAGAATCCAAGATTATATTCTCTCACCATGCCCACCACAAAATGTCTAATCAGCACTAATCAGCCTCTCTACCTCTCTCCCCCTCTCTCCTTCCCCTTTCAACATCATTCTGTTGCAGTGTCTAAGAGTTTGTTTTAGTTTTATTCTTTCCACAAGTAACTGAAATCATACAGTGTCTGTCTTTCTCCATCTGACGTATTTCACTTAGCATAATTCCCTCAAGTTCCATCCATGTTGTCACAAATGGCAAAGTTTCATCTTTTTTATGACTGAGTAGTATTCCATTGTGTATATGGACCGCATTTTTATCCTCTCATCCATCATTTGGGCACTTGGCTATTGGGAATAGTGCTGTTATAAACATAGGAGTATGTGTCTTTCTGAAAAGAGGATTTGTTTAACATTCACCAGACACCAATGACCCTACCTTGTAGGGTTTTTATGAGCAGCAGAAATGGATACAGAGTAGGTCCTCAGGAAGCAGGAGCCACTACTGTCAATGCTGGATTAGAGATGATGCTTGCCCTGACCTTCAGGTGACGTATCTAGGAGGGACCTGGGTTCAGATCCCAGCTCTGCTGTCTTTGTTAAATCCATCATTGACTTAGTTCTCTGAGCCTCAGTTTCCCCATATGTAAGACAGAGCTATAGTTGCCTCATAGATTCATCAAGAGGCTTCAGTAAGAGAATACACTATGCTTAGCACCGTGCCCAATGCATTACCTTTATAAAACCTTGCATTTCTAGGCCTCCCTCGTGGCCCAGGGGGTAAGCCTCAGCGCTATCACTGCCCCAGCCTGATTTTGACCCCCAGCCAGGAAGCTGACCCACATGGTGCAGTAGACCTCTCCTGTCTCCCGCTGCTTCCCTCAGCAGTGTGTTTTAGTCATTCTGCCTTTTCTGCGCCTCACTCTGTGAATCCTCTCAATGCCTCCCCCCCGCCCCCACCTTTGGCCTATACCCCAGTTCTTGTATGCATAAATAAATAAAAATAAATTTTAAAAAATCATTAAACAAGGCATAGGTGTAATGTGTAAATACCTAGCAGGCAGGTACTTCTAAGTGAAAGTTGGAACAGCAATAATCAGAGTAGACAAATACATTTTATTTATTTTTTAACCCTACCCCCTACACCCGCTGCCATCCCTTATATCTGCTTGTCACCTTCTCCCTCTTCCTGCCTTTTAACCTGAGAGCCCTCGCTGTGTGATGAACGTCTGCTAGTTTTGGTAATTATTTTACTTTAGCAAATCATCTGCCAGGTAAATGTCTGCTATTTATTTTTTGTCATTGTGACTTGCTTTATGCACATCACTCCCTCAGACTCTCTCCATGTGCTAGAAGTGGCCGCCATTCACTTCTCCTGGCGCTGACTGGTATCCCAGAGTGTGGGTGGAATGTCCAGTCCTGTCTGTGGATGGGCATTTAGGCTGCCCCACGTCCTCGCCAGTCACAGGCTATCAGAAACCCAGAGAGCTCATATTGCTTTGAGCTGATGGTTTCCTATTCTTCAGATAGGTCCCCAAGAGTGGGATTTCCAGGTCATACTGTATTTCCCTTTTTAGTTTTTTAAAAAAAGATTTATTTATTTATGCATACAAGAACTGGGTATAGGCCAGAGGTGTGGGGGGTGAGAGGATTCACCAGAGACAGAGTGGGGAACAGAACAGGCAGATCTACTGAAATACACTGCTGAGGGGAGCAGCAGGGAGACAGGTGAGGTCTGCTGCACCGTGTGGGTAGCTCCCTGGCTGGGGATCGATCTCATGCTGCCGTGGCTGCAGATAGCTTCATAGGTTGTGTCTTAACCCCTTGCACCACCAGAGAAGCCCTCCCTTTTTAGTTTTTTAAGCTAAATCCAGATGGCTTTCCATAATGGCTGCTCCATTCACATCCCTACCAGCAGGGTAATAGGGTTCCTGTTTCTCCGAATCCCTTCCAGCCCGGGCTGTGGTAGGGTTTATAGCCTTAATCCTACACTTAGGGTATCTTCACTGCCCAGTGCTTGCGAAATGGTAGTAACAATAACAGTCATCATTCCCCTTTCTCAACCCTTGCAGAGCCTGCCTGAGTCTCTGGAACTGAGCTCATCTCGGTCCCCCGAGGCTGACTGGGGGCGGCCCCCGGCGGGTAACAGAGACCTGGCCAGTCCTCCTTCAGGTGAGTGCCCTGGGCTGGGTGGGGCTTGCTTGGCGTTCCGTGCCCTCACCACGTCCCCTTCTGCCCTTCCAGGTCTTGGGTCTCCAAGAGTCTCTCGTGCTTCCAGCCCTGAGGGCCGCCGTCTTCCTTCCCCCCAGCCAGGAACCAAGGTAGGCCATCCATCAGGTAGCCCCTGGATCTGGCCGCCATGGATTTGTCACTCTTGGGGAAACAGCTGGGAGAGGGGAGTTCTAAGGTCACCCTCCCACCCCCCGCCCCGAGCAGAGAGAGACAGATAAGATTGTTAAGACTGGGTTTGGTTTCTGCCACTTCTGAGCTGTGTGACTTTGGGTCTGTTACTAAACCTCTCTGTTCCATTTCCTCACCTGCAAACTGGAGCAGATGGCAATGCCCACCACCCAGAGCTGATGTGAGGATTCAAACTAGACAAATACCCTCAGGGTCAAAAATAGCACCTGGAATAGAGCAAGCACTTCATTCATTTATCATTCATTCATTCAACAACTATTTACCACATACCCACTTGGCTGTCTCATAAGGGAGCCAGGAGCCATGTGGGCTTAAATAAACTGGGGCAAACAAAAATTAAGCGTCTTTACCAAAGATTCAAGACTGAGGACTCGAGCCCAGGAACAGCCTCCGGAGAACTCTGGGAAAGCTGCCCAAATTCTGAGCTTCCCGAAGAGAATTTTATGCAAGGAAAACATTTTACATTTTCAAGGATTTTTACAGAGAAAGTTGGGGCAGGTGTCCAATAAACGCATCTCTCCGATGTTGTCTATGCCTCGAGGAAAACAAGGGGGGCGGGTTTATTAGACTTACCCTGTCTCTTTAGAGCTTTATGTTCTGGAAACTGGAGTTTTAGCAACTCCACAGTCCTTGAAGTTTTGCCCAGAAACGCTTTGTTGTTGATGCAGCTCCTTTATCAGGCCAGTCCTGCTCTCCCTTTGCTCTCGGGCTTGACACCCTATATGATCTCACCGGAAGAGGCGTATCCTTTTAACAGTTAATTTTAGTTTACAGCCACATGAGGCTGCGTAACTTTAAAGGAGTTAAAATAAAGTAAATGCACCTGCACTGGCTGCCTTTCGGGAGCTCAGGAGCCACCTGTGGCCAGTAGCTGCCCTGCGGGACAGTCAATGCATGCAACATTTCCACCCACACAAAGTTCTAGCGCGTCGAGCATTTAAAGTGCTTGATGAAAGATGAGGGAAGGAAATCTTTCTGTCGTGAATGTGATATTCAAGATTCTCGGAGGAGGCAGATGACAAGCAATCAACTTGCTATGCATTATTTGATACAAGTTAAAAGGAAATAAAAGCAGAACAGGGTCAAGGAACTTTGGGATGCTCACAGATGGAGAGCAAGGTCAATGGCGTGGTCTGGGGAGGCTTCGTGGATAGGTGATTTGTGAGCTGATAGCTGCAGGAGGAGAGGGAGCAGCCTTGGGGACATCTGGTACAAGAGCATTAAAGGCAAAGTGAACAGACTTTGCAAGTTTCTGAGGCAGGAGCTGACCTGGCTTGCAGGCGGAGCAAGTAGAAAGCCATTGCGGCTGGAACCGAGCACGCAGATGGATCTTTGCAGGACCTTGTGGTCCAAGGGGAGGACTTGGACTTTGAGGCATCGGGGAGATTGGAGGGTTCTGAGAGTCCTCCCGGCCTCCCGCCTCCTGGGCTGCCACAGCTGGCACTGCAGTTAGTGGGAACGGGCGCCCTCTGGTGGCCATGTGGGGAACAGCCTGGAGGGCTGCCCCAGGGAGGGGTGGAGGAGACAGTGTGCAGAGTAACAATTGTTTGTTACTTAAAAGAAGCGTCGATGTTGCCAGGCAGCCGGATTCTAGACACATCGACCTAGATACATACCTCATCCAAAGCCAAATGTAATTCAAAATGCAAAGTGCTGCAGATTCCAGCTAGGTAGTAGGGTGCGTATGCACCCTCGAGTGAAGTAAGGACAGGGAATCTCCTGCAGGGAAGGGACGCAGGGGTCTCCTCCGTGAAAGAATTCACCAGAGACTGTATGGAAAGCAGAAAAGGCAGATTTATTAAATGACAGCGTTGCTGCAGGGACAACGGAGAAAGTGGTGGTCTGGCCACCGAAAGAAAAGTTTGGCGCTTTCTTATACTCTGAGTTTGCAGGGCTCTAAGATTTAAGATGCAGATCCGGACTGACTCCTGACTACTAAAGTGTCAGGCTGTGGTTAGTGCCTGGGTTTCTTTAAAATTTACATCAGGGGCCTTCGGCCTGAGTTCGATCCCCAGCCAGGGAGCTGACCCACATGGCGGAGCAGACCTCTCCTGTCTCCCTGCTGCTCCCCTTAGTGGTGGGTTTCAGTGGATCCTGCATGTTCTGCTCCCCACTCTGACTCTGGTGAATCCTCTCACACACATCATCCCCTGCACTTCTGGCCTACACCCCAGTTCTTGTATGCAAAATAAATAAAATTTACATCAGCCTTCAGTGGTCACAGGTAATTCTTCACTTTCCTTTATCTGTTCAAACTTCCCATCCCTGCCCGCTGGGCCTGGGAGAGACTAAACTTTCAGCCCTATAGGCCCCAACAAATGCTATGTACCATGAAAAACCTCCAGTGGTGTCTTGTGGAGCCCCCATCATCAAATACATTAAAATTTCTCCCCCCAGATATATAATTATTCATAGCAAATGGGATAAAAGGTATTCATAACATTTCGATTTTACTGTCAAGTTAAAAAAATTATATGTATGGCAATGCCCTACTACATGAATGAGCCAGAGGGGAATAAAAATAGGCTAGACCTTTTCTACTTCACTGGAAAAGGTTTTACCAAACATGATGTCACAGAGCCAGGTGCAAATGAAGCAAGTACCTGAGTGTTCACATGTCTAAATGCTCGTGACCTCAGCGGCCACGGGGACTCTGGAGACAGGGGTCGTGTTAGATGCAGGCCATTCTCACTGGAGGGAGGTGGTATTTCATGATGGTTTGATTTGTGTTTACCTGATAAGTGATGACCAGTGTTTTTTCTTGTGCCTGTTGGCATCTGTGTGTCTTCTTTGGAGAAGTGTCTGTTTAGCTATCCTGCCCATTCTTTTTTTTTTTTTTTAAAGATTTATTTATTTATGCATACAAGAGCTGGGGTGTGGGCCAGAAGTGGGGGGGGGGCTGCGGGGGGGTGTGAAAGGATTCACCAGAGACAGATTGGGGAGCAGAACAGGTAGAATGATTGAAATACACTGCTGAGGGGAGCAGCAGGGAGACAGGAGAGGTCTGCTGTGCCATGTGGGTAGCTCCTTGGCCAGGGATCCAACTCATGCTGCAGAGGCTGAGAATAGCTTCACAGTGCTGTGCTTAACCCCTTGAGGCATCAGGGAGGTCCAAGTTCTTAAGGGGAGAAGTCAGGATCAAGGTGTCAGCAGGGCCATACACCCCCCACCCCCACCCAGGAGGCGCTCGATGCCTCTCTCAGCCTCGGGGAGCTGGTGGCGGCTGAACTATTGTCACATGATGTCCCCTCAAATTTTGTCTGGTTTTGAGGTCAAGAGAGAGTTTGTGAAGTCCTCTCTTTCTAAGGCCAACCCCAGTGGATCTTCACTCAATAGCTGCCATCCTTCCTGTCGTGGTTGGAGCTGGCGCAGTGGCTTCTTGTCACCCATAACCCAGAGCCCTGAGGATTAGCGGGAGGACACCTGGTCTGCCCGGGAAAGTGGAGCCTTATTAGGCGGGGTCTTCGCATTCTGCAGGGCCGCTGAGGGAGCTGAGACCAGACTGGTGGGTAGAGACCCAGTCACACAGGCTTCCAATGCTTTGTCCTGAGGACCCATGTGGGTGAAGGGAGGATGCATGGAGTCAAGGGGTGTCAGCTCTGGTGCTGAGAGAGCCCTGTGGCTTGGTGGTGACCTTGCTGGAGGGGGTGAGACTAGAGCTCAGAGATCCAGGGAAGAGATCAAAGGGAGGCCAAGGTTGGGGTCTCCAGACATTTCTCGCCTCCAGGCTCCCCTGGCCCGTCCCCGGATGAGTGCCCAGGAGCAGCTGGAGAGGATGCGAAGAAACCAGGAGTGTGGGCGGCCTCTTCCTCGCCCAGCCTCCCCTGGGCGCCTCACCCTGGGGAGGACACTGACCCCCGCCAGATGCCATCCTGACACCGACCAGAGGGTGAGGGGAGCAGGGTGGGTGGATGGTGATGGGTTTCCTCCCTGTGAACAGGCACGTGCCCAACCTCATGGGCTTTCAGATTCACCCCTACTTCTACCTTCCTTCCCAAGTGGAGGGGTGGGGGAAGGGGTAGAGACAACTTTTCAGTATCACCTGCCTTCTCCCTGCAAGTGGGGGTCTTGGGTCTGGACCAGGCTCCGTTTCCTTTGCAGTTGTTACTTGTCAAATGTTGGGGGGAAAATCCAAATAAACCAGCAAGGAACCGAATTTAAATTCATGCTGTTGCCATGGAGAGCGCCCTGAATCAGAGAAGATCAGAGCGCCTCAGCAGGGGGGTTTCATTTTCCACCTTCCCAGGGAGGAATTAGATAGACATGTCATACATGGGATGATTTTACAGTGGGGAATGGGCATCCTGCTGAGTCAGTTAAATACAAAACTTTTTTTTTCTGCCTAGTTAGTTTCTTTGGGGGAACAAACAGTCTAGTCAATCATTTATGAGGTAAAGAATGTAAATTTGGAGGGTCTGTTTCTGATCTTGTTAGAGGTAAAGAGGGGAGACTTCCTTTGTGACTCTTACCTCCATCATGTGGAAAAGAGGGATTCTTTGCAGGAAGACTTTTCCCAAAACACAGAAGGGGGTACGTAGGAGTGGTGGGTGGTGTTTTTTTTTAATCCATTGCTGCTTTCCATGTGTTGAATCTTTGGGGTAATTTCATCCTCTCTCTGGTCCCCCTCTTCTACATCATTAAATGAGAAGGTGGGGTTTCCCAGGGGAGGAATTCTAACACCCCATTTCCTTGCAGCCTGCCCTTGGCTACTCAGGAGCCCAGAAATTTCTCAGAAGCTCAGGGTCCTGGAGCAGGTAAGCACCTGGAGGGGGTGTAAGGAGTAGGGGAATGGATTTGCTAAAGCAGAGGAAAGTAACATTATTACTAATGTTCCTGATTTCTGAAATATGCCTTTCAGAAGTACTTGAGTTCCTGTGGCACCAGAAAGCCCTAGATCCCTAGTGAGAACTGTAGTTCTCCAAACTCCCTGAAGGTCTAACTTGGCCCCCAGGTCAGAGAATTGGGTAAAATTTATGGACTAGTGAATTACACATCAGGCAAAACACAGGCTTTTGTGAAGGCCACAGCTTTAAAAAAAAAAAAAATTATGCATATAAGAGCTGGGGTACAGGCCAGAGGTGCGGGGGGTGAGAGGAGTCACCAGAGACAGAGTGGGGAGCAGAACAGGCAGACTGACCCAAGTACACTGCCGAGGGCAGCAGCGGGCGAGACAGGAGAGGTCTGCTGCGCCATGTGGGTTGCTCCCTGGCTGACTGGGGGTTGAACTCGTGCTGCAGAGGCTGCGGATTGTTTCTTAGTGAGGTGCTTAACCCCTTGAGCCAACAGAAGGCCCAGGCCACGCCTTTTTAAAAGTCCGTTGGAGACACGTGCTGGGGACTACAACTCCCAGAAGGACGCGCGCGGCACTGTGGTCCTCTCCGCAGTGGCTATTAGTACGCGTCCCCCCAATCTTTTCTTTTTTCCCCCTAGTCCAAGGAACGCCACCCCGTATTTGCCGACGTCCGAAGGTCACCGGGAGCGAGTCCTGAGCCTCTCTCACGCCCTGGCCACGGAGGCGTCGCAGTGGCACAAAATGATGACAGGCGAGGAGGGCCGGGGACCTTGGGGCCCTAGGTTTTCGGGAAGAGGGTGTCGGAGACCCGGGTCCTGGGTCCTTGTGAGAGCGTTTGTCGTGACGAGGAAAGGCGAGCCAGCATTTGGTTCTCGGTCCTCGGCAGGAGGGAACCCCTGTCCAAGGTCTGGGGGGAGAAAGGCCTGGGGTCCCAAAGTTTGTCGCTCTCATCCCCCACTTGCCCTCTCCAGGTGGGCCTGCGGACTCCCGAGCGGACCCTCTCCCTCCTGCGCCGCCCGCGTCTGATCCCGCGCCCCAGGTGACCTCGCCCCCCAGGTCTCCCGCCCTGGCCAATTCCGGCTCCACCGCGTTCTCCCGCCCAGGCAGTGGGCGTGGCCCGGGCCCCGCCCCCTGGGAGAGCACGTGGGCCTCGGGGCCCGCCCCTCCCGCCCTGACCCCGGACGAGGGGGCGTGGCCTCTGCGCGTCACTCTGCTGCAGTCCAGCTTCTGACCAGCCAATCGGGGCGTGAGGGCGTGGCCCGGGGGTCCGCCCCGCGACCTGGAGTCGCTCGGCGCCCTTTGGGGCCACCCGCGGCGGCCGGCCGGGAGGGGGAGGGGTTGCTGTGGCCGAAGTTTGGTTTTCCCAACACTTGTCCAATTTCGGATTAAAACTTTGAACTTTTAGTCAATAGCTGTCTTTCTCTTGGGGTTGTGCCTCAGGGGTCGAGCTGGGGTGACGGGTTCTTGGGGCCCGAGGCAGGGAGGGGCGGGATCTCGGGTTTGGGGACCCCACGCCCCAAGGTGTCCTGCAGCGCCTGAGAGAGGAGGCCCCTGAGGGTCTGGATCACCGGGGCTGAGGCGAAGGCGGCCCCACGCCGTGGATCCCGAGTTGGCGGGAGCAGGATATTGGGGGCCGGGACTCCTGATGGGAGAGAGGAGGGGGCCGGGGGCTGGACTGCGGGGTGCGGGGGGAGGTTTGAGGAAGGAGGGGCTGGGGATCCGGACGCCCGGGTCGGAGGGAGGAGGCCCTGGGGGCCGCTGGTCTCTGGGCTCGCCTGGCAACGCCCCCCAGGGCCGGGCTTTCCAGGGTCCAGCCCCTATTTATGGCTCGACCCCGCGGCCTCCCGGACTTTGGAGGTGGAGGAGGCCGGCGCTGGGGCCGAGAGGAGGCGCCGGCTCCCGCGGCAGGGCGATGGCGGCGCGCTACGCCGGGAAGGTGGTCGTGGTGACAGGCGGCGGGCGCGGCATCGGCGCCGGCATCGTGAGAGCCTTTGGTGAGAGGGCTCTGGCGCCCGGGATACTGGACTCTGGAAGAGGAGGGGCCGCGGGGGCAAAGAGGAGTGGGGGACGAGAGTCCTCGGTCCTGGCGTCTCGGTGGGCCCTGTCCCACCCGCTGTCTGTCCACCCCCTCTCCGCAGTCCCACCTGCAATGCTAAGGAAAGCCCGGGCAGAGGAAGCCCTGGCCTGGGCCTCCACAGTCTCTTAAGGCTGTTATTCCCTTTTTCTGGGTTCCTGTTTGTTACTAATAAATGGGTGCTTTGGGGGAATGTCACTTCCTGGTATAGGGTTTACTAGAACCCAGGGATGGGCCCCCACAGAACCCCCAAAGGCACCTGAAGTAAGCAACCAGAACAGGTGTCAAGGCCCCTGCTCTTTGTACTGGGGATCATCACAAGACTTCGGGGTCAGCAGGGGAGCAAGAGGGGAGAGAGGACCCGCAAGAGGGCAGCAGAGTCCTGCTCTGAGGACTGCAGGGCTAACGTGTCTCTCCTATCGGTAGTGGAAAGCGGCGCCCAAGTGGTTATCTGTGACAAAAACGGTGAGTGAAGGTCCCTCAGTCCTCAACCCAGCCCCTCCTCTCTCAGACCCAGGGTCCAGGCTCCAGTCTTTCTCTCCCTACAGTGCTGGGGGGCCAGGCCCTGGAGCAGGAGCTTCCTGGAACGGTCTTTCTCCGCTGTGACATAACCCAGGAGGAGGATGTGAGGGTGAGTGGATCTGCTGCCCCTACCCACCTCCACCCCCACCTGTGATTGCGTCTGTCTTCTAATAATTGTTCTCTTCCAGCCTTTTGCACATGCTGTTCCCCCTACTTTTCCATGACCTCCTGGGTAAATTGTCCCTGCCCCAAAGGATTCACCCCAGTGTCGTTTTAAAGCTTTGCCTGATTCTACCGACTGGTCCTATGTCTCCCAGGAAAAAAGGTTGGCACCCCAACTTCACTCACTGAAAGACATTTCTTTCCCCAGACCCTCCTTTCTGAGACTGTCCGCCGCTTTGGTCGCCTGGATTGCGTGGTCAACAACGCCGGCTACCGTGAGTCTCAGGCCTGAGGGCCATTCTCCCTTCTCCTGGCTTCCCATCCCATCTGCCTATGACTCAGTTTCCTCTTTCTGTGTCCCTGACGCCCCCACCCCCTCTCTGTCCACTTGGGTGGGACTGTAAAGCCATGGAGTCTTCCAGACCTCGCCTTAAATCCTGTTCCACTCCTGCTGCAAGTTGTTACTTCTTCATGCCTCAGTTTCCACATTTCTAAAAGGGGTTGACCATCACCAGTGGTGAATAAAGTCAGCTGCTCAGCCTCGTTACTATGTCAGCCCCCACCACAGCTTCTGCCTGGAAGCCACAGTTCACCGATGTCCACTCTCTTGGCCCATGACTATGAGCTGTCCTGACGGCAGGTAGGCTAAAGGATTTGGTGTGGTAGCTTGGAAGAGAAGTTGCCATCAGTGTGATGACTGTCTTTCATCAGCCTGCCTCTTGTTGGTAAACTGAGGCTCAGAGAGGTGAACTGATTGGACGGATCACACAGCAAGTGGTGGACAGAGGCCTACCTTGTTGACTGGCAACCTCGAGCATGTGACTCACCCTCTTTGGGCTGTAGCTTCTCTTTATATTATAAAGATTTAAGGAGATGGGCCTCCCTGGTGGTGCAAGGGGTTAAGTCTCAGTACTATGAAGTTATTGGCAGCCACTGCAGCATGAGATCGATCCCAGACGGCCCAGGGAGCTACCCACATGGCGCTTCAGACCTCTCCTGTCTCCCTGCTGCTCCCCTCAGCAGTATTTCATTAGATCTGCCTGTTCTGCTCCCCACTGTCTCTGGTGAATCCTCTCACCTCTCCGCATCTCTGGCCCACACCCCAGTTCTTGTATGCATAAATAAATAAATCTTAAAAAAAAAGATTAAAAGAGATAGTGGGTACCAGTTTATCCTTTCTGTGGTCTTTGTTCCTTCACAGATATTCATGGCGCACCATGCTGCCCTGGGGGCTGGGGATTTAGCAGCGTACAAAAGAGATGAAACACGAGGTTCACATTCTAGAACAAGCAACCAGACAAGAAGCAGATTAAGCCAATTCTTCTTATCCCTGGGCTCCTCATTGGACGGCACTTTCCTGGGACTGCAGGCGTGGCCAAGGGGTCAAATTTTGAGGCGCCCTTAGCAGCCATCCCCAGCTGAGTTGGAACCTGCGCCACTGTGTTCTCTTGTCCCAGCTCTCAGAGATGCCCAGAGGTCGGGACCCCCCCCTCCAAGGTCATCTGGGTTTGAAACCTCTGAATAATGAGAGTAGACTGTTCATACCGGCATGTCCAGGGGTGATACAAGCAATGAAGACAAATCAAGCTGAGGATGCGCAGAAGACGTTGCGTGGACCCTGGAGGGAGCAAGACTAGGGGTTCTGGGGAGCAATAATTCAATATTTTCTCAATTTTCTGCCCAGCATCGTCTTTCCCATCTGTGTGCTTACATTCACTTGTTTCCCAAGCCCCCTGGAGCTGTCAGGGATTTCTTTTCACTTCTGTCTTTTCCTGTTTTTCTTACTCTTAGATCTTTCCAGTTCCTTCTGAATGTTGGTTTTTCTGTCCTGCTACTCTTCAGCACTTCATCCCCCCTATTCCTTCTATTTATTTATTTATTTATTTATTTATTTATTTATTTATTCATGCATTCAAGAACTGGGGTACAGGCAAGAGGTGTGGGGGGTGAGAGGATTCACCAGAGACAGAGTGGGGAGCAGAACAGGCAGACTGACTGAAATACACTGCTGAAGGAAGCAGCAGGACAAGACAGGAGAGGTCTGCTGTGCCATGTGGGTAGCTCCCTGGCTAGGAATTGAACTCGTGCTGCAGCAGCTGCAGATAGCTTCATAGGTTGCGTCTTAACCCCTTGCACCACCAGGGAGGCCCCCTTCTATTTATTTAACAAACACATTCTGGCACCAAGTGTCAGGTGTAAATATTGACATGAAATGTCTGAAAGTAAGAACAAAGTGTTATCTTCAACCTACAGATGAGGAAACTGAGGCACAGAGAGGGAAGGTGACTTGCCCAAGGCCACATAGTCATCAAGTGGCAGAGCCAAGATTGGAACCCGGGAGGACTGTGCAACCTCCCTTCCTTTTCAGGGTCCCTGATCCCCTTGTCTGCCACCCTCCTCGTGGACACCCTGTTCTCCTATCCACCTCATTCCTCACTCTTTTCTCTCTGCCTCCCACCCCCATCCCCAGACCCCCCGCCCCAGAGGCCCGAGGAGACCTCCGCCCATGACTTCCGGCAGCTGTTGGAGCTGAACCTGCTGGGGACATACACCTTGACCAAGGTGAGGTCCGGGCCCCAGGTGGCCTCCCAACGAGATTTTTTTTGTCTGACAACACAATGTCTTTTGCTATGATCTGATCTGGTTCTCAAAGGACTCAGTCTTGGTAGAAAAGAAAAACATGCAAGTCCTTCCATCCGGTCCAAGCTACCAGTGTGGCTCCATAGCTCAGGCCCTACTTCTAGAAGCTTCCAAAGTGGTGTGGTGGGGATGGGGGGTGTTATGAACAAGGGGGAGGTGTTGAGAGGGGGTTAGTTACAGGAGTGCCAGCTTTGCCATCCGGTGAATAGCTATTAGGATCAAAGAGCGATTTCCTTGTCCCTCAAGGAGGTCTCAGAGCAGGAGGTCCCAGGGGGACCCTTGTAGTGACCAGCACCACAGAGCTCACAGCCAAGACTTGGTGAATCTGAGCAGGGGCCTGAGGGGTATGTGGTGACCCCTCTCCTGATTTGGCCCTACCCAGGATCAGACATCTTTAGGCCCTTCCGCCAAGCACTGGAACATGGAGAATTCATGACTTGGGGGTGGGGTGGGGGGTTGTCAGAGGGATGGTTCCCACCTCTGGGCCTTTGCCGGCAGATTCTGCCCCTGTATTCCCTTCCTTTGAACCTCCCACGACTCCCTCCAAATGAGCTGCTCAGTTCAAATGTCACCTCCTCGGAGAGGACTTTCCAGACCATGCACACTAGGTGGCCCCTGCACGTATGTGTTCATTCCCTGCGGAAGCGACTGGTTTATTCTCAATGGTGCACTTTTGTAGTCATTCATTGAATGCTTTTTCTTTCTCTTTTTAAAAATTATTTTTGATTTCTTTTTCTTTTCTTTTTAACATTTTTCCTTAGTTATATATTTAGCTATTTATTTAGCACCAGCAATTGGCTAAGCCCCAGGATACAGCAGGGACCCAAAAGACATCCTTGATGTGGGGGAACTGACAATATGTGTGGGGGAGACAGACGGAAAAAATAGGAATATAGAATATAACATTGGGGGGCGATCCATGCCATGCAAAAAAGTGAGGGACAGTAAGGGGATAAAGAGTGAAGGGTGAGTGTAAATGCTGCTTTGTAACTTTTTTCATTAAGGCATATTAACTTATTAAAATATATTTATTTATGCATATAAGAACTGGGGTACAGGCCAGAGGTGGGGGGGTGAGAGGATTCACCAGAGACAGAGTGGGGAACAGAACAGGCAGACTTGAGGGGAGCACTACACTGCTGAGGGGAGCAGCGGGCGAGTCAGGAGAGGTCTGCTGCACCATGTGGGCAGCTCCCTGGCCGGGGGATTGAACTCGTGCTGCAGAGGCTGGGAATAGCTTCACAGGTTGCGTCTTAACCCCTTGCGCCACCAGGGAGGCCCCACATTAACTTTTTATTAAGCCTATGCGAAAACAGTGTCCCCTAGGAACCTCATGTGGGGCATCACCCAGCCAATAATGATCAATATTTTGTCACTCTAAAGCCCTCACTTTTTGATTTCCTTTTTTTTCTGGAGTATTTTAAAGCAAATCCCAGACATCATAGTCCACTTATAAATAAGTCAGCACGATCTTCTCCATATATATATATAATCGCAATATATAAATATATATGTATATGGATGCGTGTATATTTAAGTGTAACTGTGGGTTCTCTTAGAGGAGGGTCCGAAACCTTCTCTAGGAGGTGACATTTGAGACAAGCCCTACGGAGGTTTCTGGACAACTGTGGTCGGGCACAAAGGGCCGTGCAAAGGGCCTCGGTGAGACTGTTTGGAGTGGTGGAGGCACAGTGAGGAGGGCAGGTGATGGAAGCAGAGAGAGGGGGTGAGTTAGAGAGGGAGGGAGGGAGGGAGGGCAGAAAAAGGGCAAAGGAGGGCGCGGGGCCCTGGGAACTAGGGACAGGTTTCTGATGTGACACTGGAAGGGCAAGCGGCCAAGAATTCTGAGCAGAGGCGCTTGTGCAGCCGGAGCGGGGTTACGGCGCCCTCTAGCGGCATCGTAGGGAACAGGCTGCGGGGAGGGGCGAGGGCTGAGGGCGGGGAGGGGGTGAGGGCAGGGAGGGGGTTCCCTGGGGGATCCGGCCTTGTTTTTGTGGGTTTTGCGGACCCGCTCTGGATGCAATTTGAAGGCAGAATTGCCAGGGTTTCCTTATAGACCAAGTGGGGGTGCCAACTTGAGAAAGCAAAGATTGGGAGTTTGGGGTTCTTTTCCCCCATGCCTACCTCCAGAAATCGGGGTGGGGGCAGTGGTCCTGCACGGTGAGAGGAAGCTCCTGGAGGATGTCCCCATGGGGCTGGCGAGTGGGTACTGGCGTTCAAGGTTCTGGGCCAGGACCCACAGGTGGTTTGGAGCTCAGCGGCCTGAGCCTGCGCCATGGGGAGAAAGTGCAGGTCTAGGGATGGCGCTGGGTCACCCATGTAATGGAAAGTCGGGTGCTGTCTTGAAGTTCCTCCTGAGATCTAGATGAAATGTCCCCAGGCAGTCAGGTAATCACTGGCCTCTTGACTTTCTAAGACTGACCCAACAGCTGCCTGTGATAAGACACATCTACACACCAGTGGTGAAGGGCTGGGGATTGTGAGTCTGTGTGTGAGATCTCCCCTCCCCGCCCCCCCATTAGTTGTCACAATATAGAGAGATTTCTCATAAACACCCAGATTTCTGTTTGCTCGTAAAAAGTTGGCAAATGGGCCCCATGGGGCAGAGCAACAGTGTCCAAATGCAACTCTCCAGTGTACCCCAGCCCCCATGTTTCCCTATTGGGCCACTGGACTGGATGCTGTTACCTGTGAGGGACTGACCCAGAAACCTCATGTGGGAATAGAGTCTCGAGTCAGGGCCCTCCTGCCCAACACCTTTTACCTGCAACACGGGCCAAAGTTACTACATCTCTGCACCTTGGTTTTCTTATCTGTGAAATGGGATTAATGGGGGCCTCCCTGGTGGCACAGGGGGTTAAGAAACAGCACTATGGAGCTGTCTGCAGCCACTGCAGCACGAGTTCAATCCCCGGTCAGGGAGGTGACCCACATGGCTCAGCAGACCTTTCCTGTCTTGCCCTGCTGCTTCCTTCAGCAGTGTATTTCAGTCAGTCTGCCTGTTCTGCTCCCCGCTCTGTCTCTGGTGAATCCTCTCACCTCCTGAACCTCTGGCCTGTACCCCAGCTCTTGTACGCATAAATGAATGAATATTAAAAAAAAAAAAGAAATGGGATTAATGATGGTACCTAACTCACAGGGTTGTTGTGAGGATTGAATAAGATGAAATACCCTTAGAACATGCTTGGCACAGAGTTTACCCTCTGCTGGGTGTTACTTATTTTTTAAAGATTTATTTTTATTTTTATTTTATTTTTTTTTTTAATAATTGTTATAGCCTTTTTTTTTTTTTAATAGAGGCATGTTTGTTTATTTATTTGTTTGTTTGTTTTGTTTATACATGCACTGGGTACAGTCAGAAGCGCAGGAGGGTGAGAGAATTCACCAGAGCCAGATCGGGGAGCAGAGCAGGCAGAAGGACCGAAGCACACTGCTGAGGGGAGCAGCGGGCGGCAGGAGAGGTGTGCGTGCCACATGGACCCTCCTCTGGTGGCCGGGGAGCAGCCGGGGATCGAACCGGCGCCGCAGAGACTGCGGGCAGCTTCGCAACCCAGCGCTCAACCGCTGCGCCACTGGGGAGGCCCCAAGATTTATTTTTATTCATGCAAGAACCAGGGTACAGGCCAGAGGTGAGGGGGTGAGAGGAGTCACCAGAGACAGAGTGGGGAACAGAACAGGCAGAAGGACGGAATACACTGCTGAGGGGAGCAGTGGGCGAGACAGGGGAGGTCTGCCACGCCATGTGGGTATCCACCCCCAGCCAGCCGGGATTGAACTTGCGCTGCAGAGGCTGCGGGCAGCTTCACAGCGCTGTGCTCAACCACCTGCACCACCAGGATGGCCCCTGGGTGTTATTATTATTAGTTATTACTGTCAATCATTAAACCTAGCTCTATTCTGTTTCCTGTGGCCAATCACTCAATTTTGAGATTTCTTGAGATACATGCTGGGCATATGGAACCAGGCGAAAGTAGGGGGGAGAAAGTGATGACTGACTTGAACCCTGAGTGGGTGAGAAGGATGTGGAGAATAAGGTGCAGTGTGTTTCTCACACCAAGAAAAGAGTGTGCAAAGGTCCAGGGGCAGAAACCACAATGAGCAAAGCTCCATCCCAGCAGTGGTGCACATCCTGTTAAACCTGTTCTGTCTGTTGTCTCTACCACCTCCCACCCAGTCACCTCATCACGATAACTTTGTCAGGTAGGACATAAGTACTAGTGCTGGGATGGAGGGTTTATTTTTATTTTGGCATAATTTCAGATGCGCAAAATCTTATCAGAACAGTACTGCCTACTCCTGAACTTTCAGACTCTCCATTGTTAATATTTTTCCACATGTTCTTTATTTTCCTACTTCTCTCTTTGAGAGTAACTTGTGGGCAGGAAGTCCATTTGCCCACCAGTACTACAAGCAAGAACGTTCTCTTAGACAAGTGCAGTGAGATGATCCCATGCTTTTAGCTATTTCCTTACCTTCTCATTCTGATCATTCAAATTCTTACCACGAGCACAGCACCACGGCCACGCCTGGGTTTGCCCGGCTCCCCCCAGAAGCAGAGTGTACCTGAAAACTGCAGGGCAGGCTGTGTGTGGGGTGATCCGATCACGCAGGCCCTGGGTGGGGAGTAGTAGTTCCCAGCATGTGAGGCAGCTGATGAAGGTCACGAGCAGGTTCCCAGTCAGGTAATGGGGATGACCCTGTGGGGGATTCAGCGAGAAACACGGGTCACAGCTATCCCCCACCAGAGAGGCGAGGGAGAGCCAAACATTATTTTAATTTAAAAATAAATGGAATTTTAGGGCCTCCCTGGTAGTGCAGGGGTTAAGTCTCAGCTCTATGAAGCAATCAGCAGCCTCTGCAGCATGAGTTCGTTCCCTGGCCAGGGAGCTACCCACTAGGTGCGGCAGAACTCTCCTGTCTCC